TATTATTATGAAGAAATGTTTGGATTTTTGCCCTTTTACCCCTTTCCTTTTAACGTTTTGCTTCTGAGATTTCAGATCTAGGAAAGTAGAGGTATGACAAGGGCTAATAATGTGTTAGTGAGGAGTGATATTGCTGTTAGTACTGTAGTCCTTTAGGAAAATTCACCATTTTGATAAAAAAAAAAAGAAAACTTTGTAATTTAGTCTTAAAAAAACTTTATTCAGTATAGTTGAATATAGTCAACTTTATATACCATAAGGTTCACACATTTTAAGTGCATAAGGAAGTGATTTTTAGTAACTTTGTTGAGTTGTGCAACCATTCTCATAAATCAGTTTTAGAACATTTCTTCTACCCAGTAAGATTTTTCTATCCCATTTATAGTTAGTCTGTTTGTACTCCCAGCCCAGCAACCACTAATCCACCACTACCTACCCCCACTCCCATTTGCCTTTTCTGGACATTTCATATTAATGGAATCATAAAATATGTGACTTTTTGTGCCTTGCTCTTTTCATTTAGCATAATATTTCTGGTTTTGTGATTTATACATATTGTAGCCTATATCAATATTTGGTTTTTATTGCTGGATAGTATTCCAGGGCACAGATATACCACATTTTATGTATCTGTTCTTCAGTTGGTGAACATTTGGGGTTGATTTAACTTTTTGGATATTTTATTATTTTAGCTGGTTTATGTACACACTCTGTAGTCTAAAAAGATACTGCTAAACTTTCCTGTATGAGCAATTTATATCCATTCTTTACAACAGGTTCTGGCCCTGTGCTAGGACCAACCTTCCTTGATGTGTATTTGCCAAGAAATTTAATGATGGTCATACTTTAGCTCCTGCTCTTCCTTATTTGCCTTGTGCCATGTATTGAGGTTTGCATGATTTACTCATCTCTCTATTAGCTTTTGTAATTTTCTACCTTTTAATATTTCCCTTTAGTATCCAAAAGGTCATATTCCTCTTTTATTCTTGATATTCTTTATGTTGATTTGGCAAGCCACTTCCTTTTGGTCATTTATAGAGTAGTTGGAGATGATGAGTTAGTTCTCTAGTTTCTTTCAACTCAAAAGTGGTTTTACCGGATGAGCAGTCTAGTTTAGGTGAGAACATAGGTGGGAGAAGGGGGTTTTGGTAGCAGGTGTGGTTGAAGAGGGCAAGAAACAGAAGCTCAGGAACAGCCAGGAGACCTTTTGGGTTTTAAGTCATTGAATTGTGGACAGGCTGTTTTCATTTACAGCGTGTTACCCTATTGTACATTTAGGAGGGGTAATTGGTAATCTTTTTCTTGAAAGGACAAATAGTAAATATTTTAGGCTTTGCAAGCCATACTGTCTTCTGTCACTCTTAACTCTTTGTGACACAAAAGCAGTCATAAGCCATTGGTAAATAAATGAGCATGGCTGTATTCCAGTAAAACTTTATTTACTAAAATAGTCCTATTGGTAGCTTGCCAAACCCTAAACCTTTAAAGAATTGTCTGATATAATGTTGGTGAGGAACAATGTATGTACTTGTGGTTTTTTGTTTGTGGGTTTTTTTTTTGGGGGGGGGGGGCAGCAAAACAGAGTTTATTGAGCATAGCAAAGTGATAGTACAAAGCTCCCGAGGAGGGAGGGGACCCGAGAGGGTTGCCTGCAATGTATGTACTTGTGCGGGAACCTAGTAGTATGTCAGATATAGTTTTTACATTAATTTCCAGTCTTTTGTGCTCTTTGCTGATTTTCTTGTGGGTCTTAAGGAAATAAAGAACTGAAGGACTAAAACTTAGTCTTAGAACTTATTCTGTGAGACAAGTGAACCCAAAGACAGAATGGGGGACAGCAGCTTCAGGAGGAAAGAAGGGATGGATTAGCCCATGGAACCTTCTGAGAAGACAGAGAATATAATATAACCTGTATAGGAATGAGATCTAATTAATGTGGGGAGGTAGTAATGGATGGGAGCTGTGGGGGATGGGATAGGATAAAGGGATATGATGATGTGATAGCATAGGGATCTGTTCTAGTAAAAAGAACCCGGTGGTTTTGGAGCATGGAGAGATTTTGGTTGGAATCATGGACTTGCCATGTAAGTAATGGACTAACTTGAGTGGGCTTAGGCAAGGCACTTTCCTCTTTGAGCCTCAGTTACTTATTTTTTTTTTTAAGACTTTTTTTTTAAGTAATCTTTACACCCAATGTGGGGATCAACTTAGAACCCTGAGTTCAAGAGTAGCACGCTCTACTGACTGAGCCAGCCAGGCACCTCTCAGTTACATTTTTTATAAAATGGTGATGTCATAACTTACCTTGAAGTGAAGATTAGAAATTCATGAATATTAAATGGCTGAACCGTAACTTGCATGCACATAGTAAACCCATGTTATTCCCTATCATTTCTTTGGTCTTATTTGGTTTAAAAATGTCATTGGTGTTTGAAAATTTGGATACTATCTAATGGGAATATATTAAAGGCATAATCTGTTTGCCTCAGAGCATAAAGTTACTACCCATTAACTGTCACAGGTACAGATGCATATACTTATTTCAAGATGTATTTTGGCTTATTTCTTTTCTCCAGGAGAGATTTTTTTAAACATTATTATTTGAGGGGAACATTTTAAGTAATTGTTTAGCTGATGGTTTTAACTTCTTTTGAAATGCTTGGGAAGAACTCGCCAGTTTGGGTCACTTACAGGTTTATTGTCTAAAACTGAGAAGTTAGGAAAATTGCATTGGTTGAAAGGTTTAACAAGCCCTATAATTACATTGGGAGCCTGTAGGTATATAATTTTGATAACTGTTTCAGCCTCTATCATTTTAACTTTTTATTATTTTATTTATTTATTTATTTTTAAGATTTTATTAATTTATTCATGAGAGAGAGAGAGAGGCAGAGGCAGAGGGAGAAGCAGGTTCCCTGCGGAATAAGGAGCCCGATGCGGGACTCGATCCCAGGACCCTGGGATCATGCCCTGAGCTGAAGGCAGACATTTAACCGACTGAGCCACCCAGGTGTCCCAACTTTTTATTTTTTATTAATACTTTATTTTTTTAGAGCAGTTTTAGGTTTGTAGCAAAATTGAGAAGGCACAGAGATTTCCTATATTCCCTGTCCACTCACATGCACAACCTTCCGTATTATCAACACCCACCGCTGGAGTGGTACATTTGTTACAATTGATGAATCTACATTGACACATTATAATCACCTGAAGTCCACAGTTTACCTTAGGGTTCATATTGGTGTTGTACATTCTTTGGGTTTGGACAGATATATAATGACTTGTATTCATGATTATAGTATCATACAGAGTATCTTCGTTGCTATAAAAATTCTCTGTGTTCTGCTTATCTATCACTCCCCCCCCCCACTCGCTGGTAACCACTTTTTATTATCTTCGTAGTTTTGCCTTTTCCAGAATATATGTATGTAATCATATAGTATATATAGCCTTTCACATTGATTTTTTTCACTTGGTATATGCATTTAAGCGTCCTGCATGTCTTTTCATGGCTTGATACCTCATCTCTTTTTAGTGCTGAATAATATTCTATTGTCTGTACATACCACAGTTGATTTATCCATTCACCTACATCTTGGTGGCTTCCAGGTTTTGGTAATTATGAATAAAGCTGCTTTAAAAATCCATGTGAAGGTTTTTTGGGTGAATATAAGTTTTCAACTCCTTTTATATTAGATTTAAATAGTTAAACTAAGTGGTATATTACTACTATTTATTGCTATGAAATTACAGTAGTTAGAATTAGAAAAAAAATTATTTTTCATATCTCATCCTAACAGTTTTATGACTTTTTTCCATATGTGCTATCTAAGTAGTAAAAGCCTTTGCCAAGTTTACTGTGCCTATGATTTGACCTTTTCCTTTTGGTCTCAACTGAACACCAGTGTTCCTCATTCAACTGAGGCAGAAATAGTTTCCTCTGAGGTTATTGGGTCATGAAATAACCTCTTGAGTAGACCATCCTACATTCTGTATGCATTAGCTTTTGCTCCCAAAGACCTAATAAAATCACTATAGCATGTTAAACTGGGACAAAGTTTTATTGGGAAATTATAATAGATATTTGTTTTACCATTAATTCAAAGAAAAATGCTATGATATTTTGAAATTTTGACCATAAAACATGACAATTTTTTTTTCTTAAAAGGTACCCCGAACTCTGTATTTTTATCTTATTTTCTGTCTTTGGCATACATGCCATAGGCTTTTTATGTCATTGAGGTAATGGTATACATATAATTAATTATATTTTTTAATGATTCTCTTTAGAAATATTCCTCAGTTTTCTAATGTGAAACTCACAACTATGGTACAAAGTGTGTGTAAAGTGCTTTTGAAATTCACATGGTAGTACTGATTAGGTAAATATTCTATCTGAAATATCTGTCTAGTATTCTGTGTAATCCAGAGAGGTGTTATTAAAATAATTTATGGTATATTTTATGAATTTGCTTGATTTAGACTTTATTTTATTAAAGATTTTATTTATTTATTAGAGAGAGAGAACATGAGGCAGGGGGTAGGCAGAGGGAGAGGGAGAAGCAGACTTCCCCCTGAGCAGGGACCACCCCCGACGTGGGGCTTGATCCCAGGAGCCTGGGATCATGACCTGGGCCGAAGGCAGACGCTTAACCAACTGAGTCACCCAGGCGCCCCTAGACTATATTTTAATGTTAGCTGTATCTGTCACTATGGGGGGGACACTAGTTAATTTCAGTTTAATCTTTTTTTATCTTTCCCTTAACTTCAGATGGGCTGTGTATATGTGTATAGAGCAACAAAAGTTGCTCTCAATCTCCCCCCTCAACTTCCGTATGTGATAAACCATAGGAAATCACTTTTAGCCTCTTAGAGCTTAAGCAGATCGTTTTTGAGAGTTTCCCATCTCTGTACCTCTGAGAGTACAGGGATGGTTGCATGAAAGCAGTGGGCTTTCCTCTAACATTTTGGTTAATATGAACTTGTTTCTCCTCTTTTAGCTGTGCGGTCAGAGAAGAAACGCCTTAGGAAGCCAAGCAAGTGGCTTCTGGAATATACAGAAGAATATGATCAGATATTTGCTCCTAAGAAAAAACAAAAGAAGGTGCAGGAACAGGTGCACAAGGTTTGTTCCAACATTTTAATAGTCTTTTCATCAGTACTTTTAGGATATTGCTGTTTTGCCTTCAATATCATGTTTTGTCTGCATGGGATAATAATTTCCTTAACTGGGATCTTGCTTTTTCCATTTTTTACCACCAGCTTTTGGCACTACTTAGAATATACATGAAATGTATAAATGGCTCTATGCACTGTGAGTAGTATATGTATATTTAAATTTTTTTCGCCCTTTGCTTTCAGAGATTAATGATTTAGGAATATTATTATGACAAAATATTTGTTAAAATTGTAGAATATAAAATATGGTAGGATCATAATTTTTTATTTTTTATTTTTTTTAAGATTTATTTTATTTGAGGGGCGTCTGGGTGGCTCAGTCGTTAAGCATCTGCCTTCGGCTCAGGTCATGATCTCAGAGTCCTGGGATCGAGCCCCGCGTCGGGCTCCCTGCTAAGCGGGAAGCCTGCTTCTCCCTCTCCCACTCCCCCTGCTTGTGTTCCCTCTCTCGCTGTGTCTCTCTGTCAAATAAATAAATAAATAATCTTAAAAAAAAAAAAGAAGATTTATTTATTTGAGAGAGAGAGCATGTAGGAGAGGGCCAGAGGGAGAGGGAAAGAGAGTCTGAAGCTGACTCTGTGCTGAACATGGGCCCCATGTGGGGCTCGATCTCACGACCCCGAGATCATGACCTGAGCCAAAGCCAAGAATCAGGCTCAACTGACTGTGCCACCGAAACCCCCAGGATTATAATTTTTTAAAAAATGCTATTGATACCTTATTTGCTTTATTTTTTAATTCAATTTTTAAAAAAATTTTTATCTAAGTAATCTCTACACCCAACGTGGGGCTCAGACTCATGACCCTGAGATCAAGAGTTGCAGACACTTCCAACTGAGCCAGCCAGGCACCCCTTAATTCAATTTCTTTTTTAAAGATTTTATTTATTCATGAGAGAGAGAGACAGACGGGCAGAGGAGAGCACAAGCAAGGGGAGAGTCAGAGGGAAACTCCCCACTGAGCTGGGAGCCAGACATGGGGCTCAATCCCAGGACCTGGAGATCATGACCTGAGCTGAAGACAGATGCTTAACCATCTGAGCCACCCAGGCACCCCCCTTAATTCAATTTTTTTAAGCTCAGTTACTTTACAGTGAATTAGAGACATTTTACCTTCTATCCCTAAATAATATGCACCTCTAAAAAATAGAGCATTTTCCTTCATAAATGATTTAATTTTACTGCATCTTATAAGATCAGTTTATCTAATAACAACAATTCCATATCAGATTTCCTCACTTGTCCTCTAACCTTTACATTTGGTTTATTAATTCTAGGACTACACATTTTATCTGGTTGTTAGATTTCTTAAATTTCTTTAAATCCAGAACAGTCCCCCTTTTTTCATGACCCTATCTATCTAAGTAATGAGATACCTTTACAGTATCCCCTTCTAGATTTGTGTGATTGCTTCTTCATATATTTCTTTTTTTTTTTTTTTAAGATTTTATTTATTTATTTGAGCCAGAGAGAATGAGAGAGAGAGAGCGAGCACATGAGAAGGGGGAGGGTCAGAGGGAGAAGCAGGCTCCCTGCCGAGCAGGGAGCCCGATGCGGGACTCGATCCCGGGACTCCAGGATCATGACCTGAGCCGAAGGCAGTCGCTTAACCAACTGAGCCACCCAGGCGCCCTTCTTCATATATTTCACTAAACTTTTCTATCTCCCTTGTTATGTGGAAATTATAACTAACAATTTGATGGATTCAAGTTAAACAGTTTTAGCTAGATTAAATTGTAGGTGCTATTGTGTCATATATTGCATGGCATTAGAAGCTGTCCAGAGTCCTGATTTCCTTTCTTTTAAGTCATTTTGTTCCCTTTGATCAAGAAGGAATATGTGGGGGTGCCTGGGTGGCTCAGTTAGTTGAGTGTCTCACTCTTGGTTTCAGCTCAGGTCATGATCTCAGGATCCTGGGATCAAGCCCTGCATTGGGCTGTGCACTCAGCAGGAAGTCTACTTCTCTGCTTCTCTCCCTCTGCCCTGCTTGCAGGCTCTCTCTAAAATAAATCAAATAAAAAAAATAAAATCTTTTAAAAAATGAAGCAGTATATCTGTAATTACTTTGGCTTCAAAAGAATGTCCTCTTCTCTATCCACCATTTCCCTGATGGTTTTTAAAAATTTCAATCGAGGGGTGCCTGGGTGGCTCAGTCATTAAGTGTCTGCCTTCGGCTCAGGTCATGGTCCCGGGGTCCTGGGATCGAGCCCTGCATCGGGCTCCCTGCTCGGCGGGAAGCCTGTTCTCCCACTCCTACTCCCCCTGCTTGTGTTCCCTCTCTCACTGTGTCTGTCAAATAAATAAAATCTTTCAAAAAAAAAATTTTTTTTTTCAGTCAAAGAATCCTTGTCTGGATCAATAATTTTATTAGGGGTTATAAAATGAAAACTTTCAGATTTTATTATTTCTTCTACTTTTATTAGCTGCCGAACTCTCTCATTAACTGAACACTTTATTGTCTTGATATACATGAAAGGAAGCATAAATGCTTATTTCTTTCCTATAAATTTACTAACTTAACATTGGGAATTCATTATTAGCTGCTTTACTGGTGACATATTAGGAAATCTTTTCGTGGGTGGGGAAGGTTATCACTGGCATTAATGAATTTTTATAGCTTTAGTATATCTCAACTGCATTTTTTCCCTTTTTAAAAATTTATAGTAAAATATATATAACAAAGTTTGTAATTTAAACACTTTTAGGGTATACAGTTCTGTGTCATTAAGTACATTCACATTGTTGTGAACCATCACCACCATCCATAATCTCTAGAATTTTTTCATGTTCCCAAACTAAATTTCTGTACCTATTAAAAAATAACTTCCCGGGGCACCTGAGTGGCTCAGTTGGTTAAGCGACTGCCTTCGGCTCAGGTCATGATCCTGGAGTCCCTGGATCGAGTCCCGCATTGGGCTCCCTGCTCAGCAGGGAGCCTGCTTCTCCCTCTAACCCTCCCCCCTCTCATGTACTCTCTCTCTCTCATTCTCGCTCTCTCAAATAAATAAAAATAAATCTTTGAAAGAAAAAAAAATAACTTCCCACTTTCCTCTCAGCCCCTGGCAACCACCATTCTATTTTCTTTTCCTTTTCTTCTTCCTCTTTTTTTTTTGAGAGAGAGAGAGCGCACACACACATGCATGTTGGGGAGAGGTAGGGCAGAGGGCCGAGAGAGAATCTTAGTCTCCATGCCTAGCACAGAGCCCAGTGTGGGGCTCGATCTCATGACCCTGAGATCATGACCAGAGCCAAAATCAAGAGTCCAATAGATGCTTAACTGGCTGAGCCACCCAGCCTCCCCCAATCTATTTTCTGTCTTGATGAATTTTACTGTTCTAGGTAAACCTCATCTACATAGAATCATACAATATTTGTCTTTTTGTGTATGGCTTATTTCACTTAGCGTAATATCTTCAAGGTTCATCCATGTTGTAGCATGTGTCAGAATTTCATTAAGTGTATTACTCTTTTTGACACTGAAATTATAGCAACTTTGGTCTATGGAGTCTACTTTTATTTTTTGCTCTTAGGTAAGTTCCCGCTGTGAAGAGGAAAGCCTTTTAGCCCGATGTCGATCTAGTGCTCAGAACAAGCAGGTGGATGAGAATTCTTTGATTTCAACCAAAGAAGAGCCTCCAGTTCTTGAAAGGGAGGCTCCATTTTTGGAAGGGCCCTTGGCTCAGTCAGAACTTGGAGGTGGACATGCTGAGTTGCCACAGCTGACCTTGTCTGTGCCTGTGGCTCCGGAAGTCTCTCCACGGCCTGCCCTTGAGTCTGAGGAATTGCTAGTTAAAACACCAGGTAAGATGGGGATGGGGTCTCAGAATGTAAGTAGATATGATTTTAGCATGTTGTGATGAAAAACCAATAGTGAATCTCTGTACAGCAAGCTACCCACATTTGTCCTGGGAAATCCTGAAAGTGCTGGCTAATTGGATATAGTTAATGACCATGAATTGGTGGTATACTGTCCAGAAGACATGTTTTAAAAACAATTCTCCTTACTCCACTGTTACTCTTCATGTTTGTTGATCAAACACATGTGAGTCAACACTTAGGATAGCAGGGTTTGGGGGAGGGGCTCTACACACTAATAAACACATGAAACTTATGCTTTAGATACTAGCTCTGTCAATTCTTGTGTTACTTAGGAAGTTGTTTAACCTCTGAACTTGTTTCCTTTTTTATAAAATGGACATCATAATGTAATTTACCTGATACATTGTAAGTAGCTAAGTGTAAATATTCCCTTTAAGTTAATTACCAATTGTTTTTCACTTTATCATTCTTTGTATACATGTCACCTGGTGTGAGTTGAATCTAAACATACTGTCTCTAATTACCTTCTGATTTTTTTTTTTTTTAAGATTTTATTTATTTATTTGAGAGAGAGAATGAGATAGAAAGAGCATGAGAGTGGGGAGGGTGAGAGGGAGAAGCAGACTCCCTGCTGAGCAGGGAGCCCGATGCGGGACTCGATCCGGGGACTCCAGGATCATGACCTGAGCTGAAGGCAGTCGCTTAACCAACTGAGCCACCCAGGCGCCCTACCTTCTGATTTTTTAATATTGTAGTCACTCAAGGAAAATTTTGGATGTAACTTTTTTATATTCCCAACAATAGCTTGTGATGATATTCCTTTTATTAAAAAAAAAAAGTATCCCAATTGTGTTTATTAATCAAGTAAGACAGAATCAAAAAGACTTTAAAAATAGTAAAGATAGTTACTATTTCGTAATTTAACATGTACCAAACTCTGTTATTAGGCTCTTATATATGATTCTTAAGAACAGTCCTACAAAGTAAATGTGTTTTTTGTTTGTTCAGGAGCAGAATAAAAATTCTAATCTTGGTCCTATTATGCCCGGAATTCAGGCTCTACCCCACCTCACTTCTCTTTTTGTCCTTACTATCAATTAATTATTATAAAGATAGTTCTGCCCTTTTGATTTCTCCCTTAGTCCTTTGATGATACACACACAGACACACCCACAGACGTAAGAACATTTTCAGATTCGTTTGTGTTTGTATTGAGAATTGTTTTCCTGTTTTTTCATGTTAACTAATATTTTAGAATAAATAAATACAATCCTATCCTGCCCCTCCCCAGAAGATGAGGAGGAAAACATAAAAAATATGGTGATTCATTTTTCTGTGGCATATAAATTTTTTTTAATTAGTTTGTGCCTAGTTTCTAAATCATCTAATGAAAAGATACATGCATTTCAGGAAATTATGAAAGTAAACGTCAGAGAAAACCAACTAAGAAACTTCTTGAATCCAATGATTTAGACCCTGGATTTATGCCCAAGAAGGGGGACCTTGGCCTTTCTAAAAAGGTATGTTATTTTAGTCAATTCTAAAATATGATTAAACCATATGTAAATATGGGATTTTAAAAACAAATCTTTTAGTAATACTTAGCAACATTGATGCACACATACAAAGACATTACAGAATGGCAGAGTATACTTGTTTGGTCTAAGAGCTCCTATATTGAGAAGCTGTTTTGCATTTTTGTGGATATGAGTATCAGTTGGTTTTAGATGTTCTTTTCAAGTGAAAATGAAAAGAGCTTTTAAGATTGACTGTAGTGTGTGTGTGTTGTCATTTTTTTTCTGGGATTAAAACCTCACCTGCTTTCTACCTCACCTCTGTCTCTGTGGGCCACTAACCTACTCTTATCCCGTTGCCTTGTCTGCATAACACCTCAGAAAAGACTCCGCTCATTTATAAACCAGGCAGAAACATTTGAACCTAAGCTTTTGAGTTTGCAAACATCGTTTCTATTGGCCAAGAAGGCATCATTAAATAGTAGATGGAAATAGAAGGTTACTTTCCTGGATATTAATTTTTAGGGAACATCCTGTTGCCCATATGTTTGAGGAGTAACTCAGTGTGTTAGAAATTCAGTTGTTAGGGTGCACAGATTTCCTATTAAAATTTTCTTTCTTTAAAGGAAAAATGCAGATTGTAAGCAAATCAAATATAGAGTTTTTAGACTTTCATCAGCTATAACAGGCTTCTATCATTTAATCCTATATTGAGGATCCTAGTTTTTGTTTTTGTGAGTTATTCACCCATCTGGATTAGCATGTAATTGTAAAACTCAATTTATTCGTGTTTTTGTACCTCATTTTAAAGTCTGCATTATATCCTTTAAGTCTTTTACTCTTCTCAAAGTCCATTTCCTAAGACCTGTCCTAGTAAGGCTGTGATAGTTTCCTTCTGCAGTGCTTTCTCTCTTGACTTTGTCTTATTCAAATCTTAGCCACTTGCAAGATTGTTGGAAGAGGTGGATGGTAAGGGACAAGGAAACTATGATTCATTTGAATATTTTGCATGGAAGTAACATTTGCTATCAGGTGATAAATTTAGTAGTATTATACAAGGTGAATTATGTAAGGCTGTTGCATTACTGCTACAGGTGAGGTAATGACAAATTTTAAAGAAAATAAGAATTAGGGCCAGTTTAGTGAATGATATTTTACCTGTTTTATTGAGATATAATTGACATACATAAGTTAATGATTTGATTAATGTGTATAATGAGCATTTGGAAATTCACTGCTGTATTTTAGCTTGTTTTGACCTCAAAATTTAGGAACTTTATAGCAAGAATAGCATCTGTTATGTTGACTTTTTGTGGCCACTAAATTTTGTTTGACATTCCTGCTGAAGAATATTTTTATTGTAGAAGACACTTGCTTGGACTGGAACTAATTCATACAAGCATTAGTAGTAGGGGAATAAAATGTGTAGGAAATTACTCTTGATGTCTGAGTGTTTTGTTTTGAGTTTTAATGTTGCTTTCATTTATATTAATCTACAGCCAATTAAATTAGAAAGACATTCCATGATTCAGAGCTTTCTGGTGTATGGGCTGCTGAAGTGAGCACTGATTCAAAGCTTTTTAATATTTAGAATTCATCAAATACGTTTGTGTAAAATCTAATGGCTATAAATGCAGTCTTAAGAAGATAGATTTTAAATGCAGGGTGGTATGGAATAGAACTGAGATGGTGGGTCTCTGGAAATATACCCTTTCTCTTTGTCTGCCACTTCAATCAGAGCACCATTCTGTATCTGCTTGATATATTGGGACTCTCTGGTTAACCCCCACACCCCAAAGGAGTGTGTATTTGTATGAGTCTTTTGGAGCTTTTTTGTGTGTGTGTTTTTGATGTCTTTTTTTCACTGTGTAGTTTCTGTTCAACCCATTATTATTAATACTGTTTATTTAATTGTCAGAAACAGCCAGGATTTCTGTATCTGTGATAATAGTTCATATTTGGCATATAATATAAAGGGTTTATTTTCTGTTCTTCTGTAAATCTGTTGCATTTTGTTTATTTGTAGTGTTATGAAGCTGGTCACTTGGAGAATGACATTAATGAATCACGTGCTGCATCTCATTCTAAAGAGTATGGTGGAGGTGCGTATTTTTGAGATTTAAAAAAATGTAATGCATGGGGCGCCTGGGTGGCTCAGTCATTGGGTGTCTGCCTTTGGCTCGGGTCATGATCCCAGGGTCCGAGCCCTGCATTGGGCTCCCTGCTCATGGGAAGCCTGCTTCTCCCTCTCCCACTCCCCCTGCTTGTGTTCCCTCTCTCACTGTGTCTTTCTCTGTCAGGTAAATAAATAAAATCTTAAAAAAAAAAAAAATGTAATGCAAAATAACTATGAAGCACCTTGTCAGCTAACTAGAAAAGTTGTTACATATGTAAGCAAGACCAGTGAGGTTGCAATTTCCAAGACTTATTTGCCCAAGGGGCACCTGGCTGGCTCAGTTGGAAGAGCATGAGACTGTTGATCTCGGGGTCATGAGTTTGAGCCCCACATTGGGTGTAAAGATTACATAAAAATAAATAAAATAAGATAAAATCTAAAGAAAAAACCCAGACTTGTTTGCCTGAATATGCTTCCTAACATGATGCATGCACTAGAAAGCTGGATGGTCATTTTCAGCTTTATGCTGAAATTAGTTACATGGAATTAGAATTATATTAGAGTAAGGAAAAGTTAGGAACAATAAAGAAAAATCTGCTACTTAATTTTCTTATTAGATGATTCTCTAACTGTAATCATTACTTTCTTGGCTTTGATTCAGTTTTTATTCTATAGGACAGAAAATGTGGAATCTGAGTTGAGAGGGAAATTACAAGTCATCTAAGCCTATTTCTCACAAATAGTCTTAGTTTCTTTTTTTTTTTTTTTTTAAGATTTTATTTATTTGACAGAGAGACACAGCGAGAGAGGGAATACAAGCAGGGGGAGTGGGAGAGGGAGAAGCAGGCCTCCCGCAGAGCGGGACTCGATCCCAGGACCCCGGGATCATGACCTGGGCCGAAGGTAGATGCTTAATGACTGAGCCACCCAGGCGCCCCTAGTCTTAGTTTCTTTTGTCATATCTATGATTTTTGGTGAGTCAGCATATGCTTGAAAAAGACAGCTTATATTTTGAGTGTGGTCCATGTGGTTGCTTCTTTTAAGGGCTTGGATATCTTTTATATTTTATATATATTTTTGGGAATTTATTTTTTTAGGGAGAGTGCGAGCAGGGACGGGCAGAGGGAGAAGGAGAGAGAATATCCTAAGCAGGCTCTACCTTCAGCCCAGAGCCCAACACAGGGCTCGATTCCACGATCCTGAGATCATGACCTGAGCTGAAATCAAGAGTCAGATGCTTAACTGACTGAGCCACCCAGGCACTGGGCTTGGAAATCTTTTAGATTGCATTTGAATCTGACTCCTGAAAGTTATACATGTTGATCTTGGTTCTGCCTATAGGAGGATTGGGCAGCCCTTCATTCAGTAACAGATAGAATATCGTAGTTTGAGCATTTCCTCTACCAGATCCTTTGTTTGCTCAGTCCATTGCTTTAGGACTGTTAACTTTTTTTTTCTTTTTTTTAAAGATTTTATTTATTTATTTGACAGAGAGAGGGAACATAAGCAGGGGGAGTGGGAGAGGGAGAAGCAGGCTTCCCGCTGAGCAGAGAGCCCGATGTAGGACCCTGGGATCATGACCTGAGCCGAAGGCAGATGCTTAATGACTGAGCCACCCAGGCGCCCCAGGACTGTTAACTTCTAATCCATCTAAAGCATTACAGAGATTTAGGATATTATCCATATTATCCTTGTTTTATAGAAAAACATGAAGATGAAAGAGGTGGCAGGGTTGGGGGACTAAATCCAGAACTGACCAAATTCATGGCCACACTATCATCTTGTTATTCACTCCAGATTTTTTCAGGCCTATTCTTTGTACCACTTTGATCATTCATCTGCCAGTGCTATTTATTGATTAGTGTCATTTCTGAGACATTAGCCCAGATTTCAGCACATGGCATCAGATGTGGTCTGCCAGCAAAGGATATCATGGGGAGGTTATATTACATGTGATCTTTTTTAAAAAAAGATTTTATTCATTTGAGAGAGAGAGAGAGAGCAAGTACACAAGCAGGGGGAGGGGCAGAGGGGAAGAGAGAAGCAGACTCTCTGCTGAGCAGGGAGCCCGACATATGGCTCCATCCCAGGACCCTGGGACCGTGACCTGAGCTGAAGGCAGACACTTAACTGACTGAGCCACCCAGGCATCACTACATGTGATCTCAAATAAGCACTTTTTAAATTTTTTGTTTTTTTAAAGATTTCATTTATTTATTTATCAGAGAGTGAGCGAGAGAGAAACAGCATGAGAGGGGAGAGGGTCAGAGGGAGAAGCAGGCTCCCCGCTGAGCCGGAAGCCCGATGTGGGGCTCGACCCCAGGACTCCGGGATCATGACCTGAGCCGAAGGCTGTCGCTAAACCAACTAAGCCACCCAGGCGCCCCAGATGAGCACTTAAAAAAAAAAAAAAAAGATTTTATTTGTTTTTTTTGAGAGAGAGCGAGCACAGGGGGTGGAGGGGGCAGAGGAAGAGGGAGAAGCAGACTGGGCGCCTGGGTGGCTCAGTTGGTTAAGCGACTGCCTTCGGCTCAGGTCATGATCCTGGAGTCCCAGGATCGAGTACCGCATCGGGCTCCCTGCTCGGCAGGGAGCCTGCTTCTCCCTCTGACCCTCCCCCCTCTCATGTGCTCTCTCTCTCTCATTCTCTCTGGCTCAAATAAATAAATAAAATCTTTAAAAAAAAAAAAAAAAAAAAAAAAGAGGGTGAAGCAGACTACCCGCTGAGCGGGGAGCCTGATGCAGTGGTCAGTGCTGGGACCCCAGGATCATGACCTGAGCCAAAGGCAGACAATTAATAAACTGAGCCACCCAGGCACCCCTTAAATGAGCACATCTTTAAATATGACCCATGATTATTAAGTTTTCTAGTAAGTAAATCTAGTAGTATGTTAGCTTATGTTAAGCTTGTGTTCATATATAATTTCATAGATTCACCGATTGGCTTGCTTGTTTTAAACAAAAAACCTTTCAAAATGTCAGCTCTTAATATTTTTGTAGTCCAGCTTTTATAAAAATACAACCTGTACTTTATCTTTTATCAATTTCATCAACTGTTTCAGCTTCTGAGAATTTTGAACCTTTATTCTGCTATCATATTAATTTTTTAATCATAGGTGATTGGCAGCTTTGATAGCAGAGCTTCTCCATCTCTATCAGGCAATCCCAAGAAAGAGAGTACTAAGCCAGTTTTCCAAAGTCTAGCCTTCGTGTTGATACCTAGCCTAATTATCCTGGAATATTTTGTGAAATATCATTTGAGATTCCTCTTGATATTTCTATAACAAAAAGTTGAAATATATATAATAGACAATGAGGGAGAGACTGGAATTTCATTTTGTAAATATGCCAGGTTAGATCATACATTTTGTTGGATGTTCAAGATTTTAGTACTATTGCATGAATATCCTTTAAGCTATTAAATGTTTTGGGGGAGGTCTCCCCTTTCCCCAGGCCAGATTTTTGTATTTCTGCTTTTTATCTTAATCCTTAAATCATATAGTGATATAATTTACTGTCTTTAATTGTGGAGGTCAGGTTTTAGTATCTTTTCCTGACTACTAAATGTATTTCCTCCCCATCTATAGGATATTAATGTCCTTTGAGGAACTATGAAGTCTTTCACTTCAGTCATATAAAATGAAACTGCTTTAACCTACTGTATTCATTTACCATTTAATCTGTATGAGATAGAATTTATATATGTGTAGCTATTTCCCCAACTAGTTACATAGTCATGGGTAAATGTGCCCTTTTTCCTCATCTGCTAAGTTGGGGAATTAAATGGACTTTAAGACTGGTTTTTTACTCTAACATTCCATAATTCTGTGAGGTCCTTTTGGTTGAAGGTAGGATTTCCTGGACTTGTGAGTGAATAGCCAGCAGGTAACGCATGTTTTCCTGTCATAGGCACTACCAAGATATTTGATAAACCAAGGAAGCGAAAACGACAGAGGCATGCTACAGCCAAGGTGCACTGTAAAAAAATGAAAAATGACGACTCATCAAAAGAAACTCCAACCTCAGAGGTATTACTCAGTTCCTCATCTTTTGACCTTCCAAAGAAAATCTACTTTTCACAGTAGAGGCCACACCCCTCTTTCCCTTGAGTTTACTTAAGAATAATGTTCTACTGAAACAAGCTAATTAATAGCTGTAAGAAGACATATATGGCAACTATGGGTATGATCTTTTTAAAGGATCAGATCCTATGCTCTAGGTGTCTGATAAATTTTATAACTTTCATCATGAAGTAAGCTTTTTCTAAAACCAAAGCACAATACCAAGTAACCGTATGATCCGAATGAACTTGGATATTGCCCTTTAAAAGTTGAGACTGCTACAATTAGAAGGGAAACTCATTTGCTTATTTCTTGAGACCATCAACTGCTTAATTTTAGACTAATGTTTGTAAACATTGGCTTTAAGGAAACAAAAAACAAAGGTAGATTTAAAACCATTTCCTTGTAGAGCATCAGTGCAGTCATTGATGCTATCTCTGGCTTTTCAGCTCAGGTTAAAAGAGAATTAGAACAAGTGAGGTCAGTTTATACATAATGATACAGAGTGTTTCTTTCCAGGATAATTTGAATAGAATGCCCAAGGGGGCATTATTTAGGAAACACTGATCTTGGAAGGACAAATAAGTAATCAAATAAACTTAAGAATGTTTTCTCTCCCTTAGTGAAACCTTAAAATGGAACAGCTCAAAAAGTTCCAGTGGAACAGCCTCAGAGCAGTTAGTGGCAGGGCATGAGGCGCCCACTACCCGCCCAATCACAGCAGGGTTAGAACTAACATTGCATGCAGTCCGCCCGCGTGATTGGCTGAACATCTGTAAGTGCTTAATGGCTAGACAAATAGCAGCCCAGAGGGAGGGGGTCAGATGGAGGAGACATCAATAATACAGATGTGGGACATTATTTTTTCTCTGCAAGGGAGAACTGATGACACACAGAACGGCTGCAAGCCCTAAGGAGACTGTTGAGGAGGGTGTAGAGAATGATCATGGGATGCCGGCATCTAAAAAGCTGCAGGGCGAACGAGGCGGAGGAGCTGCACTCAAGGAGAATGTTTGTCAGGTAGAGGATGTTGCCCACTTGGATTTTGATTGCTTGCATGTCTCTTAAGAGAAGCCCTCTCCATCTCTTGATAACCCAGTCATGGTTAGAATAAACATTTTCCTGGATGATTCCAGTAGAGTCATTTCCCTTTAAGGATTTAAGTCTTACCCCCCCCCCTTTTTTTTTAAAGATTCTATTTATTTATTTGACAGAGACAGTGAGAGAGGGAACACAGCAGGGGGAGTGGGAGAGGGAGAAGCAGTCCTCCCGCCGAGCAGAGAGCCCGATGTGGGGCTCGATCCCAGGACCCTGGTATCATGACCTGAGCTGAAGGCAGACGCTTAACGACTGAGCCACCCAGGCGCCCCCAAGTCTTACCCCTTTTTACAAAAAGAGAAAGGAGAAGAAATATTTAGTGTTGGTCAATGACTTGCCCTTGTTACCCATGAGTAGATGCCATGAAGCGGGTCTGAGATGGGAGAAGGTGAATCTGGTGATTGCTTAAAGATCATTTTCCTGTACATTTCATGGCTTGAGAATCTCTGGGTTTCTAAGGAACGCTGCAAGGGAAATTTTCACTTTAAGATTTCTTTACCTTTAAAGTAGTGACTTTAGAGAATCTACCACCTGCCTTTTTATATTTATTTAATAAGTATTTATACAGTGTTTACTGTGTGTCAAGAGTTTCCATCACTTTATAAATAATCCAGGGGCGCCTGGGTTAGGCAGCCGACTCTTGATTTTGGCCCAGGTCATGATCTCAGAGTTGTGAGATCGAGCCCACATCAGGCTTAAGATTCTCTCTCCCTCCCCACCTCCAGAAAAATAAATAAATTTTAAAAATAAATAAAAATAAAACTTATAAATATTAAGTCATTTAGTCATAACAATCCTGTAGACTACCATGTCCTCATTTTTATAGGTGAGGAAACTGAGGCATAGAGATATTACATAACTTGCTTATAGTCACACAGCAAAGCCAGGATTCAAACTCAAGCAGTCTGAGTTTAGAGCTAATCACTGTTGTGTTGCCTCTCTGTAAAGAGCCTTTATCAGACTTGGGAGTAGAGTCAATTAAATGGATGCTTTGGTTATGTTCTCTTTTTTATGGGCTTGATTTACCTTTGTAAATTCTTAAAAGCTGGCCTATAAAAAGTTGAAGATAGTTTTTTTTTCTTTTTTCTTATTGAAATGGCTAAAAAATAAAAGTTAACCCAAGCCCAGAATATGTTATGATAAACAATAGAATTTCAACTCAGTTTCTTTGTTTTTTCATTTTTACTATTACATAAAGAAGGTTGATCATATTCAGATCAGCACCCACACACAGTGTTAGTCCTTAAAGACTATATGGCCACAAAGATTATCAACAAAAAATGGTTAAAGGGATAGTTGCCTTGTGGTCCTGGATTGTTTGGATCACTCTTTATCTGTTGTCCTTGTTTAATTAATTAATTAATTAATTAATTTTTTAAATTTTTTTTTTAAAAGATTTTTTATTTTTATTTATTTGAGAGAGAGAATGAGAGACAGAGAGCACGAGAGGGAAGAGGGTCAGAGGGAGAAGCAGACCCCCCGCTGAGCAGGGAGCCCGATGTGGGACTCGATCCCGGGACTCCAGGATCATGACCTGAGCCGAAGGCAGTCGCTCAACCAACTGAGCCACCCAGGCGCCCCTAATTTATTAATATCATGTCCTTTCACTCACATGGTTACCATTTTGAAAGATGAAATTACATGGTCATCCCTGTTAAAGGGTTAGTCTGTAACATTTGCTTAACTTGAAAACATTCTTTGATATATACTGTAATTGAAGTTTTCCTGTTTAAATAGTGATGGCGAATTTGTTTATTGTACATAAGAGCTGGTATCATTGACACTGTGAATAAAGAAAAGAAAGTAGGTAATATTTATGGCATTTGTCAATTTTTATCTGTGAATAGGGGATAATGGAAGAGCCAAAGTGTAAGACTAATTTACACTATAGGTTAAGACTTTGGGGTCTGTCTGCTCTTTATCCCTGGCTGCCTCTGGCATTTTTTCCCAAAGCTCTCCTACTCATTTGTGTATTTAAGGTTTGATGTTAGTGGCCAAGACCTGTTGTTTCTTTGGGTTCTTGAAGATATTAGACTTATCTAGTCGCCTTCCCTCTTTCTTGTCTTCCACAATAAGACTCTTTTCCATTTTTAGTATTTTCCTGCTGATCACTCTGGGGAAACGTCAGGATGTTAGAGGAATGAAAGTAACAAATGTTGGGAATTTGCAGAATTTTCATAAATCTTATGTTTTGAAAGCAACAGAGCCAGATCTTTATTTCCTAACGCCCTATCATAAATGACACCCTGTCTTAGATGAGATCATCTCAAAGGTGACCTCTCTGAGATGGTTGTAGATATAACTCAAACATTGTTCAAACCTTGATTAGGGCCCTTTTGAGACTGTTAACAACCCAAGTCTAGCTAACCAGTATCTCTTGCTTGAACTATTACAGTAGGCTTCTTGATTGTCTCTTTGCTACTCTTCTCACCTTTCTCATTCTTGAACTCATTTTCCATGTAGTAATCAGAGGAATCTGTTTTTAAATATCTGACTTTAGCCTTCCCTTGTTAAAGCCCTCTAATGGCACACCTCTGTAATTAGAATAAAATTTGAAACTGTAGCATAAGGTGTAAAGCCACACAATCAGGCTGGTGCCTTTTTCTTACCTCATCTTCTACCACTTCTGACTTTTGTTCATTTTAGTCCACTGACTTTCCTTGTGATTCTCAGACATGACATAGTTTTTCCTATCTGTGGACTTTCTGTATTTGTCTTCCTGGTCTTTCTGTCAGATCATGTGACTGACTTGGAGTTCAGAACTCCGTCTGAGAGGCCATTCCCAATCACTAAGTAGCTGTTTGAATTCTCTACTTAATGCTTATCATTATCTGATATCTTTCCTGTTTGTTTACTTGTATTTTCAATCCTTAGAATATATGAATCATGAGAGCTAGGGACTTTGTGGAACCTGGCGTAGAGGAGTTAATCATTAAATATTGGCTGAATAAATGGTGAGCTTTCTTCTTTCTGGAAAGCTGCTGCTTAATCTTTGCCTTCATGAAGGCCGCCTGCTTGGGACTTTAAAAATCTTTTCTCTATAGACATACCTGTTTTCTTTCTCTTAACAGAACTGTGAGAAACTGGGTGAGCTGCTGTTATGTGAGGCTCAGTGCTGTGGGGCTTTCCACCTGGAGTGCCTTGGATTAACTGAGATGCCAAGAGGAAAATTTATCTGCAATGAATGTCGCACAGGTGAAGTAGATATAGATGGGGTTTTCTTCCAAAGATGTTTGAGTTTTAAGTTTTTCAGGAAAAATTCCCAACGTTTATTGCAGACACTTTTTGTGGCAATACTGGGCTAGTTGCTACAGACGCAGATAGGTGCTGTGTGATCTTTGCCTGTAGAAAAGAATATCAAGTGAATAATGAATGGATAGTATAATATAATGCAGAAGGATTGTAGTAGAGATAGATTTGTAGTGATAAGTGAACAAAGATGAGCCAGTTCCACAGAGGAAGATAACTGAATTTGTCTTGAAAAGAGGCATGGAAATTGGTGTGGGGAGGTGAAGAACAAGAAGGTCCAGTAATGAAAGTATAGAATATTGAGGCATAGGTTAGTGTGTTTAGAGTTTAAGATACTTTAGGAAAGAGGCATTGGTAGTGACAAGGAGGGTTTCTGGATTACTGGTGATGTTTTATATTTCTTGAGTTGAGTGGTGATTACATAAACGTGTTTTCTTTGATCATTTGTGAACTGTACACTTAGGATGCTGTACTTTTCTGTGTGTATATCATAGGTGAACAAAACTGTTTACCAAAAAAGGAAAGATGTATTTTGAGAGTTACATAGATTGGCTCAGAAACTAAGAATGGTCAGATGTAACCACCTGTAAAGTACCTCACAAGCTATGCTAAGGAGATTGTTCTTTCTTCAGCATTATATGTGAATATTATAGCATTTAAGTAGTAAGAAAAAATGGGGGCTAAAAGCTGTTACACTCCTAAGTCATTAAAACTGCAAGTGTGAATAAACCTGCCAAGGAGAAAGCATCTGGAGAGGGAGAAAAGGACCAACAAAAGTACTCAGGGGGTGCCCACATTAAAAAAAAACACTGGAGGGTGAGGAGGAGCTAGTCAAAGAATGTCTGTGAAGCCAGGGAGAGTGGGGTGTCATCAGCAGGGGCATATGTGGCAAAGAGACCAAGGATGTTCTGGGGTGATAAGAGGCTGTTATATTTAGCAGTGAGAAAAGACTTGACTTTTTGCCAGAGGGTGCCACACTAAACCTGGTTGAAGGGCAAATGGTTAGCAGTATACACTACGTCTTACGAAAGCTTGATATCCATGGAAAAAGAGGGCAGTAGCTGAAGGGAGGATATTATAGAGTCAAGAGGAAGAACATCTTGAGTGTTTGTAGGATGAATGTTAAGAACCACATAGGGAAATAAATTCCTGCAACAGGAGAGGGAATAATTAGTGGAGTATAGCTACAAAGTGACAGGAGAGAATAATCTTGAAGAGAGGAAAAGATAAAACAGGAATGTACCTTGGAGTTGGGAGGCAGAATAAAGAAGCCAGTGTTTTTTCTTAGTTCGATGAGAATGATGGGGGAAAGGTGATTTCTAACTTGAAGGTAGAGTGTAGGTTTAGGGTAGCCCCTGTGGGAGCAAGAGACAATTAACTTGTGTCTGTAAATCAGTGGCTGTGTCATATTGAGTTATCTCCTCTTTCTGCCACTACTTTTAGCAATGTGGGAATAAAAGCTGGAAGACAAAATTGTTCGGTTATTTTGCCTCCTGCACAGTGGGCTTTTGATCATTATGGGAAATAGTACCATCCAGCCCTATAAATGAAATTTAGGAAAAAAAATTTTAGGTATGTGCATATCTCTTATCCTAACCTTAGAAAGATCTTGCCTTTTGTACAGATAATCCAGTTTTGCTAGTCTTATCTTTATTATAATGTGATATTCTCTGAACAAGTTAAGGCAAAGGTATTTTTTAAAGAATTAACCTTACTGAAGTATAATTTACCTACTATAAAATGCACTAGTTTTAATGTATGTTTTGATAGGTTTTGATTTATAAACACCTATGAAACCACAAACATAATGAAGATTCAGAACATTTCCATCACTCTGGAAAGTTCCCTTGTACTTAGTCCCAGTTGATCCTTATGCCCCTCATTTCCCCCTTCCCCAATCCTATTTCAGGGAAACAATGATCTGCTTTCTGTAACTACACATTAGATTTATCTTTTTTAAGAGTTTCATATAAGTGGAACAAAATGTATGTAGGTTTTTGTGTCTAGCTCAGCGTAATGTTTTTCACACTCATCTGTGTTAATGTGTGTATCAGTAGTTCATTCTCTTTCTTAAAATAGCTTTATTGAGGTATAGTTGATGTGCAGTACTGCACAAAGTATAGTTTGATAAGTTCTGACATATATATGTGTGTGTACATACACCTGTGAAACCATCCGTCAGCATAGTTAATTTGAGATTCAACAACATTGTTGTAGGTATTGAGAGTTCATTCCTTTTTATTGCTGGGTAGTATTCCATTGTATGGATGTATCACAGTTGGTGATACATATTCATTCATCTATTGATGTACATTTGGGTTGTTCTGAGGTTGGGGTATTATTAATAAAGCTGCTGTGAACATTCATGTCTTTGTATGGATACATTTTCTTTTTATTTCTGTAAATACCTAAGGGCAGAATGGCATGGTAGATATATGTTTAACTTTTTTATTTTTTTTATTTTTTTATTTGAGAGAGAGCAAGCACATGAGAGAGGGGGGAGGGTCAGAGGGAGAAGCAGACTCCCCGCCGAGCAGGGAGCCCGATGGGGGACTCGATCCAGGGACTCCAGGATCATGACCTGAGCCGAAGGCAGTCGCTTAACCAACTGAGCCACCCAGGCGCCCTATATGTTTAACTTTTTAAGAAACTTCCAAAGTGTTTGTACACATTTTACATTCTCATCAGTAATGTATGAGAGTTTCAGTTCTTCCACATCTTCATCAACACTTGGTATTGTCAGTCTTTTTAATTTTAGTCATTTGGACAGATGTGTAGTGGTATCTCATTGTGGTTTTAATGTGCATTTTCCTAATGACAGATGATGTTGTGCATCTTTTTAATGTGCTTTTTTGCCGTGTTCCTTGATGAAGTATCTGTTCAAATCTTTTTTTTTTTTTAATTTGGTTGTTTATTTTCTTACTGTTGCATTTTAAGCGTTCATTATATATATTCTGGATACAAGTTATTTATCAGATACATACTTGTAAAATTATTCTACCAAACTGTGGGTTGGTTTTTCATTTTCTTAATTGAGTCTTTTGAAGAGCAGTTTTTTAGTTGTAATGATGTTGTTTATCAGTTTGTTCTCTTTAGAGATTTTGCTTTGGTATCATATTGAAGAAATCTTGTATAACCCAATGTCACAAAGCTTTTCTTTGTTTTCTAACAAAAATTTTACAGTTTTTGGTTACAGCTTTATGTCTAAGGTCTATTTTGAATTGATTTGTATATATGATGTGAGGTAGAGTTATTATTTTTGAGGGTAGGAAATTTTACCCTAATTTTAGTCAAGATGAATAGAGTAAGAATAAAGGAGTCATTTCTTTTTTCTTGTGGCTCACCCTATTTTCCTAATGTGGAGTGACCACACCATAATTTAGGTTATTCCAGTTTAATATTGGCATCAGGCAGTAAATAGTTTGCTTATTTCCAAATGCATAATTAAAATTTTTTCTTAAAATCATTATTAGCTGAGTAATCTTACTGTTCATAGGTGTGGTGGGTTATTTTAATGAATTCCTGTTTCCAGCAAGTGTCGGGGGCAAGATTCATGTTCAGGTCTGTCTCTCAAGCTTGGGCTCTTTCCCTTACTTTGTATTGCTTCTCAGAGAGAGGTAGTTTCTTTTTTTTCTTTTTTTTAATTTCCCTTTTCTTAAACTTTGTATTACAGAAATCTTCAGACATTTACAAAAGTAGAACAGTATAAAACAACCCCATGTATTCATCATTTAGCTTCAGTAGTTACCAGTTTTCTGCCTGTGTTTACCCATATATTTCTTTTTATTTTTTATTTGTTTCAGGGGTACAGGTCTGTGATTCATCAGTCTTATATAATACCCAGTGCTTTACCCATATATTTCAAAAGGTCTAGCACAACTTAAAAAAATATATCTAATATGTAGAAAAATTATACAGTAACTTCTGTGTGTCACCTACTGCCCAGTCCCATTTTCACATTTTCCCATATGTCTCAAAGATGTCTTCTTATGTATTTTAATCAAGATCCAAATAAGACTGCCTTTATTGTATTTTTTGATATGTCTCTTAAATTTCTTTTAATCTACAACAGTACACCCTCATCCTGTTTTTTAATGTTTATTTGTTAAGACAACGGTCTTAACATTTGTCCTGCTAAAATTTCTGCATTACATATTTGGTTGATTGCATCTTTTAGGTGTCCTTAACTTGTTCCTCTATCTTCCATATTTCCTGGAAACGTGTAGTTAGATCTAGAGGCTGGATTAATTTCAGGTCAGTTTTCTTTTGGCAGGAATGCTTTGTAGGTAATGTGTACTTTCTGTTGCATCACATCAGCAGGCATATATTATCAAGAGTTTCTCACTTAATGATCTTAAGATTGTTCAGTAGGTTCATGTTATCAGCCTGATCAGTCTATTACAAAGTTCTTTACTGTGATATTGTGATTTATAATAAAACATACATATTTTGGTCTTTAGCTTGTGGCACAGAGCTCCCAAAATCTTGGCCTCTCCTAAGTGGTGAGAGTGATAAAGATGTGCTTTGTGTGTGTTTTATTATGTTAATAAAAGACACACCTGAGGATGGGGGCTTGATTGCCAGTAGAACCAACCTTATGATTAGAGGGCTAGAACTCTCACTCCTATCCCCCTAATCTCTAGGGAGGGGAGGGGGCTGGAGGTTAGGTCAATCCCCAGTGGCCAGTGGTTTAATCAGCCTTTGCAATGAAGTCTCCATCAAAACCCAAAAGGATGGGTTTCGGAAGCTTCTGTATTGGTGGGTATGTGGAGATTTAGAATAAAGTGGTGCTCTTGCAGAGGGCATGGAAGCTCTACACCCTTTCCTCATACCTTGCCCTATGTATGCATCTCTTCCATGTAGCTATTCATGAGTATTATCTTTTCATGATAAACTGGTGATTCAGTAAATAAAATGTTTCTCTGAGTTCTATGAGCCATTATAGCAAATTAAACCCAAGGAAGTGGAGGTTGTAGGAACCTCTGATTTATAGCCAGTCAGAAGTATAGGTGACAACCTGGACTTGAGACTGGCATCTGAAGTTGGGGGCAAGGGCCGTCTTGTAGAATTCAGTCCTTAACCTGTGGGATATGATGTTACCTCCATGTATGTAGTTTCAGAATTGAGTTGAATTGTAAGACACCCAGCTGGTGTTGGAGAATTGCTTGGTGGTACGGAGGCGCCCCCCCCCCATATTGGAACTTGGTACAGAATTGTGTACTTAACAAACTTTTCATCTAATGGTTTAGCATTGGATGATTTCTTGAATTGGTGTTAATTTATTACCTTCCTTTTGTTTACCAGGAATCCATACCTGTTTTGTTTGTAAGCAGAGTGGAGAAGATGTTAAAAGGTGCCTTTTGCCCTTGTGTGGAAAGTTTTACCATGAAGAATGTGTCCAGAAGTATCCACCCACTGTCATGCAGAACAAGGGCTTCCGGTGCTCCCTCCACATCTGTATAACCTGCCATGCTGCTAATCCAGCCAGTGTGTCTGCATCTAAAGGTACGGGTTTCTCACATGATCTGGTCTAATTATAGAACCTTGGTGTCACTGGTAGTGTGTATTTCCAGATGTGATGTGGCATGTCTCTTCATGGCCTCTAGGTTTTGCCAGAGTACCAGCATTTTATGAGAGAGAGAAGAAATAATGGACTAGTCCAACAGTCGCCACACTGTGTTCTGTGGAGCCCTGTTGTTATGTGGTGGCTTCAAATATTTGGATTTCACGTGATACTTTGTTTGAGAAAGTGTTGTGCTGTAGGTCTTCCCCTCCCTACTCCATTAGACCAAAATGCATTCTTTTCCTGTGAACCCTTTATCTCTGTGGTTGTTAGATAGGATATTATTCAGGTATGAATTTAGGGCAGAATTGAGGTTTTTGTTTTGTGTTGATTTGTTTTTTAAACTGGAAACTTTTATCCTGACAACCTCTTTCCTGCTTTATAGTTAGGTTGAGAGCTGAGGTTTCCAAAAGTATGCCCAGGGAGTCCCTACTCCTCCCATAAGGGATTGAGCAGGAAACATTTACCAGTGTTTCGCCTTTTCTTCTAATTAGACTGGCAGTACCTTTTGTAATATGATTTCCTGAGCCTATAGATCTCATCAGTCTTAAGTACAGTAATTTCACTTGCTTGATCAAAATTACAGTTGAACCATCAGCTTACCTTCCCCTTTTCAGTTGCTATTGTAGATTGCATTTAGGTGGTTTGGGTAATGGTTTTTAGTAGGTGATGTATATTAGAGGACATATTTTACCTGGACGGGGTGAAAAGTTTCATTCACCTAAAAATTCAGGCTTTAAGAATCACTCAGTACCAGGCAATGAAAGCAAGCATTAGTCTTTCTCCTAGCTGCCTTTTTATTCTGATTGTGCACATCCCACCTATTTAGTTTGAGGCTGATGCCAGGTTTCCTAGAAGTCAGGGCAGTGGATTGAATAGGGCTTTCCTTGGTGAGGCAGGCTCACTTAACAGTTGTGGGATCTGACTCCTTTATGGCAGCTTATCACATAGCTCCCATCTGAGCTTTTCATAGGGAATTGTGTGTTTTGTGATCCCTTGTCCTAGTAGTGCTTCCTTCTGTTAGTGACATTTTCTCAGTGCTGACAAAGAGATTTCAAAACTCATGTTGCTTTTATGTTTTCTTTGTTTTTCTTTTACTACTGGTTTTCCTGCTTCTTGTAATTTTAGGTCGTCTGATGCGCTGTGTCCGCTGCCCTGTGGCGTACCATGCCAATGACTTTTGCCTGGCTGCTGGGTCCAAGATTCTTGCATCTAATAGTATCATCTGCCCTAATCACTTTACACCTAGGCGGGGCTGCCGAAATCATGAGCACGTTAATGTTAGCTGGTGTTTTGTATGCTCAGAAGGTAAGACAGGACTGCTTAATATATGAATAGTCTAAAAAGAGATTAATACAATATTCTAATTGCAACAAAAATTATTTTCTCACATCGTTACTAGAGAAATATTAGGAAGTAATGTCTTGAATTAATGATAACATAGCAAACGTTTAAACTTGTTTTTTTCCCCCAATAGGGAGAGGTTTTATTTTATTATTTTGAATAATGACTTTATTTTTATTAAAATGATGAACAAATGAAGGGCATCTGGGTGGCACAGTCGGTTGAGCATCTGACTATTGGTTTTGGCTCAGGTCGTGATCTTAGGGTAGTGGGATCGAGCCCTGCCTTGGGCTCAGCGCTTATCACAGAGTCTGCTTGAGCTTCTCTCTCCCTCTGCCCATTCCCCTCTTCCCTACTTCTCGCATGCATGCATGTGTACACACACACTCTATTAAATAAATAAATAGATGTTTAAAAAAATAAATGATAAACAAATGAAACAATAAAGAAAAAGACATGGCAAAGGAAATAAAATCACCCTTGGAAAATGGGAGAATATGATCTCCAGTTAGAAGATGAGTAAGTTTGGGGGACTTAATGTACAGCATGGTAACTGTAGTTAACAATACTGTATTGTATATTTGCAAGCTGCTAAAGAGAGTAGATCTTAAAAATTCTCACTACCCCACCAAAAAGAAAAAAAATTGTAACTGTGTTAGGTGTTGGATGTGTTACCTAAACTTATTTCAGCAATCATTTCACAGTATATACATATATCTAGTATTTCTGTTGTACACTTTAACCTTACACAATGTTATAGATCAGTTATATCTCAATAAAGCTGGGCGGGGGGAAGGAAAGATAAACTGGAGGGAGGAAATCAATCAATCTAAATCGGAGGGAGGGTGGGAGGAAATAAACAAACAAATAAATAAATAATCTAAATTGTCCCAAGTCCCACCATCAGAAAAAACCATTGCTTAATTTTAAGTGATACTACTTAAGACATTTGTGCACATACCCAGATAGCAGGGGTAGATACCTAGATAGAAACAGTTCTAGAAGATGGTATTATATCGTACAATTGTGTATCTTTTTTGTTAAATCATTTATTCATGAATTTAAAGGGACGAAACAAAGGGAAAGTGAAGGAATTTATGAATGTCTGTAAAATGTTTCCTCACTGTTAGGGATATTAATTCCTAGAAGTTCTTCTAAAGTGGAGGAAAAATAAATTTTGTATCTTTTTTTCCTTCAACTTAAAACATCTCCTTTAGAATAGTCAATGTTGTGCTGCTTATATACTTTGTCTTTCCATTTTTCACAGCCTCATTTTTGCTAGTTACTGTAGGTGGATGATTTAGTAATCATCACTAGTCTATTTACTGTGGTGCTTTTATAGTTCTCATTTCCTTATTTTAATTTTTCCTGTGGTGGGCTTAACTTCCAGGAAGCACCCACAGGTGCTATAATCCTCTGCTTGAGGCTATTCATCACTTGCCTCTATACCATAAGCCTGTGTTGGTTTGCTATAAAACTTTCAAGCTCCATGTTCTTTTTCTAAGACTGTTGTGGACGTTGCCTCACTATTTTTTGATGTTAAGGGTGGCACCAGTTCTCTTACCTAGTTTCTTCATTACTTTTCAAATTGACGAAATTTTGTTGATTAGTAATTTGGGGGGGAACAATTTGTCTCACTTTTCTGTTTTTGAATACTTATTGGTAATGCAATTTCACGAAAACTTGGCTGGTTATGAACATTTTGAGGGACTGATATTTGTTTATTTATTTGAGAGAGAGCATGTGTGCGAGTGGAGGAGAGGGAGATGCTTAAGCAAGCTCCACACCCAGCTTGAGCCCAACATGGGGCTCAGTCTCATGACCCTGAGAGCATGATCTGAGCTGAAATTAAGAGTCAGATGCTTAACCAGCTGAGCCACCCAGGTGCCCTCAGAGGGACTCATTTGAAAAGTCAAAATGTGTAATTGAATGACCATCCCTTTTGAGAAATTTGGATATACTAAATAGTGCTAAAGCCAAAAAAGAAGTTTTTTTGACTGCTTTATGTGATTGAAAATGGTCAGTTTGGAGTGTGTGTTCTTAGAAGATTTATGTAACATGACAATTTAAGGAAAAGTTATACTTACTGACTAGAGTTTTACACCAAGACATGGTTTGTATCCTCAAACTATGCTGCTAATATAGAATAAATAAAAAGAATGTTAAGTGCAGTTCTGTGGATAGAAAGGGAACCTTTGGTGTAGAGATGTTTTAATTCACAAAGTGGACATTTTTCTTTGTTCTTCTAATACCTGCTTCTTATAACACAGTCTTGTGGTAAGTACTACTGCCTCTTTATCGTACCACCCTTCTTTTGTTTAGAAGAAAATTAGAGATAAGAGTTTTGGTATTCAATAGCATTTAAATATAACTTTCTATAATTCTAGTCTTAGACTAAAAACAGGTTTCTGGGAGGCTGAAGTGTAAGCTCCAAAAGTTTTCTACATTTCTTGGAGATGGGACGATGAAACAGTTTCAGCATTAGACCTTTCTTTTTATTTTTTTAAGGAGAGAGAGAGAGAATTTTATGGAGGCTCCATGCCCAGCATGGAGCCTGATGAGGGGCTTGATCTCATAACCCTGAGATTATGACCTGAGCCAAAATCCAGTCAGATGCTTAACTGACTGAGCCACCCAGGCGCCCCAGCATTAGACCATTTCTAATTCCAGAGTGGGATGAAATGAATGAGATGGTTTAGAGTGAGGGTGCCCATAGCATTCCTGACATGGAGCATCCTAACTGAAAAGCTGTTGAATTCAATAATGGATACTCATAATGATAACTGAGCCATGTAGAAAACTTAGTAGCTGCAGCAGCAGCCCTCCAAAGTGTGATCCATGATCCTTGGGAAGGGGTAAGGACCCAGAGGCCCTTTTAGGGGCTTCCATGAAACCATAACTCTTTTCATAACAATAATAAGATAACACATGCCTTTTATAGTTTGTTGACATTTGTACTGATGGTTCAAAAACCAGTGGTGGGTAAAACTGCTGGCACCTAATACAGATCAAGGCAGTGGCTCTAAAACATACAAGTAGAATCAGTCATTGTATTCTGTATTACCACACGTCTCAGTAAAAAAAAAAAAAAAAGGAAGTTTCACATAAGAATGTTCTTGAATAACATTTATTAATTTTATTAAATCTCAACCCTCAGGTGAACATTGTTTTAATATTCTGTTATAATAAAATAGAAATACACTAAAGTGGTTCTGTTGCATACTGAAGGTTAACTTAAGTTAAAGCACTCATGTAGTTGAGTGGCATCTGGGTGGTGCAGTTGGTTGAGTGTCCGATTCTTGGTTTCAGCTCAGGTCATGATTTAGGGTTCATGAGATTGAGCCCTTGTGTTGAGCTCCCCGCTTGGCGGGGAGTCCGCTTGGGATTCTCTCTCCCTGTCCCCTCCCCCTGCTGTGTCACGCTTCCCCCCCCCCCCCCCGCCCAAGTAAATAAATCTTTTTAAAAATAAAATATTTGCAAAAATGTAAAACTTGTTAGCTCACTAACAATTTTTTATTTTAGAAAATAGTTATTTATATTAACATAATAGGTTTATTGTTATTTTTAAGTGAATTAATAAATATTTTATTAGATTTATTATTAATTTTTATGACCTGAGCTGAAATCCAGTCAGATGCTTAACTGGATGCTCTAAATATTTACTAGATTTATTATTTTATTAGATTTAATAGATTTATTATTTTTAAGTGAATTAATAAATATTTTAAAAATTTCTTAGTTTTGGTTCCAGTTTAGTAAATTTAATATTTTTAGCCTACATAAACAAAACTTCTTTGGGAATCTCCATCATTTTTCAAGAGTATAAAGTTATCCTGAGTCCAGAACGCCTGAGAATTGTTGGTCCCATTATCTAAGATTATCCTGCTATTAGACAACAGAGACAGAATAGAGCCTTAGGACATTTTTGCCCGTGTAGGGAGAAAGCTGAAGGTGATCATTCAGAGTATTAGGATAATAATATGGTAACCTGCTAAATTGAAAGGAACAAGTTCCTGGAATTCAGCAATGTGCTTAAAATTTATTTTCTCTTACCTCTTCCACAGAAATGTCACTTTTTTCTCTTTTGCTTTCTTTTGATGGTTCATGTAGTTTTCCCTCTTCTGTCTTAATGTCCTTTCTCCTATACATCTCCCTTACTGCCATCAGATAAACTCTCCTGCCTACCTCCCATCCATCTACCCAGATTAATCCTATTGATTTCTTTTCTCATATTCTCTCTCAGCTCATATCGCATTATGTCCTTCCCCGCAAAACTGTTTGCCACTATATCCCCTCAGCTCTGTCCTTAGCCTTTCTTCAGTGGGTATTCTTATATGCAGATTTCTTTTCATGCTATATAACCTCCTTTTAAGGCCTAGTGCAAAGGCCTTGTTGTACCTGAAATATTTCTAGTGTGTTACAAAAGCCAGCTTACTAAAAGGAAGGTTTTTCTACAAAGTCCATGTAGTTGGCAAACTTATACGGTTAATCAGATTGTGACTTAGCAGATAACTAAGCATAAATAGGAAATGTTCTAGAAGGTATATTATTGGGGCAGGTAAATTATGTGACTCTATATCACTCTTATGTCCCATGCTAAGATTGTTCGACTCATCCTACAAAATGCACAAGAATAGCTAAATATGAGTTTCAGAGCAGAGAGTAAAGGCTATATGTATTGAGTAAACAAATTCTTCAAACTTGTTGTAGCAACAGACTTTTTTCCAAATGAAATATCACTGAATCAAGCCTCAATATACAACAGAGATAAAAGGAGAGCTTCTCTAATTGAAAAGGAGTTGGGTCTTAAGCACACAGTCCTGGCCCCAAGAAAATAAACACCCCAGAGCTTAACACCCCAGAGCTTATTTTAAGAGCCTGCTGCTCAATGATGATTGAGAAAAGGAAAAAGTCAGCATGGATAGGATGGTGTCACAAAATCTAAGTTTTTTATAGGATATTATGAGGCAAAGGGGCACAGTAAAACTCAGATGATGTGGACATATACTTTGCTAAGGCTTTATCCCCCACTAACTTCAGGATGAGATTTGGACTTACATGCTTGAGTCTAGCGTGTTTGAAACATGCTCATTTCTGGCATAAGATAATAGGGTATTTTTGATGGCTGCATAATATTCCATTGTATATATACACACCAAATCTTCTTTATCCATTCATCTGTTGATGGACATCTTGGCTCTTTCCATAGTTCAGCTATTGTGGACATTGCTATAAACATTGGGGTGCACGTACCCCTTTGGATCACTACATTTGTATCTTTGGGGTAAATACCCATTAGTGCAATTGCTGGGTCGTAGGGTAGCTCTATTTTCAACTTTTTGAGGAACCTTCATACTGTTTTCCAGAAATCTTGCCATTTGCAACGACATGGATGCAACTAGAGGGTATTATGCTAAGTGAAATAAGTCAATCAGAGAAAGACATGTATCATATGATCTCACTGATATGAGGAATTCTTAATCTCAGGAAACAAACTGAAGGTTGCTGGAGTGGTGGGGGGTGGGAGGGATGGGGTAGCTGGGTGATAGACATTGGGGAGGGTATGTGCTATGGTGAGCTCTGTGAATTGTGTAAGATTGATGAATCACAGACCTGTACCTCTGAAACAAATAATACATTATGTTTAAAAAAAAAAAAAAAGACGATAGTAGGAAGGGAAAAATGAAGGGGGGGAAATCGGAGGGAGAGATGAGCCATGAGAGACTATGGACTCTGAGAAACAAACTGAGGGTTCTAGAGGGGAGGAGGGTGGGGGGATGGGTTAGCCTGGTGATGGGTATTAAAGAGGGCACGTTTTGAATGGAGCACTGGGTGTTATACGCAAACAATGAATCACGGAACACTACATCAAAAACTAATGATGACGGTGATTAACATAACATAATAAAATAAAATTTAAAAAAGATAATAGGGTATTTATTATATTCCTTAAATATGAATCCTCTTTATCTGAAATTTTTCATAGTCTGAAACTGAGGATTTCAGCCTCAGATACATAAATTGAATTACTCTGAAAATCTTTAGGAAGTGAAAATTCATTGTCATTGCAATATATGTAATTATCCTGGTGTCTGAAAACCTCAGTGGAGAAGGGGAGAACATTTATTTAAGTTTAGGCAACAAACCACATTAGTACCTATGATTTTTGTCACCAGTGAAAATCACAGATATTTCAGTTGTAGATATCTTAAAATATTTTGCAATCATTGTTACTGCTAGATCTTATTTTTGTATTACAAAGAAACATAACTTTAATCTCTTATTTTAACATTTTGATAATTATACCTTAATGTAACAGTGTTCTTTTAATTTATATGTTAGGTTAATGTTTATAAATGTTATTCTGAAAAGAGCCCATAAGTGTGAGAGTGCCAAACATAAAAAAGAATAAAGAGTTAGTAATTTAAAAAGGGGAAAGGAACTGACCATATGGAGACTACTTACGTGTCAAACATTACTGTGCCATTTATTCACTTGTTTAGTCTTCAAATAGATGTGATTATTTACTGTTTGTTGTGGAAAATTTAGCGTATTGTCTTTTAGTGAAGAGAAAGAAATGTGTATATGCACATACTTTGAGAGGTTGACTTCTGACCTCACTGCCCTAACCTAATTTTGCCAATAGGACCTCATGTTTATTTGCTGTGAATGTAACAAACTGTCAAGGTTGTGGTTCACAGGAATATTGGAGAGGAAGTAAGTGCTCTTGTAGAAAAGTCTTTCTGAATAACTAATTAAATTACTAAGCCGTTTGCTGGGAGATAGATAATTGGTTAGGAGCAAAAGCTGTTTCAGCTGGGTTATTATATGCAGTCTTGAGATTCTGAGTGCCAGATTTTTTGATTCCCACAGGAGGCAGCCTTCTGTGCTGTGATTCTTGCCCTGCTGCTTTTCATCGTGAATGCCTGAACATTGATATCCCTGAAGGAAACTGGTATTGCAATGATTGTAAGGCAGGCAAAAAGCCACATTACAGGGAAATTGTCTGGGTAAAAGTTGGACGATACAGGTGAGTGAGCATGAAGGAAATTGGCACTGACTTCTTTTAACATCCCATCATTTGTTTCTTGGGATTTCAGATACAGTGCTTAACTCTTTTTCTTTTCTTTCTTTCCTTCCTTCCTTCCTTCCTTCCTTCCTTCCTTCCTTCCTTTTTAATAGGTTCTCTGATTAAGCAAGGTCCACCCTTCTCCCCATTAATTTTCCATTATAAAAGAAAACTAATTTTTATGTTTTGTGATTATAGGGATAATACATATTCCCTGTAGAAAATTCATTAATGAAAATAAAATCCATAACAAACAAGGAAGATACACTGCTAACAGTTTGGTATATTTTCTTGGAGACACACCAATGCATGTACCCTCAAAATAATTGGCCTTATATTTTATACTCAGTTTTGTGTCTTTTCCTTTTTAAAATTATTTTTATTGAACATGGAACATACAAAAGAATATCATAACATGCATGATTTAAAAGAATCAGAAAGGAATATCTGTGTATGTACCTCCCATTTAAAGAAAATAGCACAGGGGCGCCTGGGTGGCTCAATCGTTAAGCGTCTGACTTCTGCTCAGGTCATGATCCCAGGGTCCTGGGATCGAGCCCCGCATCGGGCTCCCTGCTCGGCAGGAAGCCTGCTTCTCCCTCTCCCACTCCCACTCCCCCTGCGTGTGTTCCCTCTCTCGCTGTCTCTCTCTCTGTCAAATAAATAAATAAAATCTTTAAAAAAATAATAAAATAAAATAAAGAAAATAGCACATTGCTAGTACTTTTGAGGCTCCGTCCATGACCCTTTCTGAATCCACTTTCTTCCCACCCCTAGAGGTAAGCACTATACTACATTTTCTGTTTTTTATTCCTTTGCCTTGCTGTAATGGTTTACCACATGTATAATGTTTTGTTCTGCATGTTTTAGACCGTTTCATAAAGAAATTGTTGCTATATTTTCCTGCAACTTGCTTTTTTCATTTACTGTTACACTCCTGAGATTTAATAGTAGTTAGTGCAGTGCTCTAGTTCATACTTTGCTGTTCTACATTTCTTCTTGATATAGTCTTAACAAAACAGTGCAGTTCGTTTATCCATTCTCCTCTTTGGACTATGAGCATTTTATCAATGTTCCTTAGTGTACATGCACAGTTTTTCTAGGAGTAGGGGTTTCCAGCTGAAATAGCTAAAGCCAGTTGTCTTCCTAAAGTGGATGTAAAGCATTAACTTACATGCTTTTTATTTTTGGAGGCATTTCTTGGTATCCTTGTTCTATGCCCCTCACAATTATTGAAACTTTTCCTTTTTAAAGGCCAAATTATATTTCATTGTATCATATACTATAGGTACTTTATCATTCCCTAAATGTTGGGCATTTCGATTGTTTCCAGGTTTTCATTCTTACAGATAATACTTCAGTGAACATTATAGTCGAAGCTTTGTTTATATCTTCTGAGATGATTATTATTTACTGTTAAATTATTATTTCCTTTATACATTCCTTAAAGTAAAATAACTGAGTCTAAAAAGTATATATGTGAGCACATCTGTGAGAATGGCCATTTTCAGGTTTTCAGCACATTCTACTTATTTTTTCTCTAGTTAGATTGTAAAAATGGACTAGGCTGGACTTTCATGTAGATAGACATTGCTATTCCTTATTTCTGTCCTAAAAGGTAGGTCATTTTCCTAGTGTCTTGCAGTATTCTAAAGGTTTCCTTCCTTGTTTTCACCTTTCCCAGGTGGTGGCCAGCTGAGATCTGCCATCCTCGAGCGGTACCTTCCAATATCGATAAGATGAGACATGATGTGGGCGAGTTCCCTGTACTCTTCTTTGGGTCTAATGACTATCTGTGGACACATCAGGCCCGAGTCTTTCCCTATATGGAGGGGGATGTGAGCAGCAAGGATAAGATGGGCAAAGGCGTGGATGGGACATATAAAAAAGGTAACTTTATATTTTTGTTTCTCAGGCCAACACAGACCTCTGTTGCCCAAGTATCTATTCTGTTATGTGTTAGAATTCACTTATGTTCTGTTAGCAGCTGTGTTCTGCTCTCGGGCAGCTACAGGATTTTACAGGAAAGTTGATCCACATAATTCATTATTTTTGAGCCTAGCCTTTATGTAACAGGAATTTCCTTGAGGGAGGTTTTTGTCTTACCAGTTCTGTTTTCTCAGCATCTTATCAAATACTGGAGCTTTGGAACTGTTTTATAGCCTAAACCCTGTGGTTTGCTAGACAAGAATCAGAATCTCTAATAGAGTTGCGTTTGTTCCAAGGAAGTTCCAGAGAAGTTATAGAGCAAAATAAAATAGTGAAAGTCAAAGCATAAATATTCTGAATCAAAAGAGATTTTTTTTAAGCTGGCCTAGCAGTGAAGGAGTGGGGACATTTGGGTTAGAAGGAGTTGAGTCAGCTATGAGCCTCAGTTTTCTCTTATTATATAATGAGTAAAGGTTGTACTGAGAATTCAGTGAGGTAATAAAAACAACCGGCAGAGCACATAGTTGGTATCCGATCAATGATAATTATCTTCTTCCTTTAGCTGTCCTTTGAAAGGCAGTATAGGTATCTCTTATTATTCAAAGATATTTGGACATTGAAGTATATAGATTTTGTATGGTGAGGTGGAGATTCTAAGCAGGTAAAACTTTCTCATAAGGTGAAGATTCAAAGAAAATTCTAAGCAGGTGAAACTTCCTGGATGGGGAATGAGAATCATGTCCATAGGGAACAAGTTTCACAAAGGTTCCATTTGCCTCATGTCATTTCAGTGGGTCCTCACTTACCTTTGGCCATGTGGTTTCTGTGTGGATATGGGTTATTAGTATTAACAATATAGGAGCTTGGCTCTTGAGTCTTGTAGTCTTGGATGGTCAGGGACCACTTGACCAACATCTTTGCCTGTGTAGAGCTGGCCACCACAGAGGCTGGGGGAGAAGGTGGAGTTGTAGGGACTACCACAAGTCTGATCCTGCTGAAGCTCTGGGATTCTACTCTTCCTATGCCTCAACCCTGGGCTGGCGGGGTGCCTCTGCCTTCAAGGAATACATGTTTTTGTGGGGGAATTGGACACAGATACAAGCAGTCAAAATGTTATTCATTGCCTGTTGTGGCAGAACTGTGCATGGTATGCTATGGGAACAGACTAAGAGGAAGCATAACTGCTGGGGATCAAAATTTGGAAGTCATGGATTGGTTTTTTCCAAGTGATTTTGAGGAGTGAACCTTAATAATAATCGTTATCATTTGTTGTTTGCCAGGCCCTGTTCAGTTTGTTTTCTGCTTTAAGTCCTTGTGGTAATAGTATTAGTTAGGTGTCATTATCCTTATCTTACAGATGAGGAAAGTGAGGCATATAAAAGTTAAATTACTTGCCGTAGGTGCCAGTGCCAGTAAGTAGAGGAAGGTTTCAAACTCTAGCATTCAGGCTTCAGAATCCACACTCTTCAGCCCTACACTGACGGTGAAGAAGTTAAAAATGAAAATGTTAACAAGAAGACAGCGCATGTAAAAACATACGTTAAATCTAACATGTTGAGTGAATGACCTTTAGTTATGTGGTATAGTTTAATATGGGGTCGGGGGAACACAGTGCTGTTAGCCAGAAAAGGTGGTAGGTAAGTTACATGGTCAGATCAGAATTTTTAGGAATCTTTGAGTTTTGGGACTGTAGAAGGTGAGAGGCTGTGGCCAGGGAGGTCTGTGATGTGGCTGTTTTGGTAGTTCCGGGCAGAGATGACAAGATTGTGAAGTGAAGTGTCCCTGGGGTGGTGAGGATGATGGGTACTTGAATAGACATTAAGTAAACAGACTAGTCAGGACATGCTGAGTAATAGAATGAAGAAAGGAGTGATTATTTAAAAACACACACACAGACAACAAAAGCTCTGTTAGATGTTTAACAGGGAAATGGAGAAAAGGGGATGGACCCTTTTCTTTTCTTTTCTTTAAAGAATTGACAGAATATGGGGAAAGCTACAGAGAGGAAAGAGGGGGAAGAATTGGAGTTCTTCTCAGAGTTTTTAATCTAGCAAACACACAGAATGAATTTTAAAAAAGAAGAATGAATGAAAAATTTGTTTTAAGTGGAAAAGAATGAGAATCTTAAGATTTTGTTGGATTTCTAAGATATTACAGTCTTTTAAGCACATGAAAGTACAGGACTTGAATAAAATCAGCTATGAAGATCTATGTATCATTACAGCTAATAGTTGATATTTACAGAATGAATCTTAGGAGAGGACTAGGACAGGTGCTCTTTAGAGAATTAGGCAAGAAGGAGAGGAAAACTTCAACTTTGAATTTCTTCCAGAGGAATGCAGCATGTTATTTGGCACCTAGGAGACAGAATGTTTCTGGAGGCAGGAGGTTTGGAACTGAGGAAAGAATTAGGCTTAATTAAGCACAGTGACTTTGCTGAACAGATACAGTCTTGTTGTCGTTAGGAGATGTTATTTGTGGGCTTTTTAAATCATTTAGCTGGATTTGTTTTGGTTTTGTTTTAAATTTTCCTCTGAAGGTGGTAGTCTATATTGTGCCATGTAGTGGTAGATTATGTTTTGTCTTAATGCTATATCTGAATACCTTGGGGACTATAAATTAACTTGAAAATAGCAGTAATACGTACTTCTTAGTTTTCTATATAGTGCTGGCTGATTTTTTTTCTTAAGATTTTGTTTCTTATTTGAGAGAGAGAGACGAGTTGGGGTGAGGGGGGAGAGGGAGAAGCAGGCTCCCTGCTGAGCAGGGAGCCCGATGTAGGGCTTGATCCCAAGACCCCGAGATCATGACCTAAGCTGGAGGCAGACACTTAAATGACTGAGCCACCCAGGCGCCCCAGTTGCTGGCTGATTGTTGTCTAAAACATGGATTTTCTCCAACTTTAAAGGGGAAAAAATGGCAAAATAAACAACTCCACCCAAGATTAAGTGACTTGTGCTGTGTGTTTTCTTAGCTCTTCAGGAAGCTGCAGCAAGGTTTGAGGAGTTAAAGGCCCAAAAAGAGCTAAGACAGCTGCAGGAAGACCGAAAGAATGACAAGAAGCCGCCGCCTTACAAACATATAAAGGTGAGAAAAAAACGCAGGAGACTGTCTCCAGGAGACACCCTCTTATAGAGTACTGTCTTCCTGCTGTGTTCATGAAGAGGTTTGGAAGCACAAGCAGAGTTGCTTTTAGGTAGAGGTGTGAACTTGAAGGAAGATAAGAAAAAGTTCCAGAGCACCATTCCTAGCACATTGTCTGTAGCTTCTGTAAAGTCAATTGTGTGTTGATAACTTTTTCTGTTGCCTTAGAAAGTCTTCTTATAGAAGTGGACTGGATTAAGTCTGTGCACAGGCAACATCTTGCAGTTTGAAGGGGACTCAAGAAGCATGATAAAAAATGATAAATAGCCCTTAGATAATATGAATAATACACATGGTAAGTCTTCTTGGTAATGGCTGATACTAAAGATATTTTAGGTAACCAGTATGATTAGGTTTCCCAAGGTCAGGAGAATTCATGTTATGTGTACCTAACCCCTAATGTGCCTAGTAAAAGAGTCCTCCCCATTTATCATCTGGGTACAATGGACCCTTTTTATTTTTTAATGTTTTAAATCATTTTTATGAATAATTTATAGAAGTAAAAATACAGGAATAATGAAGAACAAATTTTTTAGACATTTTAATAAGTATTTCCTAAAACCTCTTTTAAAAACCTAATTTTTATTAAGTTAGTTGTAATGTTCAAACATCAGAAGACATGAAAGAATACTATTAGCTCTATTAACAGAATGAGACTGCCCAGGTTCTTGTAAAATATTTGTGTGATGTCATGCCTGAATAAGAATACCATATTTCTTTTTTGTCAGTAGAAATTCATTGTTAGTGTACTCATTGTATTTGAGTTTCTGAAGTCTTAAGAGTGTGAGGTTTCTTGTAGAGATCAATTTCATCACTAGATCTTTAGAGTCTAATGTGGTCAAGTATATCCCAAGTATTCCATGGGACATACTTAAAAATCTGAAATTCAAATTTAATCAGGTGTCCTGGATTTTTAAAGCAACCCTACTAAAAGCAGACTACAAAGATGTTATCTCTAATCTTTCATACTTTCTGGAAAGATGATTTAATACTTTAGGCAATGCAGTAGAGAAACTGAAGTGTCACTATTTCACTGTTGCATGCATAAGGTTTTGTGATTCCATCATTTTTCTGTTTTCTTGTTAGTTTAGTCTCTTTTGGTAAAGGTGGGAATGACTGATGAGTAACTATGAATAACGATGAAACAGTAAAATGTTATGAGATACAGGAAATTAAGAACACTAAAATTCCATAATATAGCTCAGATTTTTTAAAGGGTTTTAATGGATGTACATAGTAGTTGGAGGATAGAATGAGGGTATTTTTTTTCTTTTTTAAGTGAATTTTCTTTTTGATCTTTAGAAGACCTCTAAGAAAATAAAATTCATAAAATACCAACCCTTACAAATAAAACTGCTGAAGAAAATACACTCGAAACCTGAAATTGGGTCTAAATGGACGCTGGTGGTGGTGTACTGAGAGTTAAATGGAGTTATAGTGCGTGGAGATAAAAGATAGTGCGTGGAGTTCTAAGTGTAGTTAGGCCTCAAAAGGGGGAAAAGAATCTGGTTCGTGGCCACAGTCTTAGGTGTCAGACAACAACAAGGGAGGCATTTCAGAGTTACACATCAAGCATAATGAGCTCTTGAGAGAGCAGCTTCCTGGGAGTGATCTAAATCACAGAATTTACAAGCCAACTTCTTTCCTCCATACCCCCTCCCCACCTTTTTAAAAACAAATAAATTTCCAGGAAAAATTTTAGAACAAGGGTTGGCAAACTATAGTCCATGGGCCAAATCTGGCCTACTATGGTTGGGAAAAAAATTAAAATGAGAAGAATAATTCTAGGGACATGAAGATTACATGAAATTCAAATATCAGTGCCCATATAAATGACGTTTTGACACTCATCCATGCTTATGTAGAAATTGTCTTTTGCTTCTTTTATGCTACAATGACAGAATTGAGCTACATCTGTAGCCTGTAGAGCCCAAAGTATTTACTGTCTGGTCTTTTACAGGAAAGGTTTGTCAATCCCTGATCTAGAGTGAGCATTTAACTGTACTTATGTATCTGTATTGTTCTTAATCATGTGGGGGTTTTTTTTGTTAGTTTGTTTTTGCTTATATGTTATGTTAGGCAAGAAACTTATTTGGGATTAATAACGAGTTAGATCAGATGTTAAGAAAGAATGGTTGAAACATATCTTTATAGAGAGAAAAGGAGTAGGATGAAACTTTTATGGGAGGGAGGTCAGGTAAAGATACCTTGAAACAGACAGATATGTTCTAATACCCTATGTGTAGGACCTGCAGTCTGAGGTGAGTGAGTCAGTCCTTACCTTCTGTCCCCTTAGAGTTTGCTTTCCTCAGGGTTGTGACTTCCATTTACATGTGGTAGTAGTATTCCTCCATTAACGAAAAGTTTACAGGTTTGTTTTGTTTTTTAAGAATTTATTTATTATAGGGAGAGAGAGAGAGCACATAAGCAGGGGAAGCAACAGAAGCAGTCTCCCCGCTGAGCTGGGAGCCCGACAGGAGGCTTGATCCCAGGACACTGGGTTCATGACCTGAACCAAATACAGACCCTTAACCATCTGAGCCACCCAGGCATCCCAAGAAGTGTACAGCCTTTGCCAGTATTTTGAAGTATCTGGGAAGAGATCTGGCAGAGTTACATCCTTGTAAGGTGTTATCAAGAACTGGTTTGAGGACAGTTTATTTCTGTAAACAGATTGGAGATTTTATAATATTGTTAAAGAAGAGGCAAAAACTAAAATGTTAGAAATGGAACCTTTTGGGAATTTATTTTATATATTTATTTATTTTAAAAGATTGTATTTATTTATTTGACAGAGAGAGACACAGTGAGAGAGGGAACACAAGCAGGGGGAGTGGGAGAAGGAGAAGCAGGCTTCCCGTGGAGCAGGGAACCCGATGCGGGGCTCAATCCCAGGACCCTGGGATTATGACCTGTGCCGAAGGCAGACGCTTAACGACTGAGCCACCCAGGCGCCCCCCTTTTGGGAATTTAGAGGATGGAAATAACTGTTTTGTTAATCATAGTGATTTCATTTTATTTTATATATGTATATATATATATTTTTATAGTAAGCTCCACGCTGGGAGCCCAATGCAGGGCTCGAATTCACGACCCTAAGATCAAGAGCCGGAAGCTTAACTGACTGAGCCACCCAGGTGTCCCAATCATAGTGATTTTAGATTGAATGGATGTGATAATCTAGAATATTTGATGTGACAAATAATTAAAAGAACATTAAAAGAAAGAATAATCATAGTATCTACCATGTTTAAGAGGCTGACAGACTCTGTACTATACTTTTTACATACATTTCTTAATCTCAATAATCTTGCAAGTGAAGTGATTTATCAAAATCATAAAGTTCCTGAAAAGCCAATTTTTATGTATGGGATGGGTTTTTGAAGACTCACACTTTGGCTATTCCAAGTGAAATAATACCAGGTAGGGGACACTCATTCTTATAGTGCACAAATCCATCTGTGTTATAGAATGTCTATTTTTTTCTCAGCATTGTTGCTAGCATTTGGAAAATGCTCACGGCTTCAGTGTTACAGCAGCTATTCGATCTCTGTTGTATTCACTATAGTTTTTAGTACTAGCACCACTACTAAATAAATACATGGGTGACATTGCTGTAGTCTATTAAAAAGATTTCAAACTATGATAATAAATATTAAAATTATTTCTTCATATACAGGAGGAATCCCAGTTACCCAAAGACATTTTCGTGCCAACCATTTACCACTTAAGAATTTTCTTTTAGGGGCGCCTGGGTGGCTCAGTCATTAAGCGTCTGCCTTCGGCTCAGGTCATGGTCCCAGGGTCCTGGGATCGAGCTCCACATCAGGCTCCCTGCTCGACGGAAAGCCTGCTTCTCCCTCTCCCACTCCCCCTGCTTGTGTTCCCTCTCTCGCTGTGTCTCTATCAAATAAATAAAAAATCTTAATAAAACAAAAATGTAGCAGCTAACGTGGCGCCACCATGTGGTAATAGCAAAAACCCAGTTTACACTAAACTTGGCCTACCAGCTTTGAAATTATGATTTTCATAAATTGATTTTTTAAAAATTTTTGTGGGATCCATAATGTGTATATTAAGTGAGGCTTTATGTCAGATTACCTTAATCTTTTTTCCTCCAGTTTTTTTATTGTAAAATATAGATAATGTAAAATTTTTTATTTTTTATTTTTTTTTTAAAGATTTTATTTATTTATTTGAGAGAGAGAAAGAGAGAGAGAGCACATGAGAGGGGGGAGGGTCAGAGGGAGAAGCAGACTCCCCGCCGAGCAGGGAGCCCGATGCGGGACTCCATCCCGGGACTCCAGGATCATGACCTGAGCCGAAGGCAGTCGCTTAAGCAACTGAGCCACCCAGGAGCCCGATAATGTAAAATTTATTAATTTAATCATTTTTATACAGTTCAGTGATATTAAATGCATTCATAATGTTTGCAACCATTACCACCATCCATCTCTAGAACTCTTTACATCTGGTAAAACTGAAACTCTGTACCCATTAAACATTAACTCCCCATTCTCCCCTCCTCATTGCTTGACAACAACTACCATTCTACTTTTTCCTCTATGATTTTCACTACTCTAAGTACCTTATATACATACAATATTTGTTTTTTTGTCACTGGCTTATTTCACATAACATAATGTCTTCCAGGTTCATCCATATTGTAACATGTGTCAGGATTTCCTTTCTTTTTAAGCTGAATAATATTCCATTATTTGTACCACATTTAGCTATTGTGAATAATGCCCTAAGTTCAAAGTCATGTAAAATGTGGCATGCAACTTCAAAGAAAAGAAGTCTACCTTCTATAGGTCCTGAGTTGTCTTGTGTTGACTTGCCTGATGTTCTGTAGTATGTGTTTCTTTTGCAGGTGAACCGTCCTATTGGCAGGGTACAGATCTTCACTGCAGATTTGTCCGAAATTCCCCGTTGCAACTGTAAAGCTACTGATGATAACCCCTGTGGGATCGACTCTGAGTGCATCAATCGCATGCTGCTCTATGAGTGCCACCCCACAGTATGTCCTGCCGGAGGACGCTGCCAAAACCAGTGCTTCACTAAGCGCCAGTATCCAGAGGTTGAAATTTTCCGAACATTACAGAGGGGCTGGGGTCTCAGGACAAAAACAGATATTAAAAAGGTGAAGAAAATTTTTCATAATTTCCAGATTTTTTTTTCTTCTTTGCAATTGCTTAATATGAGTAATTATTCATGATGAATATGAGAAAATGATCATTAGAGGAAAGATAACATAGTGTAAGGATTAACCTTACTGTTGGGTCTTGCTGTGTCCTTCTAGAGTTTTTTTTTTTCCTTCTAGAGTTTAGATGCTTGAGAATAGTCTCCTTTACCTCTAAAGTCCTTAGTATTGCTCATGTTCATGGTGTGTGAGGATGAAAAAATGAAGGAAATTCATAGAGATACTATGGCCTTACTTGCTCTTTTGTGACAATTCTGGAACTTATAGTTAAGAGGAAGGGGATAATGAGTATGTGATACAGAGGTGTTAATCACCTAATAAAATAAAATCTGTTTTTACTAAGGGAAATTCGGTTTCGGTTCATGGAAAATGAAGAAGAGGATTAGGCCTTATCTAATAAAAGTGCAGTAACATCTTCAACTTCAAACTTAGGACCTGCAAGTTTCTTTTCTTTTTTAATTTATTATGTTATGTTAGTCACCATACATTACATCATTGGTTTTTGGTGTAGTGTTCCATGATTCATTGTTTGGGTATACGTGCCCTCCTTAATACCACTGGGCTAACCCATCCCCCCCCAAAAAAACCCTCAGTTTGTTTCTCAGAGCCCATAGTCTCTCATGGACCTGCAAGTTTCTAATAGAGAATATTATATAGTCTTTGTGTAGAATAAATCTTACTTGACATTTTAATAAAATAAACCTTACTCTAGTTATTCTTTCTAAAGAATTTTATTGAAGTTTGTTTCTAGAAAAGGAAGTGAATATTGGCTGGTCTGTTTAGTTATTTGCTAAGTAGCTATTATGTATCTACTGTGTGCCAGGCATTGTCATAAAGTTTACATTCTAAGGGGGCGAGACATTGATCAAGTAGTCACCCAGTGTGGAAGCACAATGGGTTCTGGAGGCATATGGTAAATGGTAAAGGGCCTGAAACTAGCTTTGACTCTGGGAATATTTTAAGTTGAGAATTGAAATATAAGTAGTTGTTGGCTTAGGCTTAGGTGAGTGTTAAAGCATTGCTGGCAAATTGGACAGCATGAGGGAAAGCCAGTATGACTGTAGCGGAGTGAGTCAGGAGGACAGTATTATAAAATGTGGAAGGGCGGGCAGCAGGCAGGGCATATTCCAAGGAAAAGGAACATAGTTTATGGAAATTGACTTTCAGGTTTTGGGGCAGTTCAAGGGATCAACTATATGACCATTTTAATGGAGCCATATTTTACCTACTTCCATGTTGGTTGATCTTTAATGTCCATTGTATCCCAGTCTTTCTCCTGGTGACAGTGATAGGTGTGGGGAGGTGTTTTTCATTGTCAAATAGTTGAAGCATCATATTTATGTTTCTTGAATAAACCTTTGTTAAATTGATTAGGTACATGTACATGAACTGCTTTGGAGATTGTTATTTTCATTAATTTTTTTAAAAATAAGGTGTACCTGGGAACACAGTTGTGCTTTTTGCCATTAAGAACTATTTCTTGTTGTAGGGTGAATTTGTGAATGAGTATGTGGGTGAGTTAATAGATGAAGAAGAGTGCAGAGCTCGAATCCGTTATGCCCAAGAACATGATATCACTAATTTCTATATGCTTACTCTAGACAAAGTAAGTGTTATTTCCATTGTTATAAGATTGTGAAATTGATATTGTCCCAGCCATAGTGTTTGTAGGCATGTAATTCATTGCCCAAAACAGCATCTTTCCCTTATATTTGTAGGGTTTGCTTTGTCGAGGTTCTGGAGTAGCTAAATTTGCTCATTTCTGGCTACACATCCCTTGCCAGAGTCAACAGAGCTACTGTTTGCATTCTTTTTGAACTGTCCTATACAAGTTGGGTATTATGTCTTTTAGTATTTTTCCTATAAGATTAAAACCTGAAGCCAGCCAAGTAAATAATCATTCTTTCATCCTTTTATTTTACAGATTGAGAAACTGATTTGTTAATATTTAGTTCATTGACAAGGTCATATAAATTGTAGAACTCAGCCTCTGAACCCGTCATCTTTCCAATCATAGGAATTTGCTGATGAGTTTCATTTCTTTGGTGCCTAGAATTATATTTGGGACTCATTCCTAATTCCAGCATCCTAATGTGTTTATTTTCTGTGCATTTGACATTCTTCGTTGTACCTAAATATTAAGGTCTGCTAGCAATCCCCAACCCCCTTCAATTGACTATTATAACAGAATTCTTTCCTGGTGTGAAACTTCATGAACATTTATTAAGTTGAACCCTTTGGTTTGTGAGATCGTCACCTTCAGATATTCAGATCTTCATTTGGGATGGGGTCTCAACATCAGTATTAAAAACTCCTTAGCTGATTTCTAATGGGTAGCCCCAGGGTTCAGGACCACCAAATTGAGACGGTGGGGCAAGCTGCCGCTTCTAGGGCTGTGGTCCTCAAACTTCAGCATATATCAGAATTACCTAGTAGGCTTGTTATAACATGGATTGCTGGGCCCCACCTCAGAGTTTCTGCTTTTAGTATATCTGAAGTGCAGCTCAAGAATTCGTATTTCCAACAAATAATAGATATGGTGCTAGTGATGGATTAGTGACTACACTTTGAGAACCACTCCTGGGAGAGTCAAATTATACAAATAGGAACTCTAGCTTGTTAGAATATATAGGAAGTATCTAATGAGCATCATCTCTTGGAATTCTAGGACCGGATCATTGATGCTGGTCCTAAAGGAAACTATGCTCGGTTCATGAATCATTGCTGCCAGCCCAACTGTGAGACACAGAAATGGTCTGTGAATGGAGATACTCGTGTTGGCCTTTTTGCCCTGAGTGACATTAAAGCAGGTAAGAATCAGTTAAGGATTCTGGAGCTAAGAAAGGAATTTCAGGTTTTATCATCTAAACATCCCATATGTCCTATAATCCAAAATGAGGTCTGCAAACTCTTGGGAATACAGAAAAGACTTTCCAGGTGGTACTTGGCGTGGAATATTTTTGGTGGTGATGGTGGTATGGCAAAATATACATAACATAAAGTTTATCATTTAACCATTTTTTAATTGTACAGTTTTGTGGCAGTAGGTCCATTCACCTTGTTCAGCTGACACCTCCATCCATCTCTTTAACCCTTTCATCTTCCCCAAGTGAAGCTCTGTATCCATTAAATGCTAATTCCCCATTTTCTCTCCCCTCAGCCCCTGGCACCACTGCCAGACACTATTCCAAGCATATTATCATATTTAATCCTTGTAAAAATGTTGTGAAGTATGTGGTATTATATACCTGTGTTACTTGGATTCTTGGGTCTGGCACCTCTAACCACCCTGGGGTCGTGTCCTGTGTATTAATTACTCAAATGTTATCCAGGCTCATAACGTCAGTCCTTCTATCTCTCCTGGCTGCTTTCAGTACATTTGTACTTGTAACTTAAGTCTTTGTCCATGGTGATAGATTCCTCTACCATTTCTAGCCACAAATTTTTCTTCTCTCTTTTCCCATATTCACTTAGCTCAAGCAGCATGGTATGGGAATTCACAGACCTTGTTCTTGTTCTCACTTGACTTCCAGTCTGCATGGGTGGAATGAGAGGAACGAGACAGAAAGCTCAGTGCTATGCAGAGTTCCTATGGAGCTGCAGCCTTGACAGATGGAATCAGAACTTTTCAGCTTGCTCTCTTTACTCATTCAGCTTCATGTATTCTTCAATACCTGTTATACTTTCTACCACATGTGTCATACTCCTTGTTTATCTTTTCTCCAATGCCCTTTCATCCCCATAAGTGCAGACCTCAAGGATTGTTGTATATTGGGCTCTTTTCTAGAATGGTATAAGTCTTTCCTTTATGCACACCAATACCTTCTTATTTATCCCTTGTGCGGTTGTGTTTACATAGTGGATGGTGAGTAAGTAGTAGGTTATGTCAGTATCCTGCTATCTTATATTTGTGTATATGGTTGAGTTGTATTATAAGCACATTAAATTAATGAAAATTCAGTTATGTACTCATAAATTGTTTAATAAGAAAGGAATAAAGTGAGTAGAATTATCTATCATTCAGTGCAGTATTTCGCCATAAATGTGAGAGGGGAGACAGAACCCTCCTCTTACCTTGGTCAGTCTTGGTTCCTGCAAGTTCCTTGCAGTGTGAACTTCTCACCAGGCCATGAGTGATTCTAGTTTTTGTACCATTTGGACCCCTAAATGTAAGGTAGCTGATTTATAATTTGCTTAGCTGAATAAACAAATAATGATCTATATTAATCCAATATTAGATGAAAAACTATATATATCAGTTAATCTCAATGATGGAAGATAGGTCAGTCTGCAATGGGAAATCTTCTAAGATTTGGTCATTTTGACCAAATGATTATCACTGTACACGTTAATGGTGAACCATTACCCCGACCCAGAGTTAATCTCTTTTTATACATATATAAAATTCTTGTGTTTGTTAAGCCCTCCCTAATGTGCTTTAAATTTGAATGGTTATGTGTTTTATTTCCTCTCTTAGTTTTGATAAGATGCACTTTTGACAGAAAGGGGACAATTTGTACTTTAAATCTGTACATCTCTTTTTAAAGTTTACAAATTACTGCTGTGTGCATTATGTCCTATTCTCTAAATATGCTTGTGCGGTTGTTGTTTCTCCATTTAACAAATGTACTCAGGGCTCAAATCACCCAGCTAGACTGTGGTAACAGGGATATAAAGCCAGGGCCCAAGTCTATGGTATAGAGTTCTCTAGTATTACTCTGTATTGAGATGTCTCTCCCTTAAGTTCTGCTAGATTTGGCACAGATCAACAGGTTTTCTTCATACTTGCATTCCCAGTGCCTAGCACATCAGTGTATACAGGTGAGTTGTTGTTTGTTTTGGTAATGAATTAATATATTTTGAATCTGATTAGGAAACACAAAACAACTTGGGATAATTAACATCTCTACAGTAAAGGTTATTTTAAATATTACTTGTTAATCTGTATAAGTTTTTCTGTTACTAAGTTGTATTTGCTGATTAATATTATAGGATTCGAATTTATTAGTATTTCATTAATATAGTGGGATTAGAGTTAATAAATCCCTTCTATCCTCTGAAAAATCTGTTCTCTTGCAAGTCCATATCCTTTGTGATTAATACAGAATAATATAATTAAAACCATAGATATTAATATTTTCATGGTCTTTTATGCAGGCACTGAACTTACCTTCAACTACAACCTAGAATGTCTTGGGAATGGAAAGACTGTTTGCAAATGTGGAGCCCCAAACTGCAGTGGCTTTTTGGGTGTAAGGCCAAAGGTACCTTCCAAATGTTTCCATCGGGAATAATGGTGTGGTCCTCCCTCCCTAACCAGTGGCAGAGCTGACTTCTTAAGATGTCTCTTTGGAATAATGACATTGGATAGTTGTTGGTAGGGCTACTGGCACTTAACTAAGCATTCTGATGGTCAGTTTGGTTATTCAAGAGCAGATCTGTGGGTGTTGTTGAATTTCTTTTGAGCAGTCTGACTTCTAATTGGTGATACCTTTCTAGCTAAAAAAGCTGTAAGATAGGAATCCATAAAGTAGGTTACTTCCTATGTCTTTATTGGTCTCAGCTCATCTCACTCACATTTCCTAATAAGCTTCTTAGATTCTTGGTATCTGTGTCTCCCTCTCTTCCTCTCTTTGTCTTTTTAAAGATCTCAAAGAATCCAATATTGAATTTAAGATTCTAAATGTAGTATAACACTTGTAGATAAACATAGGACCCTTAATCTTATCTTAAAGTATAAGCATTGTTGTGTCTTACTCTCTGGGTTTTTGTGTGCATTTTAACTGGCTTATAATTCTGTAAAGAATTACTTACAAGTCTGTATCCTGCATTTCTTAAATATTATAAAATCTTTTTCCTTACTGTCACATAGTCTTTTTAACCATCGTCTCTAAGTGACTTAATTTTTTTATATAATGGATGGACCATAATAGATGAACATGCATCCAGATTTTTCTATCCTAAGTTACAGCACACTAAAAATTGCAGTTTAATTTTGATGAAAAATACACAGTGACTCCAATTGGGTATTTCCCATTATGCTTTTTTGATTTGGAAGTCAATCTTAAGAACTGAAAAATGCAAATTAGCACAGAAACGAGTAACTAAAGGGGGAGTGACCTTTTAAATTTTTTTTCTTAAAGATTTTATTTATTTGACAGAGAGGGAGAGAGCATAAGCAGGGAGAGTGGCAGGCAGGGGGAGAGGGGAGAAGCAGGCTCCCCACAGAGCAGGGAGCCCGACGTGGGGCTCGATCCCAGGACCCCGGGTTGTGACCTGAGCCAAAGGCAGTTGCTTAACCGACTGAGCCACTCAAGCGCCCCAGGAGTAATCATTTTGAGCAAAAACACACGGAGATGATGAACACCCCCAATTATTCTTTTATTAAATAAGGAAAATTATGTTTATATTTTATTGAGTTTTTTTTTCTTTAGTCAGTTGGTTAAATGGTCTTGTTCCTTAAGGTGTCCAGTTTATTTATTACCTATAAATCAAAATAGTAACTGAGTTTAACCTAAGTTTAATGGTGTTACATTCACTAGGGATGTCAGTTTTTGCATCCTTAACATCTGTGTAGTATTTCACACATGAATCAGTGAAAGAGAAATTTGAGGGCAGAATTTTAGAATTGGGAGATCACTGAGGGATAGTAATAGATCAGATTGATCCTGGATGTTTCTAGTCCAAGATAAATGTGATGAAACGCATGGGGTTTGGTAAGTGTGGGCTGCAGGGATCATGGAGGAGACCTGCTGGCTGCACCAGGATCTGTCTTGGGGAGTGGTGGATATGAACCTAATTTGATATAGATGAAGGGCACATAGCTTATTGAGGGCAAGGACCATGAATTAGTTTTCTGTGCCTTCCTAGCATGTGACTCTTAAGGTGTCCAGTGAAGGTTTATTGAATAAAGAATTGTGTGTGCACACACAAACATACACACCTAGACAAACACAAAAATAAAACGTAATGAAAGGGTAACGTTACCTTTAACACTAGCCTTGTGTGTTAACAAAAATAAGTTCATTTTTCTTTTATTTCATTCAGGTGGCAGGAGTAGTTGATAGAAAAGTTAGAATTAATGCAACCATTTATTGGGTACCTATGATGTGTGAGGTGCCTTTCCTGCATTTTCTCTTATCTTTACAATAGTCTATGAGGACTGTCTCTTCCCAGAGGAGAGACTGAGGCTCAGAAAGGATAGTTAATCTGGTCAAGATCACACAACTAATATATCGACAGAATGCTTACTGCTCAATATCTGACCTCTAGAATCAACCCATTGCCACAGAAGAAAAGTCAAAGAAATTCAAGAAGAAGCAACAGGGGAAGCGCAGGACCCAGGGTGAAATCACAAAGGAGAGAGAGGATGAATGTTTCAGCTGTGGGGATGCTGGCCAGCTCGTCTCCTGTAAGAAGCCAGGCTGCCCAAAAGTTTACCACGCTGACTGTCTAAATCTAACCAAGCGACCAGCAGGTTGGTGTCAAAATCCATGTAGAGTGCTCTTTGTTCTCTGCCAGAATTGTCAGAGCCCTTGGTCTTCCCATGCATAATGTTGAAGGGGGTATGGTTCATGTTCTCATTCTGGAAATAAAGGCTTTGGAATCCTAGGTTATAGAGAAGGGAACAGAAACTCATTATATGTCAAGCACTTTATTTACATTTATGTTATGTTATTTTATCCTCCCAGCAACCCATAAAGATGAGACCTTTTCACCTTCCCATGATGCAGATGAGGAAACTGAGAGTCCAGTTTGGTGAGATGACTTGTCACAATAGAGCATGTAGATGGAGGAGTTGGATTGAAAGCCAGGTTTTCTGACTTCAAGGCCACTAAATCATGTTTCCTTTCTAAAGAAAGAGAGGTTGAGATAGCATGGAGTTTGGGGTTATTCCGGTCAGTGAGGTGTGGACTAGATACCCTGGACTAGACACCCTTTGAGCTCCCTTCACCCACTCCCTTATGAAGGAGAGGCAGCTCCCATCTACTGACACATGAGAGAGCTGCTTGGGCAGATAGAGTGTCAGGAATTTGTGGCTGGAGAAGCTGACTTTTTTTTTTTTTTTTTTTTTTTTAGATTTTATTTATTTGAGAGAATGAGACAGTGAGAGAGCACATGAGAGGGGGAGGGGCAAAAGGAGAAGCAGACTCCCCGCTGAGCAGGGAGCCCGATGCGGGACTCGATCTTGGGACTCCAGGATCATGACCTGAGCCGAAGGCAGTTGTTTAACCAACTGAGCCACCCAGCTGCCCAAGTTGCTAACTTTTGAGTGGTGATTTGGAGTTAGAAGAGTTTGGGAGGACTTGGATATGTGGTCTGTTTTGTTGACAGAGGCAAGAAAGCAGTAGGGAGCCACTTCAGCTGAGGAGATTAAACATCACCAGTAGCCTGCTCTCAGGAATTGCAGAGAGAAAACTTTGGGGTGGGAATGAGAGGAGTTTGTCCCTGAACTAGCTTTCCTTCGATGTATGATTGCCAGAGAAATAAAATTATAGAAACGGAGGTAGTGTGAGGGCAGGACCACAGCATGACTTGTCAGTGCCAGGAAGTGGAAAAGGAGAATTGTTTCAGAATCAATAGCTCAGGATTGTAGCTGGCACAGGCTGCATTGGAACTCATCTTGACTAGGAGCCAGGAGTCAGGACTAGCATAGTTTATTTGGAAACTATGAGCCAGGGTGAAAACACCATCCACGGCAGAGACTCTCAGGTGTCATGAAATGGGAGCAAATAGATGGTAGGTCAGGGTCTTTTCCACTGGTTCTATGTGGACTGTACAGGTAAAATTTGTGCTAGTTGCAAGATTTGAAACTGAGCAAAGGAAAATCCGCTCAGTTTTTCACATTTGTATATCTGCTCCCTGTTCCTAAATATAACCAAATAAGCAGAAGTTTAAATAGCCGAGATTATCCCTTTAGAGTTGAATATTGAAAGGCTATATTAGACAAATGGAGTTTGCAGAACTGTGGAAGTAGTATCTTCACATTCTATCTAAGGGGAGCTTTGGGTTTTTTCCCCCTTGCTAGAAATAGTCCTAGAAATAAGAAATTACTCCTGCCTGTATATTTAGTTGATACTCAGTTGCTACTTGTACTTGGCTTTTATTTTTATGTGTTGTACAGGAGACTCAGATTCTGGGGCAGGGGAGGTGTCAGGTGAGTGGCATGAGCTCTCTGCAGAAGGTGGCAGTTTGAAATCACTCTTTTGACCCAGGCTCAGGGCCATGACTCATTTCATGCACCTTGCTTGTTTTCCTAAGCGTTTGTTTCATATCTGTGTTTTTAGGGAAATGGGAGTGTCCTTGGCATCAGTGTGACATCTGTGGGAAGGAAGCAGCCTCCTTCTGTGAGATGTGTCCCAGCTCCTTTTGTAAGCAGCATCGGGAAGGGATGCTCTTCATCTCCAAATTGGATGGGCGTTTGTCTTGTACTGAGCATGACCCCTGTGGGCCCAATCCTCTGGAACCTGGGGAGATCCGTGAGTATGTGCCTCCCCCAGTACCGCTGCCTCCAGGCCCAGGCACTCACCTGGCAGAGCATTCATCAGGAGTGGCTGCTCAGGGGCCCAAACTGTTGGATAAGCTGCCTGCTGACACCAACCAGACACTGTCACTGTCCAAAAAAGCTCTGGCAGGGACTTGTCAGAGGCCACTGCTTCCTGAAAGACCTTCTGACAGAACTGACTCCAGGCCCCAGCCTGTAGATAGGGTCAGGGACCTTGCTGGGTCGGGGACCAAACCCCAGTCCTTGGTATCCAGCCAGAAGCCATTGGACAGGCCACCTGCAGTGGCAGGACCAAGACCCCAACTATCTGACAAACCCTCTTCAGTGACTGGCGTAAGCTCCTCACCCTCAGTCAGGTCCCAACCACTGGAAAGACCTCTGGGGACAGCTGACCCAAGGCTGGATAAATCCATAGGTGCTGCCAGCCCAAGGCCCCAGTCACTGGAGAAAACCCCAGTCCCTACTGGCCTGAGACTTCCACCGCCAGACAGACTGCTAGTCACCAGCGGTCCCAAGCCCCAGACTTCAGACAGGCCCCCAGACAAATCCCATGCTTCTTTGTCCCAGAGACTCCCACCTCCTGACAAAGTACTATCAGCTGTGGTCCAGACCCTGGTAGCTAAAGAAAAAGCACTGAGGCCCGTGGACCAGAATACTCAGTCAAAAAATAGAGCTGCTTTGGTGATGGATCTCATAGACCTAACTCCTCACCAGAAAGAACGGGCTGCTTCACCTCATGAGGTCACACCACAGGTTGATGAGAAGATGCCAGTGTTGGAGTCAAGCTCGTGGACTGCCAGCAAAGGTCTGGGGCAGATGCCGCGAGCTGTAGAGAGAGGCAGCGTGTCAGATCCTGTCCTTCAGCCACTGGGGAAAGCAGCAGTCCCTTCGGAGCACTCCTGGCAAGCAGTTAAATCACTCACCCAGGCCAGACTTCTCTCTCAGCCCCCTGCCAAGGCTTTTTTATATGAGCCAACAACTCAGGCCTCAGGAAGAGCACCTGCAGGGCTGGAGCAGACACCAGGGCTTCCCAGCCAAGCACCAGGCCTGGTGAAGCAGGTGAAGCAGATGGCCGGAGGCCAGCAACTACCTGGACTTGCTGCCAAGAGTGGGCAGTCCTTCAGGCCTCTTGGGAAGGCCCCATCCTCCCTCTGTACTGAAGAGAAGAAGTTGGCAACTGCAGAGCAGAGTCCCTGGGCCCTGGGAAAGGCCGCACCAGGGCCAGGACTCTGGCCCATGGTGGCTGGACAGACAATACCGCCATCTTGCTGGTCCTCTGGGAGCACACAGACATTGGCACAGACTTGCTGGTCTCTTGGAAGAGGGCAAGACCCTAAACCAGAGCAAAATACACTTCCAGCTCTTAACCAGGCTCCTTCCAGTCACAAATGTGCAGAGTCAGAACAGAAGTAATATGAGTAAATGTCACATGACCAGACCAGCTGCCCCCAGGGTTCTTGGGGAAGGGAAATCTTCTTTCTTTTCCCCTCTTAAAAAACAGACCCCACCACTTTTCCACTGTTACTCTTTCCTTATATCCCAACACTCAGAACTCTTGTGACATTAGCCAGTGGGGCATGTGGTTGTGTAAACCATGTATGGAAATCCAAGTGGGCCCCAGCCAAGGAGACAGACAGACTTGGGTCTTTTTCCTCCAACCTTTACACATGGTAACTTGAAATAAAAAGTCCACTCTGGAGTCAAGCATGGGATTCAATTCCACTGGTCAGGTTGGAAGGTAGAGGGGCTCTCGAAGTTATTTCTCTAGCCCTACAGAGCCCCACTGAGGGCACCTGATGAACACTTGGGAAGAACTGATACCAGTAGTGATTTCTTGAGCATTCACATGTGCTAGGCCAGGTGCTAGTCACTGACAGGAGATACAGAGATAAGACCTGATCCCTGTGAGCCTAACATGCCTGCCTGGGTTCTCAGGCTGTTTTCATGAACCTTTGACCAGGAAATAGCAGGAAGTTCTGAGGGGCCCTGGGGCTCCAGACTCATTTTGTAATGTCCTTTATGGCCCCAGAAGTGGTTGTGTTGAGTAAGTGTCCCCTGGTTGGGTGTGCATGTGTGCGTGTGATGCACACACGCTCATGTGGAGGTCTCTAGTGGGGGGGTGGGGGGTGGGGGGATTGCATCAAGGCCAAGTGGAGCCGTTGGCTGGGCAGCTGCTGCTGCTTCTGTCTGGGCTGTGCAGAGTCTGAAAATCTGTCCTTGGCAGAGCAGCTGGTTGTGGGGGCTGGGCTCTACAAGGACATAGCTTTACCGAAGTATAAGAAGGCAATTGGCAAGCTTACCTTTCTTTCCTACCGATTTTCGTCCTTTTACATCAGCCCACCCCATGCCCGCCCCTCAAACACTCAGGTGCTTTCAGATTTCAGAGTCGGGCAGCGGACTTAGGGAATCTCTGGCAAGCTCTGCGCTAGATCTACCACCAGCTCAGGGAGAGTGCCAGATTCTGATGGAAAATTCCTTCTCTCTTTTGATCCTTTGCCCTTTTACCTGAATGGAGGGAGTCCTCTCCTTCACTGGTGGATTCTACCACCCTATCCCTGAGAATTGCTGTGTTCTGTACTGAGAGCACCTGCCTGCTGACTTTGTTCAAAGGCAGGCTAGATCCCTTCCCCTGTGACTGGCAAGATGTGGTGTTTAGAGCAATGTCCAGTCTGAGAGATGATTCCTCATAACTGCTGATTATCTGTTACTGCTGCCCTGAGCTGGGGCCCAAGGGCTGGGAAATCTGTTGGTGCTACTCTGCCCTACCATTCACCCAGCTCACCAACTGCCAACAGGAAGTGCTGTTTGGCCAGTTCCTTCCCATTCACTCACCCCTCCTTTGTCCCTAGACCAATCGTGTTTACCTCTCTGCTTTGCCAACTTAGCCAGCAGCTTTAGCCAACAGGCCATCTCCTGGCCCAGATGTCTCCTGGCCATTCTGTTTCAGTTATGGCTTTTACACCCTCAACAAGATTCTGTATTTTGTCCCAATTTCCTCCTCTTGAGTTCCTACTGAGGTTATCCACATCACTTCTAAGGAGGGAACAATAGTTATAGAAGCATTTGCGCTTTATATAAAGAGAAGAATTTGCTTTTATTTCCCAAAGTCTGTCTCGGGTTGAGACACTTGAACTCAGGCAGAGGTACGAGGCTGGGCAGGGCTGTCCTGAGTCTAGGGGCCTATCTCTGCATCCCACTTAGACCTCGAAATCTCTGTAAATTCCACCTACCTAGTTCTCCCCTTTTCATCCTATCTCTCTTCCCACATCATGAGAGAGGAAAAGTTCTTTGTTCAAAAGGAAGAAAAAACAAAGCATCTTATTTTCTTTTTTAAAAAATTTTAAACCATGGAAAAGATATTTTTAAAGAAATCCACCCAGAACATTAAAGTTCATTATATTAAGTATTTATCATGTGTGAGAATAATAAGTATATAACTGCAGCTAGTAGGTCCCTTTCCCTAATCTCTTAGGCTGTATGAGTAGGGTTTGCTTGGTGCCAGTCCTGTGCCCTTTTCTCTCCTGTCATCTGTAGTTGTGATCAGAAAAAGATATTCGCACTGCACTGTCAGAATCTCCTTTCACTTTGTTGTGTGTTAAATTACCGTAGCTCTTTGTTTCATGAAATAAACTGTGAATTGGGGGGGGGGGGGGTGTGCAGGCTATGTAAAAAAATTTAAGTGGAGAAGTTTGATCCTGAAATAGCTTCTCTGAAGTAGGCTTTGGTAGGTAATTGACTTGACAGCCGCTCTAGATATGTCTCACAGGACAAGGAGTGAGGGAAAGGTGGGCCATGAGTGGCCACTTTGTGGTTTTGTTTTGGTTCTTTCCATTCTACACCATTTACTGGAAACGTCCTTCCAGACCTGCCTGGGAAAACAACTTTTGAGCTGTGCTTAGTTTGGGGGAGAGGGTGGGAGTGGGGGGGTGGTAGTTCTTTATCTAGATGGACATCCAGGCTTTTGTGAGGGTTACTTAAAGACTCTCAGGTAGAATGGAAAGTAGAAATTCAGCTGTCAGGCCCACTGATAGCAGCATCTGATACCAGATTGTTAACATCAAGAAAGCAGTCACCATATAATAAGCAGAGTTAGAAGGACTACTGGGAAATTGAAACTCTTGCATGAGGGACAGTGGGGAGACAGTGATCCTGCCAGTTCTTGGGGACTCTCCTGGAGCCTTGTACTGAGACCTTTTCTCCAGAGGGTATGAATTGGCAGTTAAAAGGAAAGCTTTTCTCTTAGAAACTCCTGATCTTTGTGCAGGATGGTATTTGACCAAGTGCCTGGAAATCAGGATCTCAAGAGAGAGTGCCCCTAAGCCAGTCCCCAGGAAACGTTTCCAAGGGGGAAGTTATAGCTTCCATAGGTAGCTAAAGAACCAATATCTCTCCTAGCCCTGTTCAGTCAGAAGAACTTGATGGAAACTGTTGAAATTTGAATTCAAAGCCTCATTTGCTTCTCCTGCTGAAGCAAACCCATTCTAATAGCAAAATAACTGTCATTGCTACAGAAGGATCCCAGTTTTTAAATGTCTGCTTGCCCCTGAAGTTACTGAGTTTGAGGTGATTTAAGTCACTGTGTTGATCCTCTAATTGAACAACTACCAAACCTGCATCTTTCGCATTGATGGAAATAATTATTTTATCTTCACATTCTCTACCCCACACTACAGTCAGGGCACGAAGTGCATCAGCGATCCTTTCCCAGGCTCAGCAGCATCTCACTGGAGCTGGACTCCCAGGTCACACCATGAGAACAGAATGGCAGGAAGGAAGTCTGGTCCTGGCAGATTCCCCTGTGGAAAGGAATCAGGAAAGCACTAAACGTGGATGGATTTTGCCCTCAGCTCCTATAAAGTGGGTTTTCTCCTAAGGCTTTTTCGGAGGATATTGTCATCCTCTTCCGGTTTTGTCAACCAGGAGGTCAGAGTGGCCCAATCTCCTCACCTGAGATCATGGCAAGAAAGGAGCTGACACAAGCCCCTTTCCCTGCTAAATAATGCTTGGGCTGCTTCATGTGTTAGACATTCCAGATCACTTAGAGCTAGGTAGCTGCTGCATGGGACTTTCGTTGGCTGTGGCCAGTTAGCTCTCAGCTGAGCTTCCTAGGGCCAGTGCAGCAGGGCCAGAGGTTGCTGTAGTACAAATTGAAATAAGAATAGATAATTGCTTTGAACACAAAAAATGTAATGATGGTGCTAATTTTCTGGTATAAATAAGCACTGCCAAGGGTTGAGGGACTGGTGACTTGAGAAACCCAGGTTCCTGTTTGGGAGGAAGAAATTTTGTGTAGAATGGTTTCTTTGAGGCTCAATTAGAGAAGGAGAAGGCAGAGCCTCAGTGAAGCCTGCACCCGACCCTGGAGTGGGTCAGCATAATCCTAGGTGGGAGAGATGCTATATCCAGACGAGGGTGGCCATTGAGTTTCTCAGGGCTGGTGTCACCGTGTCACCTGGTGTAGCTTCCGTCCACACTGCCTAGAACAGGTTGGTAGAGCGCTCCAGCTGTGGGGTTCTCCTTCTGCCCCTCTCTACCTCTTCCACTCTCATGGGAGCACCTCGATTGCTTATGAAGATTAAGGGTAATATTTCTTAAGGAAGTGGAAAGAGTTTATTTTAATTAGAAATCCACAGCCTGAGAAATGTTTCCTACCAGCATAAGCAAAATCATGTTAAACTCTTACATGGTCCCTTCTCTAGAGCTGCTTTCCCATGACTTTCAAACCATCAGGCTATTGAGGGGCTTCAGGTCTAACACCCTGGAAGTCAAGCAAAGCTTTGTGGACAGGAGATAAGCCCAGGGAGTAGGAGCAGAGATGAATGGTTGTGGTGCTTTAGACTTCCAGGGTAGGGGCAGAGAACAGGCGGTCTCCAGGTCCAAGGTGGGTGCTGCCTGTGTGTGCGTGTAGAGGAGTGTGTTGAAGATGGGTGAGTGCAGCACACAGGAGCTCATGGAAGAGCAGCTTTCTAAGTCTTGGCAAAGAAACAAGCTGACAATAGAGATCTATATATTTTTAAGAAAGGGGCGGGGGGGGGTTGTCAGCTGAGGTCCATCACTGGTCTTTTGCCCCCTCCTCCCCCCCATAGATTGTCAGCTGTAAGTGAAACTCTTAGTGAAAAAGAGGGGAGCCCTGTAGGAGTCCCCATAAACATGTACTGTAATTCTTTGTATATAGAAAAAAATTACTGTAAAGTAAAGTTTAACTTTACTCTTATGGCCCTTGCCCTGTGTGTTGTTTGTTGTCCGTGGGGAGATATAGCTTAACAGGAGGGAGGATGGGTTTGGGGTGAGAGCAGAAACCAGCCTCTGAGATAGTTCCCAGGTTGGGGACATGGTGGAGGTGAGCCCCTCCTCTAAGCATCTCCAGGAGTGGTGTGGGTTTCCTCCCAGCAGCCACCAGCTGCCAGAATGTCTTTCACTTCTTTTGGGAGTAGCTGGTGTCAGTTTCAGCCCCTATACAGGAAGCTTCCATTACCCATGAAGGAAGGGTATTTTGAGGAATTGGTTTTAAAAAAGGAAGTGGAACCAAAGCATTTTCTGACTGTGAGTCTGACCATTCTGGCCACGGTTTTAGTTCTTCAGAGATAGGTGCTAGGCACTGCAGAAGACCTGGCCCAGGCCTAAGGCAGGAAAAGCAGAGGCAAAGCAGCCAGGCCTCCAATACTGGAAAAGGGCTGCCATATGCTTTTTAGCTGAACAGGAAGTACCAGCCCTATCCACCCTAACACTTGATACTTCTAAGACCCAAAAATGTACTTTGGGGGGAGTCTTGGGAGTCTGTCTTTCCTTCTGACCTAGTCCTGAACTTCATGCCCTTCAGCAAAAAGCCCTCTGGGGAGTAGTGTGGGAAGACAAACATTCAGTCCTAGAGTTACTTTTTGCTCAGGATCTTCGCTGCCCTGAACTGGGAGTGGTCACCTGATTTTACAGATGGGAAACTCAGGCCAAGTTTAGGTCCCTTTTCTGTTGATAACTGAATTGGATCCCAATCTGGATCTATAAGACCTTTCTGTCTTGCAGAACTTACAATTTTTCTTCCATTAAGCCACCTTGTAGTAGGTTGCTGGGAAACTTAGGATCTGAGCCACAGACATGACTCATGGACCTAGATGTGACAGAAATTGTGGTAGAACCAGCCAGTCTGAGGTAGGAGTGCTTCACCCTTTGATCTCTGGACATCACTTAAGTGCCTGCCTTGCGTGAGCTTCGCATTGCCCCAGCCCCTCACCTATCTATCTTTGTCCCCCCTAAAGAACAGGAAAAGCCCTTTTGTTTCTACATTATCTCAGATGCAACCCTGGAGTGAAGTTCTTTGGCTTCCAAAAGAGTAAGAGCTGGGAGGAGCCTTAATATAGGAAGTGAGGCCAGGTGGTAGCCCCAGAAAGAACTAGGTGTCTTGGCACCTAATCCACACAGCAGGGAGAGGGGCTGAGTGTGATTCACAGTGCATTGATTTTATTTACAAATCAAAAGCCACTTAAATAATCTGCAGACACAAGTGCTGTCCAGGGCAGGAGCCTGGGGTCCAAATAAGCCTTTACCCTCCTCATGCCCGTCAGTCAGCCCAATGCTGCCTTCGTTCCATGGGCCAGCACAGGCAGGTGCCACCTCTGCTGCCCTGGGGACTGGGGGTAGCTCAGACGTCCGGCCACTCAAGCCCAGACAGGAGCTAGGTCTAGCCCTTCTGGGGGGGATTCCTTTAATTCCCCTAGGCCAGGTGAGTGGTGGTGACTCAGTGATGACAACAGCTGTAGAAGTAGGGGTTTGCCTTCTGGCCCAGGTCCACGCCCTTGTCCTCTGTCAAAGAGAGGTGGCAGCTCAGCACCATTCTGTTTGGGAATCAGGTAACTCGTGAAGGGGGCCAGATGCTGTGGGCCTAGAGGAAGTCTCCAGAGAGGCTGGGGAAGCACACACACCTGTCATCACCTGGAAGGCAGCCACACTGACGTAGTCCTCTGCCACTTTCTGGAAGAGCTCGTCTGGCAAGAAAAAGGACAAGTCAGTGAGGGCTCAAAGCCAGTAACCCTGGAATCACCCAGTAACCCAGCCCTCTAGGCTCTTCTCTGCCTCCTCTGGCACCCCTGCCTGTTCTGCTGTGAGGCCCCCGACAGCACTCACCCACACTCTGGCCTGTCTTGCTGGATGTTTCAAAGAGCTGAGCTTTGATATCTGTAAAGAGAAGTGACTAAAGCCTCCTGCCTGAGAATCGGGGTGGATACAAAGGGGAAGGCTAGCAGTTCAGGGAATCTAATGGACCCCACACCTTCAGGGAGGCCAGAAGACCTTCCCAAGGGATCCTGCCATGGCAGCTAAGGTGGTCCCTATTTTCTCTGCTCCACCCAAAAAGCCACCTCCTTCCCCCACCCCCAGGGAGCTGAGCAACAGCTACTGTCTGCATAGTCCTGGACGTCGTGGAAGTCCACACGGCGGCGGCGCCTGTCCTCCTCCAACAGGTCACTCTTGGTGCCACACAGGTAGATCTGACAGCCCTGGGGCAAAAGACAAGGTCAGAGTCACTCCCATGGACCACCAGCCCCTGGTCGTCTGGTGAGGTCTGGCACTTACCTCCTCTAGGTTGCGCAGTTCCTTCACCCAGAACTTCGCTCGCTCAAAACTGCTGCTGTCCGTCAGGTCTTGACACGGGACACGCAGAAAACACAACCATGGATCAGGGGCTGTTCTCTAAGGCCAGCCTGACACCCACCCCCTCTTGTTTGAGGAACGGGCCAGAACCCCTCTTACCATAGCAGACGATGGCAGCCTTGGCGCCCCGATAATAGATTCGGCTCATGGCCTCGTAGCGCTCAGAGCCTGCTGTATCCTGAAGGGCGGGAGGCGGCTCAGCCCTGAGTTACCGAGCTCCTCCCCAAGATTGCAAACTAATACCACGTCCTCCAGACCCCTAGTTTTAAACTGGGGTCTAAAATAGAAAAATGGCCTCTACGAGACCCCAAGTCAGCCAGTAATAGGCAGGAGAACCTAAGCCTCATCATGAATGGGTTTTCTCAGGACTGCTTGCCCAGGGGACTTACCCAAATACCTAAAGTCACCGTCCGGTCTCCAACGGACATCACCTTGGCCACGAAGGCGGCCCCGATGGTCTGCAATCGGGGGGAAGTGATCAGGGCCGCGGGTGCGAGCCAGCTCCCTCCCACCCGTACCGGGCCCCGCGCGGCGCACTCACATTCTGATAGGGCCCCACCAGGAAGCGGTCGTGCACGTATCGTTCCACCAGGCTCGTCTTGCCCACGTACTCCTTGCCCAGCATCACCACCTTGACGTCCACGCGCTGCCCGCTCATGCTCCCGGGGCCGCCTCACCCGCGTCAGGGTCCTGAGCGGGGGCGGGAGGCAAACCCGGATCTCCGCTCGGGCAGGCAGCGCCCAAGCCTCAGCTCCCGACCCCAAAGGGCCAACCTACGACTGGAGACGCCGCGTCGGCTGGAGCTCCGGCAGCGTCCGCGTCTGCCCCGCTCCTCGGCCCCAGGCGCTGCTGCTCCTTTGAATAGCCCAGGACTCAGGGCGGCCTGGGAGCGCGCGCGGCAGCGCCCTCAACGGCGCCGCATGCCGCCGCCCAGCTCGCTCGCAGGCCTTAGGCGTCGCTCCGCCACGGACTCCCCACGGAACCTAGGGGCCCCTTCAACCTGGGTCCGACCCGCAGCGCCGCGACTCCCGCGGGGGAGGGGGGGGCGGTGTAAAGGGCGAGGGGCGGGGCCGCAGGGTCACGTGCGCGGGCGCCGGAAGTGGTGGGGACAGCGCTGCAGCGCCGGAAGTTGCGCGCGCGGCCCGACAACTCCTCATGGCGGCGGCGGCGGCAGCTTGGGTGCAGCGCGGTGGTGACTGAGCTGCGAGCCTGGCGGGCGTGCGCCGAGCCTTGGTCCGGACTCCGCGTGCCCCCCCGGGCATCGCACCCCTGATGCTGCGCGGTTGCTGAGTCCGCCGCGGCCGGGACGATGGTGAAGTATTTCCTGGGCCAGAGCGTGCTCCGGAGTTCCTGGGACCAAGTGTTCGCTGCCTTTTGGCAGCGGTACCCGAATCCCTATAGGTACGTGGCCCTGGAAAGAGCAGTCCTCCCCCCCTCGCTGTTTGGAGATCGAAGTGTGGGGCCGGGAGAGACTCGACATCGAGTCCGAGGTAGGGCATCGTCGGAACCGTTGTGGCCTTCTTTAGGGTAAGAAGACCCCATCCGAAAAGTGGCCAGGCCAGGCCTGCAAGGTAGTGGAAGGAGGCCGGGCCTGGGCGGTGGTTTACTTGAGGCTCTAGTCCAAGGTTCTCTCTTTTCGGGGTGGTGAGACAGGAAGAGGCGGCGGCACAGCAGTTGGGAGGGATCTTGGGGTTGGAAGTCCCGGCGCTGGCCTACTCCTCTGCCTGTGGCGGTTCTCCACTGGGGTAATAAATCATGAGGTCCAGTCCCCGCTGGAATCGGTCAGCAAGAGGGCGGGAGTTGGATTTTGCCCTCGGATAGTCGCAAGGGACTCTAGTTGAGGTGTGAGCCACACTACTTAGCGGTGCAAGCTTGGGGAAGGCATGGCCATTCTGGGCGGGGAGGCTCCATAGGGGAACCCCAACAGGCAGTCTTTCAGCGGCATGCCCCCGAGGGTCACCTTCATTCTGATACTTGCAGCAAACATGTCTTGACGGAAGACATAGTGCACCGGGAGGTGACCCCTGACCAGAAACTCCTGTCCCGGCGTCTCCTGACCAAGACCAACAGGATGCCCCGCTGGGCCGAGCGACTGTTTCCTGCCAATGTTGCTCACTCGGTGTACATCCTGGAGGATTCTATTGTGGACCCGCAGAACCAGACCATGACCACCTTCACTTGGAACATCAACCACGCCCGGCTGATGGTGAGACTACTCTCCCCGTTGGTCCCCCAAAAGTAGCTCCAGGTACATGTGGCTAGGAAGCCATGAAGGGGCTTCTGTTGTCTGAAGCAGATTTGGGTTACTGGGGAGTGCTAGATCTAGAGTGTAAACTCAGATGATTTTTTTCAGCCAGTTAGTTTTTTAACTCATTCATACTGTGGGGGAGGGGTACTTGTTTTACAGAGTTGTCCCAAGTACTAAATACAGAGCACCCTCACTGTGCCTGGCACACACAGAGTGTGCGCCCACAGAAGTGATGCTGAGGGAAGGAGGCAGTGATTTTTCAAACCGGAGTCTATCAAGCCATAAGCAGTTTGTTTGTTTGTGCCTCAGAGGGGAGAGGATCTGGGCCCCTTACCCCATGATGATTAAAGGAGTTCCACTTTATCTGTCTTACATAATGGGTTTTCACCTAAGATTTTGGAAGGAGAGATTCGTATACCTTTTGATTTCTTGCCTATAAGAGAGCTGGAAAACCCTTGGTTAAAGGAACATCCTACAGTATCTTCTCACATGTGAATACTCTAAAAGTTTTCAGAGAGCTCTCATTCTTTTTCTCAGCTAACTTCTTCACAGTGGCTCTGGGAGCTAGGTATTACTCTCTATTGTGCAAAGAGGGAAGTGAGGTTCTGAGAGAGGAAGTGCCCTGCAAGGTCACAGAGTGAGCGAGCACCTTGATGTTCTGCCCCAGAGTTTTCCGAAGGCTTCACAGCTGACTACCCTGAGGGCGTAATCTATTTTTATAAATTACGAAGATAGTGATCCAGCTGTGAGACATGTCTTTTAAGTGTTGCTCTTGGAAGTACTGGGTCACTCGTCAGATAATGAGAGCTGTGACGCTTGCCAGGTTTCCATTTTCATTTCGCCTGCCAGGGAGCTCAGGCCCTGCAGTGGGTGGAAGGCAGGCTAAAAGCACTGCACAGAAAGCCTTCAGACAAAGTCCAGGGCCAGGTTAGAGCTGGCACACACTCTACTGATCTCGAGTCTATATGCCTTTTAGTTGAAAGGGTCAGAGGAGAGGTTTGAGACAGCAGAATGGCCTTTTTTATGTTCTTGCTCTCTTCCTGAAATGAAGGTTGGGAATACAGTAAGGGAAGGAAGTGAATTTTCACCTGATTGCCCTACCCTGTGAAAAAGAGGCAGGGGATCCAACTTATGTGCAAATTGATAAAGTGAAAGACTCCCACGCGATTGTGGTTGGCCTGACTCCCTGCACAGGTGGTGGAGGAACGATGTGTTTACTGTGTGAACTCTGATAACAGCGGCTGGACCGAAATCCGCCGGGAAGCCTGGGTCTCCTCTAGCTTATTTGGTGTCTCCAGAGCTGTCCAGGTGAGCAGTGTTGTGGGGGTGCTGGGGCTTTGGGGCCCCAAGCATTTGGTATGGAGGCTGGGCTAGGGGTCAGTGGGAAGCTCAGAATCTTTCCCCCTTTTCTTCTTTTGCCAGGAATTTGGTCTTGCCCGGTTCAAAAGCAACGTGACCAAGACTATGAAGGGCTTTGAGTACATCTTGGCCAAGCTGCAAGGTGAGGGGCTCTGGGCACAAAAAGAGGCCCTAGTGGCCCTGCCGGGTGTGGAGTCCACAGCCGTCACCACCCCACTCTAAGCCTGGGACCCATCATCAGTACCCTGGGGCAAATGGCACCCTTCGGACAGCGCCTGGCCCAAAGACGGGGAGTGTCAGGGAGGAGGGGTGTTGAGGTGGGTCGTCTTGGTGTCTTCTGAAGCCAGCCCCTGCCCTTTGCTGCAGGGGAGGCCCCTTCCAAAACCCTCGTTGAGACAGCCAAGGAAGCCAAGGAGAAGGCCAAGGAGACGGCACTGGCAGCTACAGAGAAGGCCAAGGACCTGGCCAGCAAGGCGGCCAGCAAGCAGCAGCAACAGCGGCAGCACTTCGTGTAGCCAGCCCGGGCTCCGGGGCGGTGGGACACCTGACGGCCCGGCTCCAGTCCCTCTGCCCTTCCTGCTCGTACTTTACTAGTAAAACTCAACTTCCAGCCCTTTCTGCTCTCTTGGGGGGGAGGGGGGTTGGGGCCGGGTGTCCTGTTCCGCGTGGAGCCGGGGGGCCAAGGACAGGCCCAGGGAGGGGCGGTGGCTCGCTCGGGGGCACAGTGTGCAGGGGGAGGAAGCCTAGACTGTAAGCTCCGCGAGGGCAGGGGCCTTTGTTGTGTTCTATGATGTGTTCCGGGTGCCTGGAACTGCGTCTAGCACATAACAGGCACTCAATAAATAATTCTTGGAGGCAGAAAGCTTTAGTTAGAATCTTGACTGCACGCTTTCCTGGCTTTGGGCCTCAGGCAAGTCTCGTACTCAGCCTCAGTGCCACCTGTGAAGCGGGGCCAGGCAGCCCCCAGCTGTGAGGCGTGGAGGGACACTGCCTGGTACCGTGAGCAAATGGTGTCGGTCACGGCTATGATCTCATTTCCTCTTTTCCAGTTTGTCCGTGCCTGGGAGTTCCCCATTTTCATCAGGCAAGACCACGGACAGGAAGTTAGCAAAGATGCGTAAATTTAATGCGAATACTGTCCAGTCTCTGGGGGCCTTCTCTAGGAATGAACGTGAGGGCCCAAGAGTCTTCTGCTCCCCTTGGGGACAGCAGAGCCAAGTGCTACAAGAAAGGCCTGGAAGGGTGGCCCGGGCGCAAGCTGCCTGCCCTGCAGGCCGCGGAGGAAGCACAGGCGAGCCCTCCCCCAGGAGGACCGGCCGGCAGCCAGCGGTGGGGGTAGGGGGACGGGGGGGACGGGGGGGGGCAGGGGGGGCAGGCACCTGTTCCCACGGAAGGGTCCTTTCAGTCCGTCGCAGGCAGCCCCTGAGGCTTGCGGCGGGTTCCGGCCTCGAGCGGAGGGCAGCGTGCGGGGGCTCACAGCCAGCTGCTGCCGCCGTGGGAGTAGCTGTGCTCCCGGCCCGCGCCGAAGCCCCGCAGCAGCTCAGCCTCGGCCCCGGACGCCAGGCTCTCCACGTCCACGTCCGCTTCCTCTGCACAGGGAGGCCGCCGGTTAGGGGCCACGGCCCGCTCAGCCCACACGACCCCTTGGCTTCGGGGCACTCACCTCGGTCCGAGTCCGAGCGCTCGGAAGAGAGGCCCGAAGAGTCCAGGCCGTCTGCCCGCGGCCCCGCCGGCCCCCGGAGCCGCTCCAGCTGCCGCCGCAGGCTCTGCCGCTTGCTGCGCAGCTTCTCCTTGAGCCGCCGCGCCCGCTGCTCCTGCGCCTCCAGCTTCTGTGGGTCCCAAGGGGGCGAGGTCCCGGGCTCAGCACAGCACTGCCAGCGACGGCCCGGCCATTGGTCACCGCCTGCTCCAGACCGCATCTGGGCCCCAGGGGCCTGCTGCTACATCCTCGGGGAAGCCAGCCTCCCTGCCCTCCGGCTCACGTAAATGCCCCAGGAGCATGCTGCGTTGATGGGCTGGGGACGGCGCCACAATCTCAAAGGCCGTCAGAGCCTAGTCAAGGGACGTGGGTCTGTCTGCTGCAGGCAGCAGGGACAGGGGAGGCCTGTGGCATGGCGGGGAGCGCGCACTACAGCTCAAGGGGGCGGCCCCCCCAGGTTCTAGCCGGGTCCAGCCACATGCACACGGGCCTGGTGCTGCCACGTGGCCCAATTTAAGAAAAGCTAGAAGTCAGACTTTTTCATGTCAAATGTCCTTTTACGTGCTGCCAGCTAATTTAAGTTTTTAGAAAACTACAGACCAAACAAAGCCTACCGGTTTGTAACTCCTGGTCAACCTCCCAGGAGCCCTGGAGCTTTAGTATTAATCCCCCTCCGGCCCTGCCAGCCTGGGGTCCAGGGACTGGAGGGCCAAGGGTTCTCCCACCAGAGCCCTTGCGGGCAGAAGCCTGCATTCAGTCAACAAGAAAGGGAGAACTGAGCAAGGGGACATTTGTACTGGGTGTAGAAGGATGAGTAAGCTGTCTATGCAAAGATGGGGCAAAAAGCAGCATCCAAGCAGAGGGACACTGGGAAGGTCATGGAGAATTCAGCTTTTCTGGTAGGGCATGGGAAGATAGGAGACCAAAAGCAGACCAGTGGCAACGCCTGGGCTGTGAAGGGCCTACAGTTTTACGGGAAGGAAGGAACTGAGACTGTCCTGTCAGGAGCCATGGAAGGTTTCCAGCAGGAAACAGACCTGGACAGATCTATGTGCCCCAAATTATGTTCCAGGGCAAGTTGGACGACAGCCCACAGGAGGCCAGGGAGTCCAGGAGAGGGGTGATAGGGCTTTGAGGAAGGAGCAATCCCCAGGTCCTGCCCATGGGCCAGCCAGCACCCAAGGGGCACACATCATCCCTCCCAAGAACCAGGCCAGGTAAGCTCCATGTGAGAAACGGGCCTGCTACCAAGCCAGGGTGTTCTTCAGCACAAGGAGGGGACGTGGGCACCATGGGGCAAAGCTCACAGTCCCCGCACTGTGATTTATTTGCTGCATAGCGTATGGACTATCTACCACAACACCTGGTGCCTAGAACAGGTGCTCAATAAACACTTGTTGAAGGAAACAGCAAGTCAGGGGACTTGGGCCTGGGTTATGACTCTGCCTCTCATTAGCTGTGCTGCTCAGTCCTTGGCCTGGCTGTGCCCCCATTTCTTCCTCTGCGAAAAGGGCCAGGAGGGCAGGAAAAGGCCTCTATGGTTTCTGAGGCCACTTCTAGGGCTGCTGCCCCCCTCCCCCCAATCTGAGTCTGCTACCCCACTCCTGTCCACTAGGGGGCACTGAGCTTAGCCCAGGTAGCAGAAGGGTGCTGGGAGGAGGGGTGACTGGCTTCCCTCTCCTGGCCTCTGGAACTGCCTCCCCAAATGGCTTCAGAATAGATAGCTCAGAACAGGAGGCCTTGGGGGGATGGGAGAGGGAAACCTCTGCAGCCTTAGGGACCCTGACACATGACACATCAGAATGTTTTCAACAGCCATGTCCCTCTGTACAGAGGGGGAAACCAAGTCCAGAGAGGCTGAGTGACTTGCCAGTTAGTACTGAATTGATAATAGCTATAATAACCATGAACGTTTACTGGGCAAAGTGACTCAAGCCTCAGGACAGTCCTCTTGAGTGGTCTTCTGCTTTTCTTCCTACTTAGCACAAATGGAAGCTAAAAGCACAGAGAACTGCTGGGCTATGACCTCGGGCCTCTCCCCCAGTTCCACTCAGCGCCTTCCTACTATACCGCTCACAGCTTCTGGCAGGCTGGCCGCAGGGCGCAGTGGCAGCTCCTTACCTGGATGTGCGTCCTGGCCCAGCGCAGAAGGCTCAATGTGGTGTAGCGGGCACAGTCAGGCCCCAGGGGCATCTGCTGTTTTAGCTGCTCTAGGCACCGCTTCAGCTGGGCCCTCCTGCGGGGGAAGGAGTCTGGAGGGCAGTGCCAGCCCAGCCTTGCTGGCCAGAGGGACAGCAGGGGAGGGAAGGCCAGAGGAAGATGATGGTTCCTGGGGCCCAGTGCTGTCAGGGCAAAGCTGGGACTCACCTGCGTTTCTCCAGCTCGTTGTGCACAGACCTGCCAATGCCAGGGAGGATGAGGGGGCGTCAGCTACTACCCACACCCCCAGTCCCAGGGGCTTAAAATCCACTATAGATGTGGGCTCCAAACTAGCCTAATGCGGGGACCTTGTGCCAGCCTTGAGCATTGGAGTCCGCAGGAAGAGGCAGAGACCCTGGGCCAAATGCCGAGAGGCCTGCCCAGGTGGTTGTGGGGTCCAAACGAGGCCCCCTACCAGCGGTCAGGAAGGGCTTCCTGGACAGAGGTGACAGTTGAGCTGGGCCAGAAACATGCTACCCAAAGTGGGGTTAAAAGTGGAGGGATTAGCATGTGCAAAGGGTGGAGAAAAAGAGAAAAGTCTGCGAGGGAAATCGAGTAGAGATGCGGACTGCAAGAGTGTGAGTGGAAGGAGGACCCTAAAGTCTCTTGTTTATAGTTTCTGACACATCAGGGGTGCTCAAGAAACAGTCCCTGAATGAACAGAGGGGAGTGATGAGATGGCAGGAGAGGTCTGAATTGCCTCCAGAGTAGGGGACCTGGCCCAGAAGATACAAGCAACAAGGAGGAAGTGGGCAAAGGTGAGGCCCCATGAGGGATGGCACCCATCCCCCCCCCCCACCATCCTCAGCCCTCCTCACCGCCCACTGTCCAGCGCGCCAGAAGCTTGGGGGGATCGCTTCCTCCTCCTGTAGACTGGGCCTGGATTGCGGTGCGGGCACAGGGACGCGTAGCCATGCTCAGCTTCTGCCAGATAGAGCCCCAGCCCACTTCAGGCTGGGGCTGGTCCCAGCAGGCGCCCCTGGCAAGGCACGGTCAGGGAAGGGCTTTTGGCGCCAGGGCCATTTTCCCAACCCCTCCCAGTCCGACAGCCCGGGGATCCCTCCCCCGCCAACAAGTTGAGGGCGGGGTGCCCCGGGGCTACTGCCTAAAGCAATGCATGCATCCTTCTTGTTGGGAGCCAAATCCAGCCCAGGCCTGTGTCAGCGAGGTTGCCGTCTGGAGTCTGGCCAAGAGTTCTTCCTCACCTCTCTCACGGCGCTCTAGGAACTCGGCCGCCTGCAGCAGGACCTGGATATTGCTGGCCACGGGTTCCATGTCGGCGACAGCTGGCGGCCGGCGGGCCTAAGGTGCTGGCCGGAAGAGCGGCTGCACCACTTTTGTTACAATGTAACTGACACGGTGCAACAAACACAGGGGCCCGGCCCCGCCCCTGGGACACCCCGCCCCCCGGGACGGCCCAGCCCTTGGCCCCGCCCCCCTGAAAAGGGACCAGGGAACAGCAGACCACCTCCACGAGCCCGCCCCCACTCACACTCCCGGGGCTGCTAAGGGCGCCGATTCCAGGCCCAGTCTTTGAGTGAATCCCCGGGCTGAAGGGGGCCACGTCTTGCCCATTTCGCTCAACGACCCCGCACCGACTGCTTAGTATATCAGGGCCCCAGTTTCTAGCCCCAAGCTGATAGCGAAGGCTCTGCACCTAAAATGGTACTCTGGGGGCCCTGGGTGTCCGGGAGGCCCCAGCTCGGTCGCTGCACGTGGGCGCCGCAGAGGCGGGGCCGGCGGGCACTCTCGCCCATTTGCCCGCTGCCTCCTGCGGCTCGCTGCCGTCACCTTCGGGGCGGGGCCGGCGAGCTTCTGAAGCACTATTGGCGGCGTGCAGCCCCGCCCTCTCCCTCCGCTGGTCAACATGTTCAGGCGGGAAAAGGAGCAGGTTTCAAATTTGAAAACCCGGGCAATCGGGGCGGGGTTGGGCGACGTTGGGCGGGGAACGGAGCTGCAGTGCGCAGGCGCCAGGGGGAGGGGGGCACAGATCCAGCTCCTATGCTTAAGGGTCCGTGCCCTCGCTGGCCTGCCATCTGCACCCCTACGCCCCCGCTGGGCCGCAGCTTCCTGTTGTGGCGAAGGGGAATAGTCTCCTGGCTCCTCCTCGTCTGCAGGGAAGCTACTGTTGCTACGAAACTGTCAGTAGGGTACCGATTTCCCAAGCCAAGCCATACTCTGGAAGCAGGCGAACTAGCTTGCTAGGGAGCCCTGGGTTCTGGAGCCCACGGAGCTGGGTTCCTCTCCTGTGCCCGCTTCTTCTCAACTGTGTGGCTCGGGAAGTGACCTCCCTCCTCTATGTTCAGGAAGCCCTGTGAGGACAGCAGTGTCGCAGGACCAGAGCCCTTGCCCATCTGTGCCCAGTACGTTGCAGCTCCTGACTTCTGAGGCCAGTGCAACCAGACGCAGGTTTCTTCCTCCCACAGAACCCCTGGCTGCCTGAGTCCAGGAGCACTTCTTTAACATGACTTTTTAGCCTCCCAAAGGAGTATATGCAGTGCCTTCTAAGGGCAGCACCAGTAGGTGTAGCTACACCTGCGGGAACAGTGAGTCTAAGGGTGGAGACAGGAAGATGAAAGCAGCTGTTACAGGGTGGAGCATTACAGCCAGGCTGGGGCTGAGTGTGAAATGGCTAAGAGGGCCTAGATTCTGTATGAAGAGACAGTCCTGGGAAACACATGATATACGGCAGTCAGAGAAACCAAAGGTCTTTTTCCCCTGAGGACTAAAAGTCACTCCCAGAGGAACCACTGATATGCTCCACCAACTGCTGCCTGGAACTGTCCACCCATTCACCCATCGATTCGCTCACAAGGTATTAGCAGAGTAGGTCCTGGACGGCAGGCTCTGTGCCTAGGACTGGAGAATACAAAATGGGAACAACCAGATAGGGTTCCTGCCTTCGCAGAGCTCACGGGGCGGGGGGGGAGTGACACAATAATCGCACAACAGTCACAGTTTTGCCAGGTCCTCATAGGAAAAGACACAACATGAAGGCAAGCCCTAAGGAGCATCTGTCCAAATCAGGGAAGTGTGGGAAGGTTTTGCTGGGGAAGTGGATGAACAGGTATCTCTGTATAGGAGGTCTGTAGGAGAACTGCAGACTTAACAGGCGCCAAGGCCTGAGGCTGAAAAGAACGGAGGCGGACCAAAAGAAGGTGGACGTGGCTGGCAACACAGAGAGCAAAGAACACAGTGCAGGCTGATGCTGGAGAGGCGGACGAGGCCCACAACAGGCTGATTGGTCCTCCACACCTCCACCCACAATCAGTTACGTTTGAAGAAAGGACGGCGCAAGGCTTGTGAATGAATTCCCAAGTGTATTTCACTGAAGTCAGCACCCACACCGTGCAGGCGCAAACCTACTCTTCAGACATCTGCGACCCAGGGGGCCCGGCCAAGAGGGATTCTGAAGGAGGCGAGCTCCCAGCAGCAGAAGGGAGCAAGGCACACTTGAAGAGCTAGAGACGCTCCGACTGGAAGTTGTGGAAGTGAGAGGGCGGCTGCAAGAGCACCAGAGCGGCCACACCGAGAAGTGGACTTCATTGTGGGAGCTGCCGCAGGCAGGCCTGGGGCTGGGACCAGCATGGAGAAGGGTCACCTGGGCCTCAAGGTCTCCTGTGGATATGGTCAGGGCTACCAGCCAGGGGGACAGGAAGCACCACCTCCCAGGAAGCAGGGCAGGTGGGGAGGATGGACGAAGATGTGTCTTTTTCCTCTATCTACTTGTAAGTTTTTATCTTTGGTTTTCAGCTGTTGCCTTGCTTTGTGTTTGTCTTGTTTAGAATGTTGTGAGTTTCTGTAAAGTTTTTCAGTCTTTATTTCTTCAAATATTTCTTCCTGCCCTATTTTCTTCCTCTTTTTTTTTTTTTTTAAGATTTTATTTATTTATTTGAGACAGAGAGAATGAGAGAGAGAGCACATGAGAGGTGGGAGGGTCAGAGGGAGAAGCAGACTCCCTGCCGAGCGGGGAGCCCGATGCGGGACTCGATCCAGGGACTCCAGGATCATGACCTGAGCCGAAGGCAGTCGCTTAACCAACTGAGCCACCCAGGCGCCCTATTTTCTTCCTCTTCTTACTCTGATCCCAATTTCAGGTACCCTTCCCAGTCTGAGAATACATCAATGCTAAGCGATGTTGTTCATGTTTTCAGGTGGTGGTTTTTTAATCTCTCTGCTTCAGTGTGGATAAGTTCTATTTACTTGTCTTCAAGTTCGCTTATTCTTTCTTCTGTGAAGTCCAACTTGGTGTTTAGCCCATCCACTGTGGTTTTTATTTTAACCACTGTGTTTTTCAGATCTAGAATTTCCATTTGGTCTTCTTAAAAAAGTTTTCCATCCATATCCCAGACTATCTCATGGCCTCATGTATTAATTTCCTAGGCTCATAACAAAGTACTATAAAATGAATGGCTTAAAAAAACAAATGTAGTCTACAACAGTGCTGGAGGCCAGAAGTCCAAACTCGGGGCTGAGCAAGATTAGTCCATCTGGCGGTTCTGCGAGACAGTCTGTTCCAGGCCTCTCTCCTCATTGCTGGTGGCTGCCAGTAACCCTTGCCAGTCCTCAGCTTGTACATGTATCACTTCAATCTCTGCCTCTAGCTTCACAAGGCGTTCTCCCCTGTGTCTCTCTGGGTCCAAATTTCCCTTTCTTGTAAGGATACCAGTCACTGGATTAGGGCCCAATATTAGGACCTCATGTTAACTTACCTAATTACATCCGTGAAAGACTATTTCCAAATTAGGTCACATTTAGAAGTTCTGGATAAATACTCTTCAACTCATTATACCCTTCTCTCTCCCAGTTATTATTCTTTTCCCATTAATTATTTTATATATTTATAATAGTTTATGTCCTTATCTGCTAATTCCAGTAACTTGGGGTGTTTTTTTTTTTTTTTTTTTTTGGTGGAACGTCTATTGTTTTAAAAATATTTATTTATTGGGGCGCCTGGGTGGCTCAGTCGTTTTAAGCAACTGCCTTTTCTCAGGTCATGATCCCAGGGTCCTGGGATTAAGCCCTGCATTGGGCTCCCTGCTTGGCAGGAAGCTTGCTTCTCCCTCTCCCACTACCCCCTGCTTGTGTTCCCTCTCTTGCTGTCTCACTCTCTGTCAAATAAATAAATAAAAATCTTTAAAAAGATTTGAGAGAGGGCGCCTGGGTGGCTCAGATGGTTAAGCATCTGCCTTCGGCTCAGGTCATGATCCCAGGGTCCTGGGATTGAGTCCCACATCGGGCTCCTGGCTCAGCGGGGAGCCTGCTTCTCCCTCTGACCCTCTCCCCTCTCATGCTGTTTCTCTCTCGCTTGCTCTCTAAAAAATAAATAAAATCTTAAAAAAAAAAAAAAGATTTGAGAGAGAGAGCACGTGCATGCGAGCAGGGGGAAGGGCAAAGGGAGAGAATCTCAAGCAGACTCCCTGCTGAGTGTGGAGCCTGGCGTGGGGCTCCATTCTACAACCCATGAGATCATGACCTGAGCTGAAACCAAGAGCTGGATGCTTAAGTGAGCCCCCCGGGCGCCCTTGGGACTTCTACTGTGTTTTCTCTTGACTGTAAGACATGAAAGAAAGAAAACGTGCTTTATAATTTTTTATTCTAGAACATAAAAGGGAGTAAAAAGAGAATATAACTATGTCAAAGTGTGTGTGTGCGTGTGTGTATTTGTTTCATTTATTTTCCTGAGAGACCAAGCAAGTCCTTACCTATCTGGCAGTTAGAACAAAGGGCTTATGATTTGGATTCCTCTTGAGTAGAGATTCGTGAGGAATTCAGCCAAATGTACATTAAGAGTGAACACAGTCACTTCTTAAACCAACTGCAAGTTCAGGGGATTCCTAAAACAATGGCTGGGGATGATTTGCTAGGACTCAGAGAACCCACTCAAAGCTAAAATATATACTGCATACACTGTATTATACAACTTCTTACAGGGAAGGGATACAGATTAAGACTGGCCAAGGAAAGAAGCTCATGAGTCTGGGGAACTAGGAGATGCAGGACTGCCACTATTCTCTCTCCCCGTGCATTTAGGACATGTTACTTTCCCGGTATCGATGTGTGACAATTATACAGAGTACCAAGTACTAGGGAAGCTATTCCAAGACTCAGTACTCAGTTTTCAGAGCTCTATTACATGGGCATGATTAATTGAGTGCCGATGTGGTTGATCTTAAGTCTCCACTGGACTGATGTCATGTGACCTAAAGCCCACCTTAAATCACACAGTCATTCACTGGCTAACCCAAGGCCTCTGGGCAAACAAAGATCATCTTCCAAGAGCTGAGGGCAGAAGACAGAGGCCTCTTTTGTGAAGTTAAATGCCACCACTGCCTTTGGTCAAGACTCTTACCACAAAATAATCATATTCCCTAATATTTGGAGGGGCTAGTGTGGAAGTAGGGATAGATTTAAAGAAACAACTAATGTAAAGCCTATAAAGCAAGTACATACATTTTCTTATTTTTGTCCTAATTATTTATTTCCCCCTTTGTACCTTATGATAAGCTGGTGCAGAGGTATTCAGCTTAGAAATTAGCTGACACTGGGGCACCTGGGTGGTTCAGTTGGTTAAGCATCCGACTCTTGATTTCAGCTCAGATCATAATCTCAGGGTCATGGGATCAAGCCCCATGTCAGACTCCTTGTTCAGCGGGGAGTCTGCTAGAGATTGTCTCTCTCCCTGTCCCTCTGCCTGGCTCCCCGTCCCTCCTCACACACTCTATCTTAAATTAATTAGTTAATTTTAAAAAGAAATTAGCTGATGGTGAGGTGAGGTAAATCCAGTGCTTTCTCAGGATAGTCATTTTCCATCTGTGTTACTTCCCAAGGAGGCTTAAAAAAAAAAAAAAAAGATTTTATTTATTTATGGGAGAGAGAGAAACAGAGCAAGCCGGGGAAGGAGCAGAGGGAGAGGGACAAGCAGACTCCCCACCTAGCGTGGAGCCTGACTCAGGGCTTGATCTCAGGACCCCGAGGTCATGACCTGAGCCGAAACCAAGAGTCCAGTGCTTAACCAACTGAGCCACCCAGGTGCTCCCTGAGGGGGCTTGGACCCCACTTCCCAGTCCATCTGACTGTGAACACCAGCACTGTAGCAAGGCCGGTATTACACCGTACCGCAGTGTGCCAGGAGATGTGTTCTGCAAAGCTCTGGCACATTACTAGAGTCCCACTCGGTCATTAACAACTGTCCAGGCCATCATCACACTGTGTGACTTAAACGTCCCCCAGAGTGATGCCATTCAGGTTTGCAGACTCCCAGTTTTTTTTAGGTTCCAAAAGCAAGAGTGGTCTCACAGCAACAGGAATCTCTGCCCTTTCAGGCACCTGGTGTCACTGAACGAGAGGAGACAACATCTGGCTTGGAGTCCCTCTCCAGGCCCCAGTGCCAGCCACACTGCCATGCTCTCACCGCATACGCCACTCACTCATTCCTCAACCCTCAGCTACCATTCCTCCTCTTCTCCATCTAGACCCTAACTTTTCTACTTTTGGAAGGGGTGTTAGGTTTGGCCACTGTGTTGGTCCAGGTTGCCAACAGAAATACTGGTCTAGCATATGCCCCACTCAGGCCTCTTCCACTGGGATGGGGCGGGGACGGCAGGAGGATTACTGGGTGCAGAACTAAGGTGAGCTGTCCAGACCATTCTGCGATATAGCTGCATTCAGTGGCAGCCCCAATTCTGCCAGATGGGGTGAAGGCACAACCTACCCCAGCAGATCCTTAGGAATTCTGACATAAAGGTTTAAAGGTATAGTTTCTTACTTAGAAGCTTCTGGCACCTGTAGTTGCAGCCCTGGTCCTGGGACCACTGCCTCAGGTAGGACAAAGGAAGTTGAGGTGATGTGGGGAAAAAAGAGAAAAGTATAGTGATACCAACCAGCATCCCTCCCATCGCTTCTTCTCCAAACCCACCCGCCCCCACCCCCGAAAAAGCAGAGGGATCTGTCTGTGGGGACCTTCTCTTGGCCTCATGTTGAGTGTGAGCACACACTCACGGACGTGTGTAAGCCAGCCCTTCATGCCTTTATTTCCCTGTTTAAAAATATATATATATATTTCAACTGCCTGTTCCAATTCTCCATCAAACCATTCCTCTGAAAATTATATCCCTCTGTCCACTGTTGAACATTATGGGCTATAAAGTGTGTTCCTTGGTCTGAAGATATGTGACCTGACAATATATTTCTAGTATCTTCTGTTCCAGTCCTTTTATTGTACCCTCAACATTTATATCTACCACGGAATAGGCTATGCCCAGTCCGGAGTAACTGTATGTTCCTGTCAGGATCCATTTGTACCACAACCCCCCCTTCCCGTCAGGTTTACCAGCACCAATCTGATTGGCCAGATACATGTGGCCGCTGTCTGTAAGTCAGTAAAAACCCAAACACAGGGGCTTTTATGATTGTTCAGTTCTTCCATCATTGCTAGAAAAACAGCATACAATTCAGCCCACTGAACTGATTTGTTTTGACCTTCCTCATCAGAGTAGTGGACTTCTAAAGAGGAAACTGTCCATTTACTGTGGAACTGCCCTCCAGAAACCAACTATTTTGTTGGTCAATGGAAAGCTTTTCATGGGACACTGCCGAGTGACTCAGTAGCCATAGGACCCAACAGCTACTCAGGTGGTTCCAGAGCCAGACTTTGGGGAAAAGAGGCTCCTACTCATGAGTACTTTCTCTCACTCTCCTGGTGGTCTGTTCCTGTATAAACCATTTCCATTTTATGATGGAATACTTCTGGGCATTACCCTCCCCGTTAAAGCATTTCCCCAACGTCACCCAAGGTATTGTGGGTAGTTCAGGTCTCAACGTTATTTTATGTCCTTCAATCACAGGGAAAATCTCAAAGTCCTATTTCTCAAATGGGAATTTTCTGGTCGCAAATCCCATCAATTGCCACTAGGTGGCACTCACAGGCTTTCACCATAAATTCCAGGAGGCTGCATATTCCAGGGGCTGTGGTGTAGCAAACTAACAACCTGAATGAGCTCCTGCAATCTCACCCATTCCCATCTAGCATGTCCAATCAATACTGGTGGAAGGGCAGATCACCATGCCTTCTGTTCTAGAGCACAGGCAGAGCAGATCTAGCATACTTCTTTTAAAGGCCCTCAGGATTTCTGGGCTGTTTGGTCCACACTCAAAGTCTGTTGTTTAGTGTCGCCACCCTCAGGAATTATCTTAGCTACACCTTCTGCATAACTAGCAGCTTCTACATCAGCACTTGCTGCTTCACCTGGTATTTTTAGGTTCTGGAGACGGTTTCCTTTCTTAAACCTCAAGAACCACCTTCGCCAGCTTCGAACTTTTCTTCTGCAGTTCCCTCACCCCTTTCCGCCTGCAAAGAGTTGAAGAGAGTGAGGGCCTACCTCTCATTTAGGCTTTGGCTTAAGGGTATGTGATGGCTGGTTTGATCTTCTATGCAGACCACTCAAACTTTCTTCATATCAGTAATAAGGCTGTTTCACTTTCTTATCATGTGTGTATTCACTGGAGTAGCACTTTCAATTTCCTTCAAGAACTTTCCTTTGCATTTACAACTTGGCTGACTGCTCAGCACACAAGGCCTAGCTTTCAGCACATCTTCTGCACTCAGTTTAATCATTTCTAGCTTTTGATTTAAAGTGAGAAATGTGAGACTCTTCCTTTCACTTAAACACTCAGAGGCCACTGCAGAATTAATTGGCCTAATCTCAATACTGTCGTGTCCGTGGGAATAGGGAGGCCCAAGGAGAGGGGGAGAGACAGGCAGTCGGTTGAGCAGTCAGAACACACATATATACCAATGAAGTTCACCGTCTTATATTGGCATAGTTCTCGGTGCCCCCAAAACAATTACAATAGTGACATCAGAGATCTCTGAGTACAAATCACTGTAACAAATACGTTGATAATGAAAAAAACTAGAAATATTGCGAGAATTACCAAAATGTGACGCAGAGACAGAAAGTGAGCAAACACTGCTGGAAAAATCGCCCCAACAGACCTGCTCAACACAGGGTTGCCACACACCTTCAATTTCTAAAAAATACAGTATCTGCAAAGCACAATAAAGTGAAGCACAGTAAAATGAGGTATGCCTATACAAACTCAACCACCAACAACACTATTCCTTGGAGAAGCCTACCTGCTCATCCCGAGAAAACGTCAGGGAACCAAGGATTCCACCAGTGACGTGAAAAGCTTCACTGTGTTTTTGAATTTGTAAAATTATTCTGATATGCAGTGCTATTCGGCATGCTTTCTCTACAGAGGTGAAACAAGACTTGTTCTTTAACAAAACGGAGAGACTTCCCTGGACAGTTCACAAATTTGACCTTGGCACTGAGGCTAGGGCTTGGTAAAGCCTCAGGGGTCACAGTTTTTACAACTTCTATCCTGCCAGAAGTATGTTTAAGGTCTTCGGTTTGCATTCAAGGTCTCCATTTTGCATTCAGGACCTAAGCGCTATCATGCTGGCTGCTACCAGGTTTCATAGACGGAACCTTTAACTAGATGGGCATCATCTTCCTTGAGATCCCCAAGTTTGCCAATGTGTATGACTTGCCAGGAAGCAATCGCTTTACAGCCCGTAGGCTTGGACTTCACGGGCCATCAAACGAGCAATAGGCAGGCTCCCTTGAGCACTCTGCAGCACCTTTTCCACAGGTGTTCAGAGAGCAGTGAATGGCCCTAAGTGAGGGACACACAGCTGGGCACAGGCAGGGTCACAGGTCAGCTTATCTAGCAACACCCTGGTAGCAAGGAGGGTGGACTCTGAGCCAATGCAAAGAGTGACAGCGCCATGGGAAGTAAAGCCACTTGTTTGGCAGTTCCTCAAACAGTTCAACATAGAATTACCGTGTGACTCAGCAGTTCTACTCCAGGGTATATCCAAAAGAACTGAAGGCACTTGTCCCCGTGTTCATAGCAGCATTATTCACACTAGCCAAAGGTACAAGGAACCCAAGTGTCCATCAGCAGATGAATAAGCTGCGGTATATCCATATGATGAAATATTGTTTGGCCATACTACACTGATACATGATAACCTTGATGACACTGAAACCCTAACCCTAACCTTGAAAACATTACATTCAGTGAAATAAGCCAGACACAAAAGGACAAATATTACTTGATTGCACTAATATTTGAGGTATCTAGAATAGGCAAATTCAGAGACAAGAGTGGAATAGGGGTGACCAGGGGCTTTGGGGAGGAAGCAATGGGAGTCAGTGTTTAGCGAGTAGAGTTTCAGTTGGGGAAGATGAAAAAGTCCTGGACACGGATGGTGGTGATGGCTGCATAACACTGTGAATATATTTAATGTCACCGAGCTTACACTTAAAAATGGTCAAAATGGTCAATTTTGCATACAATATGCATACAATTTATATTTTACAAAAACAATTTTTTTGGTAAAAAAAAATTTAAAGCACGGTAACGTGGTGAAGACAGTTTAACATTTAACCACTATTCTGGGTAGTTTTATAAACAAGGCAGGTCAATATGTCATATTTTCAAATATCATCATCATCTTAGTAAGACCTCCTAATGATTTGTTAGCCTATAATCTATATGATCTCCCAATGTCTATTTTTCCTTAATAATGACTGATTTAATTCAGCTAGAACAAGGTATCAAATAGTGCTTCATTCCTTGGGGCACCTGGGTGGCTCAGTCGGTTAAGCGTCTGCCTTCGGCTCAGGTCATGATCTCTCAGGATCCTGGGATTAAGCCCCATGTCATTGGGCTCTCTGCTCAACGGGGAGCCTGCTTCTCCCTCTCCTTCTGCCTGCCACTCCCCCTGCTTATGCACATACTCACACTCTCTCTCTCTTTCAAATAAATAAATAAAATCTTAAAAAGACCAAACAAACAAAAAAGAAAAGTGCTTCATTCCATTTTGTACATGTATAACCTGGTAAACTAAAGATTAGAGATGAATCAAGAAAGCACTTTCTCGTGTGCCTCTCAGAAAAAAAACATTAAAAAATACGTTATATGGGACGGCTGGGTGGCTCAGTTGGTTAAGTGTCTGCCTTCAGCTCAGGTCATGACCTCAGGGTCCTGGGATCAAGCCCTGTGTTGGGCTCTCCTGCTTCTCCCTCTCCCTCTGTGCTTGTGCATGCATGCACATGCTCTCTCTCAAATAAATAAAAATATTTTTTAAAAAAATGAAAATGAAAAATACCAGCTATGTATGTTATGCATAAAGTTATTCAGAATAACAACAGTACTCAAAAACAAATAACCTCAATTGGTTTTTATCAATCACAAACCACAAAAAGGGAGTATGAAGTCCCTGGACAACAGAATAAGGCTGATCTAATATAGACACATCAAGTTCTACCTCTGAAAACTAATTACACAATTTCAATGCACAAGCCTACCTACAGAAATCAACTACATTTCACACTACAAAGAAAAGCTCAACTGATTGCCAGAATATAGGCCAGACTTCAATGAAAGGCACGAGCACTTATGTCTCTCTTCAAAAAACCTATTAAACTCATTAAAAAAGAACACACAAATGATATGTTCAGACCCCACAATTTTGAGAGAAATTTCTAGAAGTCAGGTACATATTGACAGAAAAGCTTAAGCAGAAAACAAAACAAAACCACCAAAAACAACAACAACAACAAAAAACCCAGAACACCCACATCTACAGGATGAAACTGTTTGGAGATTAAGCACAATGCCTGGGAGGATACACAGGAAGTGACTCCACTAGACAGCACTCAAGGAAATAAGAACTAAAATAAGACAGTTTTTCATCTCTGTGGTCTGGGGATGTGAGCATGTAAGTTCCCCTAGAGATGGTGGGTGAGCTGATCCTGGGGCAGATCAGAGGAAGTCAAGTCTTAAACATTCCAGGAGAGTAGAGGACATGGCACTGGAAAATTCTGGGAGAATTCCAACTAGACCTGAGGATGGTAGCTCTGTTGATGGAGATGAAATGGGATGGAGCATCAGTGGTCAGAAATGGGAACAAAAGCAGAAGCAGAAACGCAGGCAGGGCTCCTGCCCTTGCACACCTAGGAGGGCTCACAGGAGAACCAGGCAGCTGCAAGAAGCGAACGGTCTCCCCAGGCTGCAAAATGCAATGGGGCCCTAGAGCTAATAGCAGGACTGTAGTACTCTGAAAGCTCGGCTATGCTTTTTCTCCTTTCAAATAGGGCTTGAACTTTTCTGAGTGAAGAATTAGGTCCCAGTGGGTAATGTAAATTACTCTATAGTTAACTAGGTTTAAAAAAAAAAAAATCAATTTCTAAGGAAAGTGGTATTTTCATTAAATAATTGAAGTCTCTCATGCATCAGTCAGAAACTGAGCTAGGTGTGGGTAAGAGGCCAGCCCATGTATTCACCAAGCAAAGATTTGTTTTTCTCTCCCGTTAATGAAGTGTTCAGCACCAGGAGCATGGGGCTGGCAGGACGACTGCTGGCCAGCAACGACTTCTACCTTCTGCTTGCCCATCCTTAGCGTGAGATGTCTGTCCAAACATTAGCTGGACACTCCTGGAATGAGGACAGCTAGGACAGAAGAGTGTGCTTCAGGCTGAGCCAGCCCTTTCAAAGAACTTTCTAGAAGTGCCACCTGATGACTCCTATTAACTTCTCCTAACCACCATTAGCAAGAGAGCTGGAGAAGGCCACCCCAAATTAAATCTGGGTTTTAACAGGAGGAAAAGGTAGGTATTAAATATTAAATATTGGGGAGACAAGCAGCAGTCCCAATTGAGAACATATGAATCTGTGGCTACTTTTTTTTTTAGATAGAAAATCTTTTGTTTGGAGGTGACATACAATTTTTTAAAATCTTAAAGATACAATTGCTCATATATTTGATCTGATTACAAAGGAAGCTGTTGGATTCCAACTAATTCAAAATAAAATTTTCCTTTTTTTTAAGAGGGATCAGAAAATATAACAAGATTTAATAAGTAAACTAGATTTGGTTAAAAATGCAACCAAATAATTGGAATACAAGTCATGAAAAGTACTCAGAAATCTTTAGATAGAAAACTACAAATTTATTGTGATGCAAAAATAATTTGTATATGTGGACAGGTTTTTTTTTTTTTTTAAGATTTTTATTTTTTTATTTGACAGAGAGAGAGACAGCGTGAGAGGGAACACAAGCAGGGAGAGTGGGAGAGGGAGAAGCAGGCTTCCTGCAGAGCGGGGAGCCCGATGCGGGGCTCGATCCCAGGGCCCCGGGATCATGACCCAAGCCGAAGGCAGACGCTTAACGACTGAGCCACCCAGGTGCCCCTATGTGGATAGTTTATAATACTGAATGAAAAGAATTAACATGAGAATAATCTGTAATCATGGTAACAGCTAAAACTTACTGAGTGCTCCGTGTATGGCACAAATTACACTCTGGGGGCGCCTGGGTGGCTCAGTCGGTTAAGCGTTCGACTCTTGATCAGGTCCTGATCTCAGAGTCGTGAGATCGAGCCCCATTTGGGCTTCGCGCTGAGCCTGCTTAAGATTTTCTCTCTCCCTCTCCCTCTGTCCCTCCCCATGCCACCTCCTTGCCCCCCACTCTCTCTAAAAAAAAAAAAGAAATTACACTCTGTTTAATGGGTTCATGTAGGCATGTGACTCTCAGCAGTTTTGAGACAGACATTAACATGATCCCCAATTTAAGAGGACACTGAGACACAGAAGGAACTGAATTTACCCTTTTCCTAACATCTACAAAGAGATGAAGGATGCAAGCACAGCTGACAAGCCACAGCACTGTCACTAATACCAATTTATCTAAAATTCCTCATAACCACCCCCTCCCAGTTTTATAGCGCTATAACTGACATTCAGTATTATGTAGGTTTTTTTCTTGACGGTGTGCTCGTGAAGGAGCGGTGTGGGGGTGTTTGGGTGAGTGGGACAGGTTGAGGCAGATGGTTAAAGTTCTTTTTTTTTTTTTTTAAGATTTTTATTTATTTGTCAGAGAGAGAGCGAGTGAGCACAAGCAGGGGGAGCAGCAGAGGGAGATGGAGAAGCAGACTCCCCACTGAGCAGGGAGCCCGATGTGGGACTCGATCCCAGGACCCTGGGATCATGACCTGAGCCGAAGGCAGACGTTTAACGACTGAGCCACCCAGGCATCCCAATGGTTAAAGTTCTTACCGTAGTTATTTTAGAGCTGGGAGGAAGAGGAGCTGAGGCCACACCAGTGTTCAGAGTTTAGATTCTAGCAAAACAAGGCAGCTGTGCCTGGAAAGAGAGGTCAGCCCCGGAAGAATTGCTCCAAATCCGAAGGACAAAGAATGGAAGACCCAAGCAGGGTGTGTGGCCACTGGGGTCTGCGGGGTTGGGGGGTGGGGGGAGCAGACGTCCAGAAAAGGAGGCAAAGACAATGAGATAGGGCTTTAGAAAGAAGTGAGGATTGTATACGGGGGAAAAATCCAAGGGAAACGAGAGGCAAGTGTCTGTGGCACCTGCCCAGCTGACGGAGCAAGAGACTCTAGACCCCGTGAGGTTGAGCCCCATGTTGGGTGTAGAGATGGCGTAAAAAAAAAATGAGGCAAGTGTCAACTTAAGAAAAAGTTCAAAGCTGCCGACTGGGGTGCTGTAATTGGGGCGCTCTACCTGGGCTGACAGTGCAATACATTTGCATAATAATGATCATTTACTTAGCTAAAAAGAGGGACCCAATCCTATTCCGAGGCTGCAGAGAAGGTGGGATGTAAAAGAGCTAAATCTCAAGTGTCATACAAAGAAATACATACATAATGCTAAAAACTTACAAATCAAGATAAAACCATATAATTTAGAAATACAAAATAACTGCTAGGAGTAAGAGCTGACAGAGCTGAAAATCACTGCTCCCAAATCACAAAAGAGTGGTCATTTTTATTGTTGCTATGAGCCTTTGGTATATGATTTTTAAATTACGACATACAATGTCTGCTGCATTAAAAAAAAAAAAACAACAGAACGGATACTACCTATAAATTATTTCGACGAACCCACACAATTATTTGTTTTTAGCAAGGCCTTTTCTTTCCTTGGTGAAAAGCTAAGTTCATAATTAAGTTTCTACTTTGAAAGAGTCTCATCCTTCTTCAGAGTCATGAACATTCCCAGGGCATGATTCTCTCATGTCTGTGGGGGGATGATACCCTCTCACTTAAATCATGAGCTGGCTTATTTAAGGGAACTTGCATTGCCGAGCGTATTTTGGGCGATATTAAATTTGTTCTCAAATGATGTGCAGGGATGAATAGAAACTGAAGCAATTCATGTCATGGCGTTAAGAATTAGAGCACACCTGGCACCTGGCTGGCTCAGTCGGGGGAGCATGTGACTCTTGATCTCGGGGTTGTGAGTTTGAGCCCCATGTTGTTTGGAGATTATTTAAAGACTTTTTTAATTTATTTATTTGACACAGAGAGAGAGAGAGTGAGAGAGAGAGCACAAGCAGGGGGAGAGGCAGGCAGGCAGGCAGAGGGAGAGGGAAAAGCAGGCTCCCTGCAGAGCAAGGAGCCCGATGCGGTGCTCGATGCGGTGCTCGATGCGGTGCTCGATCCCAGGACCCTGGGGTAATGACCTGAGCTGAAGGCAGATGCTTAACTGACTGAGCCACCCAGGCACCCCTGGAGATTATTTAAATAAGTAAAACTTTAAAAAAAAAATTTTTTTTTTTAAAGATTTTATTTATTTGACAGACAGAGACACAGCGAGAGAGGGAATACAAGCAGGGGGAGTGGGAGAGGGAGAAGCAGGCTTCCCGCCGAGCAGGGAGCCCGATGTGGGGCTCGATCCCAGGACCCGGAATCATGACCTGAGCCGAAGGCAGACCTTAACGACTGAGCCACCCAGGCACCCCTAAAAAAATGTTTTAAAAAGGAATTAGACCACACCCTAGAAACAGCTATTTTGGGGTGCCTGGGTGGCCCAGTCATTAAATGTCTGCCTTCAGCTCAGGTCATGGTCCCAGGGTCCTGGGATCGAGCCCCACATCGGGCTCCCTGCTCCACAGGAAAGCTGCTTCTCCCTCTCCCACTCCCCCTGCTTGTGTTCCCTCTCTCACTGTCTCTCTCTCTGTCAAATAAATAAACAAAATCTTAAAAAAAAAAAAAAAAAAAGCTGTTTTTGCATTCTAGGTTTCAACAGCTATAAGCAGATTTAAGAGGGAGGCTCCTTATCAAAATCCTGAATCAGATAGCTCAAGGCTGCAGAGGGAAAAAGTAAGCAAGGGCTTGTTTAAAATTTAGCTCCAACTCACACCTTTGGGGCATCCAATACATCCTGAGGCAAAACTGGCAAGCTCCCCCTTGGATGAAGCTCCCTTTAAGGGTGGCCATTCTCTGGGAAACTGAGAGGCTGCTAACAGTGGGTCTCTGAGATACAGAATAGGAGATTAAAACTCAAACTGGATTCTATTCTCAGTTTGGGAATTTTCTTACTAAATGATTCTAATTATGACTTTGAGTATCAGTAGGAACAAGCTGCTGAGAGGCACTTTCTAGGGGTTATAGCGCCCGTTCCCATCCTCAAGTGGAGACTGGCTAAGATGAATGGTTGGTGCTCTAGGGTTTCAATATTGTGCTTGCCTGCTTTCTGGGCAAGTGGACTGAATACCATTACGAAATGGATTTTGTGTCCAACATGATGAATACTGAAATTTTCCCAGTTTCATTCTCCAACAGATAAAACAATATTTTTATTGGCTTATTATCGTAGCTTTTCAAATATGCTTTGTGGTGGGTTTGCATAAGCCACCACAGAATGCTAACACAGACACAAGGCATCTAATCAGCATGGCTCAATGGCCAGTGTGCACAGGACTCCCCTCAAATGCTTATTAAAAATGCAGATTCTCATGCTCCACTACCTGCAGTCTGGTGACTCAGACCCCATCCCAAGAACCCAGGTCTAATTATGGCAATCATATGGATATCTGCATCCCACTTTCCATTGACTAGAAGGAGAATGCTCATGTTTTTGAAAGACCGGGGCTTTGGCACCCAACACTCTGAAGAATTCATCTGGTTAGTAGGCGTACAGCATGTCTGTTGTATATTAAAGGTAGGTAGTAGCCACTTATCCTGATAACACAAACCTGTGGCCTTGTGTGTGTAAGGACAGCCCTTCCTCTGCCTGCCACGGTGGGAAGAAGTGGGTACCACATCCCCCAGAGTCAGTTTAAATAGAGGAGAGACATGTATGCCTTTAGTCCAAATGTCCCGATTGTGGACCGCAGAGTCAACATGAGGTACCGGCTAAAGGTTCACATATGCAACGGGAAATGCCTATTTTCCAACAATCAAATGACCAAAAACACAAGACCAAGTGGTCAACCAAACAGGTTGACCAAGGCCAAGACCACTTCAATGCCCTTTCCCCTCCTCTACCTCTAGCAAAAGTTTGTAAAGAGGGGCGCCTGGGTGGCTCAGTGGGTTAAGCGTCTGCCTTTGGCTCAGGTCAGGATCCCAGAGTCCTGGGATCTAGGCCCACATCGAGCCCCGCACTGGGTTCCCTGCTCAGTGGGGAGTCTGCTTCTCCCTCTGCCCCTCTCCCTGCTTGTGCACATATGCTCTAATAAATATTTTCTTAAAAAAGTTTGGAAAGAGAGATCAAGAGACGGTGGGGGCGGGAGGGGTATGTGTATGCGGTCTGATCATCTACTGCTACATAAAAGGCTAAGTACCCTGAAGCCTAGTTGTGTACAACAATCATTTTTATGTTCATGGGTTCTGTGGACTGGAGATTTGAGAAGAGCATGGAAATGTGGTGAGTCCTCCACTCCATGACATCTGGGCTTCTGCTGGGATGACTTGAATGGCTGACACAAGAGCCCAGACGGCTCCTTCCTTGCACGTCTGGCACCTGGGCCCCAGTGGCTAAGGATGGACACCAGCGGGGACTGTCAGCTGGAGTGCCTGCACAGGGCTCCCGAGCAGGGGGGCTTCAGGCAGCGAGGTTTCTTACACAGTGGCTGGGAGCTCCAAGGGCCAGTGCTCCTGCCAAACAGGTGAAGCTGCCTGGCCTTTATGACCAGGCCCTGGAGGTTACAGCACGTTACTTTTGCCACTCCACTAATGGAAGCAATCACAAACCCACCCAGACTCAAAAAGAGGGAACAGGAATATCAACCTTGATATTCCTCTTGATAGGAGAAGCATCAAAGAATTTGGGGCAGTGTTGTAAAATCATCACAGTCATCAGGAGAGTAAATAATAAAATAATAATTGAAGAAAATTTCCCAGAGCTAAAGATGTGAGTATCAAATTAAAAGAGGACCCCAAGTGCTAAGAAGGAGAAAAAAAAAGGTTCAAATCTGGACACATCTTGATGTTGTTTCAGATCACCAAAGATAACTACAGTTGACCTGTGAATGACGTGGGTTTGAACTGTGCTTATACGTGGATTTTTTTTTTTTTTTTAAGTAGGCTCCACGCCCAGCATGGAGCCCAACGTGGGGCTTGAACTCACAACCCTGAGATCAAGACCTGAGCTGAGATCAAGAGTTGGATACTCAATCAACTGAGTCACTCAAGGCACCCCTGGATTTTTTTTGATAAGTAACAGTACAGTACTGTAAATGTTATTTTCTCTTTCTAATGATTTTCTTAATAACCTTTCCTTTTCTCTAGTTTATTATAATACAGTACATAATACATATAACATACAAAATCTGTTAATCAACTATTTATGTTAAATTGGTAAGGCCTCCAGTTGACAGTAGGCTATTAGTTTTAGGGGAGTCAAATGTTATACTAGGACTTTCAACTGTATGGGGGGTCAATGCCCCTAACCCGAGTTCTTCAAGAGTCAACTGTATTCCTAAAAACTTCGAGAAAGAGGGCGCCTGGGTGGCTCAGTTGGTTAAGCGATTGCCTTCGGCTCAGGTCATGATCCTGGAGTCCTGGGATCGAGTCCCGCATCGGGCTCCCTGCTCGGCAGGGAGTCTGCTTCTCCCTCTGACCCTCCTCCCTCTCATGCTCTCTGTATCTCATTCTCTCTGTCTCAAATAAATAAATAAAATCTTTAAAAAAAAACAAAACAAAACTTCGAGAAAGAAAAATAATCTACTCCAGAGGAGTAAGAACCAGAAGATGACATCAGACTTCTAGTTGGCAACACTAAGCAGAAGTGTAAGAGCAAAATAAATCTATTTTCACAGAGAGTTCAGAATGATTACCTCCCTGAAGCATCATCTCTAAGAGTTTCTGAAGGGTATGTGCCACAAAACCAAAAAAAAAGCAGAAGACACGGGACACAAGAATCACAAAGCAGAGAGACTACGCAAGCAAATAACTGAGAATTTTAAAACATTAATACCAATTTTGGAACTAAAATGCCACGTAATTTGTTAGTTTTCTCTTCTGCCCTCCCAGGATGGCGGAGACACCCCGCTACTTAAGACGGCTCTCGCAGGATCCACAGTGAATCCTGGTTCAGGATTCCAGATATATGGAGTTGTCAGCCAAGCAGTGATGCCCAAGGAGATGAGTTGAGCATGCAAGGCTGCGCCACTGCACAGGCATTCGACCCACGTCCCCCAGTTTCCTGAGTCTCGGTCACCTCCACCGCATGGCGTCACCTCAGTCCGGGGCTTGCCCATTTCCCTCCTAACATTCTCTCTCCACAAGATCCCATTCCTTCCTAAATTCTCACTGACCTGTGAAGTCTCCTAAACTCACCAACATAACCATTGCAAGTCCTTCCCTCCTTCTACATAATAGATTCTCCCTCTGGTTGCCAATCCCCACTTGCATGAGCTGGGATTATGTTCACCTGTGAGTAAAAGAAAACCCAACCCAACGCACGCACAGAAGTCGGTTTCTCTCCCTGTGAATGCCATCTCCAGTGGTGGCCAGTCCGGAGACCTTGGCATGCCGTCCTCCTGATGGCCTCGTGCCCAGCAGCCTGCTGCTCGCAGGTTATTCACCCACCATCTCTAAGCCTCAAGCCAGCCTTTCTATGCTGCTGTGTGACACTGGGTCTGAACTCTGCCGTTTCCCAGGCTCCGCCCCCAGCGGGCTTCCTGCTGAGTTCTGCCACTGGGAGGTGGTAGATGGAAGGGGAAGCAGGAAGAATGGACTTCCTTTTTTCCAAGGCCAGCAGCAGCAACCTGCACCAGGCGGCTCCCGCTTCCAGCACCCCCAGCAGCAGGACTTGCCCTGCCAGCCAAGAAAGTGCCAACTCTCCCAGGCTCCCCCCAACCGGAGCTGTGCCTCTCTTGCGAGTCCAAGTAGCCACCACGTTCCACCTTCTCACAGGGCCCTCCAAGCTCCAGGGCCCTCCAAGCTCCAGGGTTCTGGTAATATCACCGCTTCCTTTTGGTCCCTCTGGGAGGTATCTGTTTCCCATACTGAATTTCTAGCATATCTCAGGGCCCCTTTTTGCTCTCTCAGCCTTCCCACACCCCCATAACCAACGACCTATATTGAGCACCCTCTGTTTGAAATACCTAGTGTGGGGCGCCTGGGTGGCTCAGTTGGTTAAGCGACTGCCTTCGGCTCAGGTCATGATCCTGGAGTCCCGGGATCGAGTCCCGGGATTGAGCCCCGCATCGGGCTCCCTGCTCTGTGGGAAACCTGCTTCTCCCTCCGCCACTCCTCCTGCTTGTGTTCCTTCTCTCACTGTCTCTCTGTCAAATAAATAAACATCTTTAAAAAAATAAATAAAATACCTAGTGTGGCACGTTGTCCAGACTGGATCCTGAATCATACAATCTGTCTCCTCAGCCATACTGAGCTGTCCATCACTGTGCTGTACACTCTGCGAAGACAGGAACTGTACCTCTGCATCCCTGACCTACTGCCTAGTACATACTAGTTTATTAACAAAGATGTGTTGAATTAATTAGGCTTTAGTCCATGATGGAACTAAAATTGGAAGTCAAAACATGATAAAACCATGGGCAAGATTATTTTAGTGCACACATTCATTGCTGATATTATTATTATTTTTTAAGATTTTATTTATTTACTTGAGAGAGTAAGAGAGAATGAGAGACAGCGTGAGAGGGGGGAGGGTCAGAGGGAGAAGCAGGCTCCCTGCCGAGCAGGGAGCCCGACGCGGGACTCGATCCCGGGACTCCAGGATCATGACCTGAGCCGAAGGCAGTCGCCCAACCAACTGAGCCACCCAGGCACCCCCTCATTGCTGATATTATTGACTGAAATCAAGAAATGCCAAGTATTGGTCATGAGATTCATATAACACCACCCTGACCTATTTTTTTCTTAAAGATGTTGTCAGAGAGAGAGAGATTCTATTTATTTTTTAAAGATTTTATTTATTTTTCAGAAGTAAAATAAATATTTATTGTCAGAGGAGCAAAGGGAGAGGGAGAAGTAGACTCCCCGCTGAGCAGGAGCCCGATGTGGGGCTCAATCCCAGGACCCCGGGCATCATGACCCGAGCTGAAGGCAGACACTTAACCGACTGAGCCACCCAGGTGTCCCCGCCCTGCCCTTTTGAAAACAAAAGCAAAGGGGCGCCTGGGTGGCTCAGTCAGTTAAGCATCCAGCTCTTGATTTCGGCTCAGGTCATGATCTCAGGGTTGTGAGATCAAGCCCTGCCTCAGGTCCACGCTGGGAGTGGAGTGTGCTTAAGATTCTCTCTGGGGCACCTGGATGGTTCAGTCGGTTAAGCTACTGCCTTCAGCTCAGGTCATGATCCCAGGGTCCTGGGATCGAGCCTGCATCGGGCTCCCTGCTCGGCGGGAAGCCTGCTTCTCCCTCTCCCACTCCCCCTGCTTGTGTTCCCTCTCTCGCTGTGTCTCTCTCTGTCAAATAAATAAATAAAATCTTTAAAAAAATAAAAAAATAAAAAATAAAAGACATTACAGATGGCCAAGAGACACAAAATGATGCTCAACATCACTAATCACCAGGAAAATGCAAATCAAAACTACAATGAGGTATCACCTCACACCTGTCAGAATGGCTAGAATCAAAAAGACAAGAAACAGTAAGTGTACGTGAGGATGTGGAAAAAAAGGAACCCTCATGTACTGTTGGGAATGCAAACTGGTGCAGCCACTGTAGAAAACAATAGGGAGGGTCCTCAAAAAATTAAATATAGAAATACAGTATGATCCAGTAATTCCACTACTGGGTACTTACCCAAAGAAACCAAAAACACTAAATCAAACGAATATACGCACCCCTATGTTCACTGCAACATACAACAGTCAAGGTACAGAAGCGACTGAAGTGTCCCACACACAGACGAGTGGATAAAGATGTAGTATACATATACACAATGGAATCTCACTCAGCCGTAACAAGGAATGAGATCCTGCCATCTGCAACAACGTGGATGGACCTAGAGGGTATTATGCTAAGTGAAGTAAGTCAGAGAAAAACAAATACCCTGTGATTTCACTTATACGTCAAATCTAAAAAAAAACAAGACAAAGCAGACCCAGAAATATAGACCTGATGGCTGCCCGAGGTGCAGGGAGGTAGGGGATGGGCGAAGGGGAGTGTTCCGGCATGACTAAGTCACCCGGACGAGGAGGGCAGCATCGAGAAGACAGCCGATGGCGGCGGACTAGCGCTGCCCGGCGACGGCGACCGCACGTGTGCAAGCCTGGCGTCAGAGCTGTCCATCACTGTGCTGTACACCTTCAATTACTGTACCGCCGGGCGCCGCCACTGCAGTTAAAAACCAAGTAAAAGCTTCTCTTTTGATAGGTAAGTTCATGTTTAAATATTATATATGGAAAAATGCACAAATCTTTTTTTTCTTACAGATTTTATTTATTTGACCGAGAGACACACAGAGAGAGGGAACACAAGCAGGGGGAGTAGGAGAGGGAGAAGCAGGCCTCCTGCAGAGCAGGGAGCCCGACGCGGGGCTCGATCTCAGGACCCTGGGATCATGACCTGAGCCGAAGGCAGACGCTTAACGACTGAGCCACCAGGCACCCCAAAAATGCACAAATCTTACCAATGAATTTTCATTCCACTTCCCTTAGCCAAATGCAGGTCTTTCTCCATCTTCATCTGACTCCTTGTATCCACTTTCCTTAATTTTGTTCCCCTTAACCACGGTTACTGCTTGAGCTGTGTTCCCCCAAAAAGGTTATGTTGAGTCCCAATCCCCAGTACCTTACAATACAACTTTATTTGGAAATACGCTCTATGTAGATAGATCTATTCAAGTTAAGATGAGGTCATGGGGGTGGCTAATCCAATGTGACCAATGTCCTTACACAAAGGGGAAATTTGGAGGCAGAGGGAAGAGGATGTGAAGATGGCCATGCAGTGATGGAGTCAGAGATTGGAGTGATCTATGTCTATAAGCCAAGGAATGCCAAGGATTGCAGAGAATCTGCGAGACAATAAATTTCTGTTATTTAAAGCCACCAGTGTGTGGTACTTAGTTATGGCAGCTCTCAGAAACAAATGCAAGTACTAACATTGCATAGATTATACTTACTATATACTTTAAACTTACTTTACACTCTATTTATTTCACCTGATATCCCCACCAGACTAAGTTCCATGAGGAACCGTAAGTTCCTTTTACTCTGTTGTGTCCCAACGCTTTACACAGCGTGGGGCACACAGTGAGCACATCAGTATTAACCTGCAGTCCAGAGAAGACCCCTACACATTAGAAAATTTGACATATACACGAAGGAGAGCGGCAGGGCTGTTCTTAGCCTCAAATAACACAAAACAGGACTCACGGTAGTTTGAGCAAATACAAATTTATTTTTTACATAAAAGCCCAGTGGTCAGGAGTCCAGGGCTGTGGCAGCACCTCAGTGATGTCCTAAGGACCCACAGTCCATCCAGCTCTGGTGTTCACTTCCGCCCCGGTGGTCACAGGGGGCCTCTGCACCTTTGGGGGTCACCCCCACATGCCGGCAGGAGGAGGGGTATAGGCAAACAGCCACACCAGCTATCTACCACTTTCTACTGAGAACCTCCTCACAGCAGACTGCCTCCAGCATCTCAGCCGGCACAGAACCACCCTAGCTAAGAAACTGGAAGATGTAGCTGAGCATTTAGCCTTCTGGCCATGGAAGAGGAGGAAGAGGAGGGAGCGGTATCCGGAGTGCTTGACTCAGTGGTGCTGTGGCCCCTTTGGAAGGATGAATGTCAGGAAATGTGTTGGGACAACTGGCTAGACATAGTGGGAAAACCAGATCCCCACATCACACCCTACACGAAAGTTAATTCCATGGAGATTACATACTAAATATGAACAGCAAAATTTTTAAACTCTGGGGGGAATAAAATTTTTGAAAAAGATTAGTGAATGACATTAAAATGTAGACTGTACATCACCTGACATCATTAGAAAAGCAAAAAGATAAGCATCCTGAGAGGTATCTGCAAAGCACACAACCTAAGGATCGCATGACAACTCGTACATATCCACAAGGAAAAAGGGAGGGGCAAAAAAATTAAACCACCATGGAGGAAATACAAATAGATCTTTGAGGATAACAAAAATCCTCAACCTGTCTAGTAGAGAAATGCAAATTAAAACTTCTACACCTATCAGACTGTCAGAAAGTACACACTGACAATAGGGAGTGTTAAGAAATGGGCAGAGGGAATCTCTGTCACCAGGATAGAAGAATGGATACAACCCACTCCGGAGAGCAATGTGACATCAGTCCGGCAATTCCTGCACACTTGTGCCTGGATGGAGTCGTGCTCAAAAACAGAGCAGTATTCTAAGAGCAAAAACCTGGAAACCATCCAAACATCCAGCAATGGCCAAAGGTAGAAACTGGAGTCCACTCATGCCACATCTTGAGCTACATGTAACGCAAACATTCACAAACAATGCTGAATTTTAAGATCCGAAGAATACATCTGTGTACCACTTGTCATTTTTAAAATGCAAGATAATACTATGTATTTACTGATACATACCTCTACAGTAACATTTTTAAGAAACACTTAAAAAAAAAAAAAACCCAGAATCCGCAACAATCACCTCCAAAAGGAGGGGCACTTATTTAGGGCAGGGGACAAAGAGGGATGCAAGTGTGTCAGCAATGTTTTATTTCTCACGTTGCACAGCAGGTACAGGGATATACATTTATATTTATCTTTCATATGATGAAATTACTCACTCTATTTTTAAATGCACGTGGCAAAAATGTAGATTACAGCAGCATGATCCCACATGTGTGAAAAAGCAGATGTGAGAGCACACATCGAACCTTCTAGGGAAACACCTCCAGGCATGAACTTTGAAAGGGATGCAAAGGAGACGCTCATAGCCCAGAACAGACCACAACCACTTCAATCTTGGCCTTCAAATCACTGGTCTAACACCTGCTGGTTCCCAAGCCTATAAACTCATCCTACCCACCCAGCATGGTTGTTTTAAAACAGCCCTTGCCCTGCTGCCCCCCACCCCCAAAAAAACCCTGCCCTTGCCCACACCTCACTTTTTATTTTTTTATTTTTTAAAGATTTTATTTATTTATTTGAGAGAGAGCACATGAGAGGGGGGAGGGTCAGAGGGAGAAGCAGACTCCCTGCCGAGCAGGGAGCCCGATGCGGGACTCGATCCAGGGCTTCCAGGATCATGACCTGAGCCGAAGGCAGTCGCTTAACCAACTGAGCCACCCAGGCACCCCTCACTGACTTTTTAAACCTGAACCAGAGAACACAGAGAACTAACTTTCATTCTCCAGGTGACTCCAATGTGCAACCAAGGGCCAGAGCCATACGGTACAGGATGCCAATGTGCCTCACAATTCAGGAATTCACGGAAGGCCCAGACAGGGCCAAAACTAAAGGCCAAGTATGACGAGTGTGGTGCTGACGACGATGTTTGTAGCAGCCATGGGGAGTTCCAGACCCCAGGCCTGAGCCGTTCATGTCAGTGTGGACACGGTGCTCCCCGAGGAGGGAGATGGTCAGTGAGACAGGAGCCACCCAACCTGGTGGATTTCCGGTGTCTGAATGGGTTAAGTGTTGTGGAGAGAAATGAGTTAATACAGGTCACCCGCTCAGAACCATGCTTGGCATATAGTAAGCACTCAAAGTTAGCTACTTTTCAAGTAAAGAAACAGTTTTGGAGAAAGTGCTCAGTAAAATATTTCAATAAAGATCATGTTTACTCTTACAGCTTCATGAATGGGCTCCCAGCCCCATGAGAAGGAAACGCAGCTCAGACTTCTCTGTCACCGTGATCTCGTAATCTCTCGTCTAACCTGTGAAAGATGAGTCCTATATATGCAGGGGACACATCAAGAAGGACAAGAGACCATGAATACCCGATCAACGAAGAGATCAGGAGAGTGAAAGATTAACAGGAAAATAAGTTCTTACTCTTCACTTCATACACTTCTGTCAATTTTTTATGAGAATCTAATCAAGAATGTAAATTACAAAAAGCCTGGGTACAACAGGAAGACAGGGCTGCTCTCGCTTTTAAGATGGAGACTCAAATGTTATTTAATTTTGAGTAGGAAGATGCTGACGATGGTTCTGGAATGGATGAGGACACTGTTCTGTGGCAGGGTCAAAGACATCCAAGAGCAGTCTGGAGAGCATAGGCAGGCCATGGCCAAGATGGACAGACCTGTGAAAGCTGCCAGATAAGGGTGCTTTCCCTTCAGCTGCTGGCTTTCTTCCACTCCCTGTGCCACCTTTCTCCCCTCAAGGCACCCAAAGGGAATACTGACCCCAGCCTGTCCTCCTGTACCCACGAATCCCTTCCAGATCTTCCTGAAGGACCCTTAGCCAGAGTTCCCTAGAGTTCACTTACACTTAGGTCACACCCTCCATGTGGTACCCCACATTCTCCCCTGGCTGCAGCCTTTCACCCAGAGGCTCAGAGCACATGGGAGATGGCACAGGGCCCCATCCCCATGACCCCAATTGCTATGTGACACTGGACAAGTTTCACTTGACCTCCTAGAGCTGTGCTTCCCCACCTGGGAATGGGAGCATGGCACTTGCCTTCTGGGGCTGCGTGGCAGGGCCGAGGGGTGGAGGCTGAGAGCTGTAAAGCACTGGCCACTTGGAAGTTACTTGAAGAAAAAGAGAAGCAAGCCCCTTAGGACAATCACACAGCTGAGGTTGGTTATTTCACTTTATTTAGCAAATGGTTGCACTCTGAGCCCTACACCAAATTGCTCCTCCAGCCTCACTCAAGGGTCTGCCTTGGGAAGAAGCTCAGAGGGCAACCAGGAAGGCCCGGGTTCCCCAGTCAGCCTCCTCTCTCCACCAACACACCCTGCACAGAACAAAATCACTGCTCGTGTCCTCAGGCACCCACCCCAATGTGGTTGGCCCTCCAGTGTTCAAGAGCCACCTGCCAGGGCCCAGCTCCAGGCACAGACTCCTTCCTGCTCCTGAGATGCTGGCATCAGGCAAGTACCTCTGTCCCCAGCTGTGGGGTGCCAAACCCTATTCCCTAGCCCTGCAGCCTGTCCCTGCTGGGCAAGAAGCAAAATGTACGAAAATACTTTTTTAATTATTTCTTTGAAACGGTTAAGAAATAAGGTCGTCTTGTTTTTCTTTTACAATCCCAGTAAAAAAGAAGTTCACATTAGTGCTGGAGCCCAAAACTAGGCCCTTCCCCCGGGCAGAGCATCGGCCACTCAGTAGAAACGCTTGTTCCGCTCCTGCCGCTTCTGAAACACTACGGCCCCCACCACAGCGCACACGATGATGCCCAGGAGCGCACAGAGCAGCAGCAGGAACACCCGCCACCCCGTCAGGGGCCCGCTGCGGAAGTTTCCAGTCGGGTCATCCACATTGTCTGGGGGAGAAGAGAGGGGGAGCTGAAGCAGCAAGTGGAGGTGTCAGGCGGGCTCCAGGAGACAGGGGAGTCCGATAGGACGGGGCAGAGTGACAGACCGCAGCCGGCCAGCCCTACAGGGGGATGGATGGAGAGATAATCCCACTGGGACTGAGCTTCCCAGGGATCAAGGCCCCAGGAGCCTTCTGCTTCAAGAAGCTGGTGAAAACTGAATTCCTGGACTCCCCAGGAGAGCCTCAGTCTGCACAGGCACAAGATCCGTGTTCACAAGCCCCATCCCAGCCCCGTGCTGGGGTCCAAGGTCCCCCTCTGGAGAAACAGCTCTGGCCAAAGGCTGCCCTGACTCACACCTGGATGCATTCCATGGCTCCTAGGGGGTCTCCCAGCCACCGCTGCCGCCCCCGGCGCCGCCCCCCCCCCCCCATCCTTCTGCTCCAGCCACACCACTTCTCTGCCTGCTAAAACCATCAACAACTCCGCTGGGAATGAGGCCTTGACACATGAGGTATCTCCTGGAATCCCAGTCACACTGGGATGGGGAACTCATGATCTCCCTTTTATAGGAGGCTGACAGCAGAAACTGACTTTGTCAAATTCATCAGTCTACGGTGAAGGGACTGGGGTCTGGACTCATGTCCTTCTGCCCTGTGCAGCCTGGGCCCTGTTCCTGCCACTTGGCCTCCCTCCCCAGCCACAACCCTCCACTCCTTACTGTGGGGGCTGCTTGGGGCCTGGAATGCCAGCCAGGAGCCAACTTACATCCTCCTTTCCCACACAACCTGACCAGGGCAGGTCTGCTGACCCGGTCTTAACACCAGCCTCTCTCCTCCTCTGCCTCAGTCAGTAGACTAAGGCCCAGGACAGCACCTAGCCCATGGTTAGCTAGGCACAGAGTAGAAGCTCTGGAACTATCTGCTAAAGGAACGAAAGGATCAACAAGTCTGCAAACCAGTTAATCCCTGCCTAGCCAACCTCATGGGGTTGCTGGGTAGGTCAAAGCAGATGAGGTCTCTGAAAGCTCTCAGCAGCCAGAAACACTTCAATCAAAGGCTGCAAAAACAGCGGTGTATGGTAGGGTGTGTTTAGCCTGAGATGTTTACAAGTAATCTGAATCCTAAAACAGTGAGGTGTCACATAAAATGCTGGGTTTCACTCCCGCTCCCGCTCCACATGGTGACCTTGGACTAGGCTGAGAGGCTCCTCAGTGCCCCGACCCTGGCCCACAGGCACAACTTCAGGGTTCTTGGGGTGGATGTCCACACTCACAGGAGTTTCAGTTCAACCAGAACCCTTGCTCTGTGAAGACAGACTGGTGGCTAATTAGCACCACGGGAAGAGTCTGAGCTTTGGGGGCTTTGCAAAAACTTAAGGTCAAATCTTGCCTTTACTTGTTTCTGAGGAAAGCTGGAGTATCAGTTCCCCTGGCTCGTGGCAGGACCTACTGCCCAGGCCATGCACCAGTTGTATCAGAATGCCCTGCACGCCACCTACACCAACAAACTGCCCCTCTGGCTTTACTGGCCATTTACCCAGCACCAAGCACTGGCAGAAGCAGATGCCAGATGTTCTCATATCTACTCATTAGCACTGACTGCTGATCCAAGACCCCAGGCCACAGCCACAACCGGACCAGGGGAGAGCAAATGGACCACAGGCACTCAGCCAAGCTGGCCCCTCCCCGACCCCAGGCCAGGATGGGCCTCAAGCATGTACCTTTGGGTGACTTGAGGAAATTAACGCTGGGCTCAATCTTGGTCCAGTCAATGTTCTCTTCTTCAGGAGTGTGTTCTACCATCAGCTGGAACAGCTTCATGGAGATGATGTCATGATTGTCTGCAGGACCGAGAGTTAGCTTATAAGGGGCACAGAGCCTGCCTTAGGGCCACAGCCCATCCCCCCTCCCCAGAGTGGGGATGCTGCTCCAGTCAAGGAAAGTAGCCAGGCCCCCAGAGAAAACCCTGCTCCTGCCTACTGAGGGGCCTGTTTTCTTCCCAGTGACCTCCAGCCACCCCCAGCAGGCGGTATTCGAGGGGCTGGAATACCTCTAGAACTCAACAATAAGAGGAGGCAGAATGGACAGGGAAAAAAAGCATGGGTTTTACACTCAAAATCACCCGGGTCTAAATCCTGAGTCAGTTTCCTTGTTTGTAAATCCGGGTGATAATCTCCACCTTGCTTGGTTAGCATGGCAAGAAAATGAGAAAGTACATACAAAGCAAAAGACATTGCCCAGCAGATAGTATGTACAGAAAAACCCTGCATATTATTCTATGGCCAGTTGAGAAGCCTGATCCTCCCAAGGGGCAGGCAGGTAGCTGCTAGGCACTCCTGTCAGAGACCCAAGAACAGGATGCGAATGAATGACTCCACTACAGCTGAGGGCTAGGCCCCAATACATAGGCAGTGACTGTCCCTGAGGAGACATGAGAAAGGCTCAGGTCTAACCAGTTTGGGCAGAAGAGAACCTCTGCTTGACACTAAGTGATCACCCCATTTTGAGATGGGGAGGTTCAGAGCCGAGACAAGGGTCCTGGTCCCTTGATTCTAGTATCAACTCAGCTAACAAGCGGAACCTGAGGAAAAGCCTCATGTCAAAACTCTGGAGATTGGAAAAGGGAGAGCCTAAAAGCAAGGAGCTGGGTCAGGCAGAGCCATGAGGTACCTCAGAGCCGAGTGCGCACAGCCCCGGGGGCCCAGGGACAAGTCCTAACTCTGAAGTCCGACGGCAGTTCCCATCTGAGCTCTGCCCTTCCTAGGTCTGTGAACGTGGGGAAATCCCTTCACCTCTCAAACTCCCCACAGTGTCAGGTGTATAAAAGGGAAAAGAGGCCGCTTCGTCACCTGACTGTGAGACGCCTGCTGCAGAGGCTTGCGTTCACAAGCCTCTGATGGATGGCCAGGCACGACGACGTACACAGCCATCTCCAGCCCTCCTCCCTGGGCCTCTCCAAACAGCCCCGGAGAGCAGCCACCGCCACAGATCTGGCTTTGTGCCCAGAACCTTCTCCTACAGGCTGAAATACGATCAGGCGAAATTCCAGATAACCTGAGGGGAAAGACTGTGGTGGAACCCTAGATGAAACAGGACTGACAGCCAGCTGATAACTGACTACCAGGTCATCCATGAGCAACTAATGATTCCCTGAAGCTGGGTAGCAGGGGCAAAGGGACGTATTGGACCATTCTCCCCACTTTGGGGTATATAATTAAAATATCCACACTAAAAACTTTAAAACCCCAAACAACGACTCTCTGGGTACCAAGTGGACCCAGACATTTCCATGAAGGGGAGGCTCCTGGACAGTGGCTGGATTACAGGCCCTGGAAATGTCCATCCTGAGGATAAATAAGTCCTTTGTCTGATTCTTTACAGTTTCCCACTTCTTTTTAGCAGGAGCTGGTCCTGGGCCTGGTGCCCTCTGAGGGCCCTGATGCCTCCTGAGTACCATGGCCAAGGGTCACTATCAAGTGTCACCCAGGCCCAGTGGTCCAGCAAAGCTTGCAGAGGCTGGCAGCAGCCCAATGCTTATGGAGCACACTGTGAGCCAAAAAAGAGCCCTAACTTTATGAAAGTGAAGGGGACCCTTCGGTGAAGGGGACCCGGTGAAATAAATTATATGATAGATTTCAAGATAGTTAAAATGTTATAAAGAAAAATAAAGCCAAAAAAGGTGATAAGGAGTACACAGGAGACTGGTGTATGCATGTGCAATTTTAAATAAGGGAAGTAGGGGCACCTGGCTGGCTCGGTTGGTAGAACATGCGACTCTGGATCTTGGGGTTCTGAGCTCAAGCCCCACACTGTGTGTAGAGCTTACTTAACAAAAGTAAATAAAAATAAAATAAATAAGGGAATCAGGGAAGGCCCCACTGAGGAAGGGACATCTGAGTAAGACCTGAAGGAGACAAGAGTGAGGCACAGGTACAAAGGCCCGATGGAGGGCACTGGTGGGTCTGAAGAATAGCTGGGGGTGATATAAGGGAGTAGGGAGTCATGAGTCACAGGGGATGGGGTGGGGGAGGCACTGGCACACAGGGCCCAGCGGACCACTACTAGGACAGACAGTGGCCTTGACCCTGCAGGAGACAGAAGTGGCGAGACCTCACTTGAGCTTTCACGGAATCATTCTGGCTGCTGAGCTGGAAGAGACTGTTGGGGGCTAGTGTGGAAGAAGGGGACCACATGGGAGGCTCACACAGTCATCCAAGTGAGTGAAGACGATGGCCTGGACCTGCCAAGTAGTGACAGTGGGGAGAGAAGTGGTCTGCTGCACTGAGAAAACAAGGCCAGCAGGACTCACCAAAAGATGAGAGGTGGCGTGTAAGAGAGAAAAGAGAGACTGGAACAACACCAAGGTTTTTTGGGCTGAACAACTAGAATAACAGAGGTGCCATTTATGCCTCGGTGGCAAGATGTGGGCTTCAGCTGTGGGCATGTAAAGGCTGAAATGCTTGTTGGGTATCCAGGTAGAGATGTTGAGCAGGCTCTTGGTCACATAGGTCTGAAAGGTCTCAGCTGTGACGCAAAGCTGGGACTCTGCAGCATCTGGATTCAAAGCCCCCCAGTTGCTAAAGAGAGGGGAAGATGGCTGAGGGAGTGCTCATGGAATAAGCCCCAACTGTGCCAACATTCCCAGATGCTGGAAAGTGGAGGAAGAAACCCAGGTGCATGTGTACCCAAATGAAGGGAGTTCAAGAAGGAAAAGTGATCAACTACATCACAAGCTTCCAACAGACCAGGGAAAGTCAAGATTGAGACTTAATGCCTTGCTCAGGTCAAACACTCACCGGACAAGTCTCCAGTGCCTGCTGAAGCTCCAAAGTAGTAGCCGGTGGGCAGGCGCACTCCTGTGATGTCGATGCAATTCTTCCACTCATTCTTGTCCTCTAGGTCAGTCATCACCTGCAGCCAGCAGCAAGTCAAGTACACACCAGGCCCAAGCCTGCCCACCTCCCCAAGCCCTTACAGACAGAGCTGGCCCTGGCCCGCCTGCTTACTGTGAGACGGCCCCGGGAGTAGCGCACCGCCAGGAAGGTATCGTGATCACGGTTACGGAAGTCTGCCGTGCAGCCCGCCAGCTCGGTCCAGCGGCCATCTTTGCTATGGTCGTAGGACAGGGAGCCATTGTTCACCATCACCGAGACGTACGGGAACACACGCTGAGATCGAGACACCAGTTAATCCATGGCCAGTCCAGCCTGGGGGAAGCCCCTTTTGTGCCAAGACCAGGGAGAAGTCCTGGCCCCCACCTCCCGGCCGACTGCCCAGCTCTTCCTGTCCTGCCTGAGGGAGAAAGCAGAGGCATACCTCTGTGGTCTCATCGTTGGGATACGTGTCCAAGAAGATGGCTAAGCCATGGAAGTTGTCTTTGCTTCCAAACACAGGCCCTGGAATTAAAAGGAGATGCTCTCGTAATGGGAGATACTGGAGTTGTCCCCTGGGTACCTGAAGGACAAAGTAATGCCAGTGTAGGTGGGGGCAAGAGAGGTTAATCTGTGGTCATTCACCCAGGAAAGGGAAGGAATCTCTAAGGGAGGGGAGGTGTCAGGGGTGCAGCAAAGAAGACTCAAAGTCTGAAACCAGAACTGTTGAGGGGACAACACCTGGCCTTGTACTCTGACATATCTTGTGACAAGAGGGCAGAAAGGACCCCTACAAAGGAAACCCCATCCTCTAACCCAGGGGTCAGCAACTTTCTGTCAAGGGCCAGAGACGAAACATTTTAGACTTTGCAGACACACATGGTCTCAGCCACATAGTCTTGTTTTTGCTTTTTTAAAAAATGGTAGAATGATGGGGCACTTGGGTGGCTCAGTCAGTTAAGCATCCAACTCTTGGGAGGTGGCTCAGGTCATGATCTCAGGGTCCTGGGATTGAGCCCTGCATCAGACTCCGCACTTAGCTCTGCTTCCCCTCTCTCTCTCCCTCTGCCCCTCCCCCTGGCTCGCACATGCTCGCTAGCATGCTCTAGCATGCACTCTTGCTCTAAAATAAATAGGGCGCCTGGGTGGCTCAGTTGGTTAAGCAACTGCCTTCGGCTCAGGTCATGATCCTGGAGTCCCGGGATCGAGTCCCGCATCGGGCTCCCTGCTCAGCGAGGAGCCTGCTTCTCCCTCTGACCCTCCCCCCTCTCATGTACTCTCTCTCATTCTCGCTCTCTCAAATAAATAAATAAATCTTTAAAAAAATAAATAATATAATATAATCAAATAAATAAATAAATCTAAAAAAAAAAAAAAAGTAGAACAGTAAAATCCTTTCTTAGCTGGTGTACAACACCAGGCCACAATGGGGTACAAAATTGAGCTGCAGGATCCAGCTATCCCTCTTCTTACAGAGACACTTCCCAGAGCAGACTCGAGGTCCCGGGTTTCCTCAAAGAGGAGCAGCAGGACCGAGGGTGCAGAATGCCCCCACCTAGACAAGCGCCTCCCTACCTGGCACAAGGCGGTCCCGGGTGTACCACAAGGCAATGCCATCTCCATGGAGATTCTTCTTCCCTGAACCATGGACTTTAAAGTGGACATGCATCTCCCAGTCCTTGAGGAAGCAAGGCTGCAGGGAAAGCAGAAAGAACTGCTCAGAGCTCCCCAGGCTATCCTGCCAGCGAGAGGTGACCCGGCACAGGCCCGTCTCCTCCACTGAGACTGGCACTCCTTGAAACAGGGCCAGGCAGCAGAGTCACAAGTGCCACTGACCAAGAGACACCCCACCCCCTGGCATTCTCAGCAGGAAGGGAGGGGGCTGCTGGGCTTCCCAGGTGGGGAGGAGGGGGCCACACAGTGTCCCAAGGCTGCCTGAGGCCCAGACTCTGCCCATCCTGGCCCTAGTCTTCTCTTGGGTCTGGACACAGGTTCTCACTCTTATGATTCACTTTCCTCAACACCAGCCAAACCCATCAGCCATTTCCTCTCCATCCCCACTGCTTCTGCCCCAAAATCTTGTGGAAGGATTACTACCCCTATTTGGGCCACGTATTTTACAAAAAAGAAAACTCATTCGGAGACAAAATAACTTTCCACAGCAGGTTAAGTGGATGGTCTTGATTCACACCCAGATCTATCTCAGAAACTTGTGCTGTGTCTTGACCTTCAAGACTTTAACAGAAAGTGCAGCAACTCTTTTCTGGTCTCCCACCCCTACTGTCTTCCCTTCCAACCACACTTTCATGCTGAGAGACTCAACCCCAGGTCTGGACGCCTCCAAACCCCAAGCTCTTGGCCAGCACCCTTCCTGCCTCTTACAGACCCAGTCCAGCTTCAGTGTGATGGCATGACATGGCTGGGGGGGCTGGAAGGGTCATGCTCTGGGGTCTCTGGGTTATTGTGATGTGAGAAAAGGCAGATATTCCCTGGCATTCAGGAACACAAGGTGCAGAGCAGGGCACTGTCTACAGTAAGGGGAACAGCCTGGCCTCACCCACCAGGAAGTTGCTCGTGAAAACTAAGGTGTTGACACATACTGTGACAAGAATCCACTTGGGGGAAGTCTACATATGGGGATGTGAGCAAGTGTTTAAACAAAGGCCCATTAGAAAAGCAAACTAAAACAAAATGTCGTTTACTTATCAGATTGGCAACTATTAAAGAGATCATTAATGCCAGTGTAGAAGAGGATGGAAAGAAACACATGCCCTCAAACAACCAATGGGACTGTAGATGCTCCCATCTTCTTGGGGGCAATCTGGTTGTTGCAGCTTTTTAACAGACCATGGTAGATCCATAAGCCTTTACATTTGAAGATATCAAAGATATTAAGAAAAGTAAGTTGCAAAAGTTCCTTTTTTTAGAAAAAGGAATTCATATACAGAGAGAAAGAAAAAAATCAAAAGAACATGGACCAATATTAACGATACGTGACTTTGGTAGGGGAACTACAAGAAATGTTTACTTTCTAGATCTGAATTTTGTATAATTAACATAGTTTTTAAAAACTCAAAAATAGAAAACTTTATATCCTCTCTTGTGTGATCTGGCTTGGGCATTCACTGATTCATCAGACTTACTGTTCTGGCTCTGGGAACCAAAAACCAAGGTGATGAGACCCAGCTCCAGCCCCTGAGAACACAGCTGGCAGACACCTAACCAACAGCTTGCAAGTAGTGTGAAATCTTGGCCTTCCCAATTCTCGGCAGTTCACTGGCTCTGGGAAAATCTGCAGATTCTAGAGGGGACAACTGAGAGGTGGTAAGACCAGCTCTCAAGGACAGATGAACAAAGACTCTGACACCAAGGCCTACTGAGGGAGCGGAAGGCCTGGTGAACCACCCTTGCCTTGGGCTGGGACCACAAAGACGGCAACCCAAATAAAAGAGTGAATGAGGAAAAGCCCTCCCAGGGGCGGTTGCTCAGCTTGAGCTCTCTCATCCCTTAAAGTAGATTAAAGTGACTCACCTAAGCCTGAAATTTTTCAACAAACAATCTTACAAATACAATATCTGGCATACAATAAATAACCAGGCACAAAAGACAAGTTACCAACAAAAACGAAAAGGGAGGGAGGGAGGAAACAGACTGATGGTAACTCCAGATTCTGGACTTGCAAATAACTAGTTTACTACATTCAAGGAGATAAAAGACAAGACTGAGAACTTTGGAAAATAACTGAAGTTTTTAAAAACTCACCTCACAAAAAAAAAAAATCCAGAACTAAAAGAATAACTGAAATTAATAATGTAATAGACGGGCTTAACAACAGATTAAAAACAGATGAAGAGAGAACCAGTGATCTCAAGGCCAATCAGATAGATAAAAATATCCAGGAAGAAGCACAGAGAATGAATGGTAGACACAAAATTGTCAATAAGAGACAGTGAGAAACTCTAAGATACATATAACTGGAGTTTCAGAATGAGAAGTGAGAGAACAGGTCAAAGGAATATTTAAAGAGATGTCCACGTACTTACTAAAACTGATTCAAAAACATTATGCCACAAACCTTAAATCTTACAAACCAAAGGAGACAAAAAGAAAACCATACCTAGGCACATTAAAAAGGGAGAGAGGGAAGGAGAGGGAAAAAGAAAGTCTTAAAAGCAACCAGAGGGGGAAAAAAAACACAAGATTATCTTCAAAGGAACAATTAGCCTGTTATGGGGCTTCTCAACAGAAACACTGGGAGCAAGAAGACAACAGATTGAAATATTTGGAGTTAAAAGAAAATACCAACCAACACAGGATTCTATACTTAGCAAATGTTATCCTTCAAGAATGAAGGTGAAATTAAGACATTTTTAGATAAACAAAAACATTAAAACTGTCTTTCATTCATCAGAAAGAAGGAAAATTATCCAGATCCAGAGTAAAGTCAGAGATTCAGGAAGGAACAAAGAGCAACCAATACAGTAAATGTGGGGGTAAATAAATATTTGACTGTATAAAATAATGTTTTATGTGACTTAAAACAGAGAGGACTAAAATAAATGACAACAATGGGGTAAATAAAGTTAAAGTAGTCTCAGATCTTTGCATTGTCCAGGAAGAAGGTACACATTATCATTAGACTTTGGTAAAATATGGCTGTGTGTTTTAAACTCCAGAGTAATCACTGAAAAATCAGGGATCAAGCAAAGAACTTTCAAGCTAGCAGAAGACTAAAAATGGAATAAAAATTAACCAACCCAAAAGAAGTCCAGAGAGAAAAATGAACAGAGAATGAGCAGTACAAATAGAAAATAAATAATAGGAAGGTAGGTAAAACCAAAATCCGGGACACCTGGGTGGCTCAGTCAGTTGGGTGTCCAACTCTTGGTTTCAGCTCATATCGTGGTCTCAGGGTGGTGAGATTGAGCCCCGCATCGGGCTCTGCGCTCAGTGCAGGGTCTGCTTACGACTCTCTCTCCCTCTCCCTCTGCCCGTCCCCCTTTCTATTTAGATAAATAAATCTTTAAAAAAAAAAAAATCAGTAATTATCATAAATGTAGATGACTACATGCTGACAAGGCTACATAAGATCGCTCTGTATTATTTTTTACAACTGTATGTGAATTGGGGTGCCTAGGTGGCTCAGTCAGTTAAGCATCTGCCTTTGGCTCAGGTCATGATCCCAGGGTCCTGGGATCGAGCCCCATATCGGGCTCCCTGCTCAGCAGGGAGTCTGCTTCTCCCTCTCCCACTGCCCCTGCCCCCTGGCTCATGCTCTCTCTCTCCCTCTCTCTTAAATAAATAAAATCTTTAAAACAAAACAAAACAAAAACCTGTATGTGAATTTACAATTATCTCAAAATGTTTATTTTAAATAGTAAATAAAGGATCAAAGATAAACTTAAGAGCTAAAACTATAAACCTCTTAGAAAAAAACACAGGGAAAATGTTCACAACATTGGATTTAGCAAGATTTCTTGGACAGGACACCAAAGCACAGACAAAAACAAAAAAATAAAGTGAATTTCATCAAAATTAAAAATTCTTGCACATCAAAAACATCAAGAGTAAAAAGACAAACCACAAAATGGGAGAAAATATTTCCAAATCATGTATCTGATAAGGGAGTAGTGTCTCCCAAATATACAGAGAGCTCCTAAAGTTCAACAATAAAAAAAGAAAAAAAAATTTTTTTCAAAATGAGCAAAGGACTTTTTTTTTTTTTAAAGATTTTATTTATTTATTTGACAGAGACAGAGACAGCGAGAGCAGGAACACAAGCAGGGGGAGTGGGAGAGGGAGAAGCAGGCTTCCCTGCTGAGCAGGGAGCCTGATGCGGGGCTCAATCCCAGGACCCTGGGATCATGACCTGAGCCGAAGGCAGACGCTTAACCGACTGAACCACCCAGGCGCCCCGTCAAAATGAGCAGAGGACTTGACTAGACATTTTTCTAAGGTAGAAGATAAACACATGGCCAATATGCACATGAAAAATGCTCAATGTCATTAGTTATTAGAGAAATGCAAATCAAAACCACAAGACACTGCCTCATACCCATTAGAATGGATGACTATCATAAAAAAAAAACAAAACAAAAAAAAACCCAGAAAATAAGAAGTGTTGGCAGGGCATCTGGCCGGCTCCGTGGATGGAGCCTGTGACTCTCGATCTCCAGGTTGTGAGTTCGAGCCCCAGACTGGGTGTAGAGATTACTTAAATAAATAAATGAATAAACTTAAAAAAAAAACAAAAAAACAAGTGTTGGCAAGAAGTGGAAAAACTGGAACCTTTGTGCATTGCTGGTGGGAATGTAAAACGGTGTAGTTGCTGTGGAAAACAGTATGGCGGTTCTCAAAAAGTTAAACATAGGGGCACCTGGGTGGTTCAGTCAGTTAAGTGTCTGCCTTCAGCTCAGGTCTTGATACCAGGGTCCTGGGATTGAGCCCGGCATGAGGCTCTGCTCTCTGCTCTCAGAATTCTCTCTCTCTCAAATAAATAAAATCTTTTTTTTTTAAGATTTATTTATTTATTTATTTGACACAGAAGGAGAGATAGTGAGAGAGCACAAGCAGGGGGAGCGGCAGGCAGGCAGAGGGAGAGAAAGAAGCAGGCTTCCCACTGAGCAAGGAGACCGATGTGGGGCTGGATCCCAGGACACTGGGATCATGACCCGAGCCAAAGGCAGCCACCCA